CAGGGATTGGATGTGGAGCAAAATAGGGATACTTTGATGGCATTCAATTCGTGCTTATTGCCAGTAATGCCTTTCTACTCTCTGACACAAACAAGAGAAGGGGGCTTCAGACACCAAGTCTAGCAAAGCGGACTATCAGAACCGGTCACGATGACACATGTCTTGATGCTTTTTCTTAGCACACCTCCATTCCACAAATATTTTTGGTTCCTAACCTTCCGGAACTGAGTTACTAACCAACAAATGTGCTTGGACAAGCACACAGTTTCCTCTGCGACAGCGTTTAAAGCAGAGGCGTTGGGTGTATTGAGCTCATACGAGCTTCCATCATAGCCAAGGATCGAGGTGAGATTAACCCTCTTTTGGCCTAATAGATGCTTTTCATTAATGTCATTCGTGGCCAATGTTTTTTCCACATGAGGGAAGTACGTGCGCCATCAAGCTGAGTAGTTAAAACCGTTCTCCATTCGGTTGCTGTTTCATCTCCGGAGAGAAAAGTCGGAAATACAATAATTCAGATCTGAATGAGTTGGCATATGCAGTCCCACGTGTTCTTTTCCCATTCAGCGTTGGTTAAATTTTCCGAATAGGCAAGGTTTGAACTAAGACCTGCACCAGTGGTCCTGGAAACGTCTCGGAAGTTTCAGCCTTATTAGATGTTGTCAATATTTCTACGTCGAGGTGGGCGTCCGGCGAATAACCACGCGGAGATCAATAAAAATGATGTATAATCAGTTGCTTCTTAACGGTTTGGGAAACACTGGAGGTGCCATTATATAGTGAGAAGAGATAAATAAGTTAGATAACGAATTGGCAACGGAGCAAGTTCGAAGAAGTCCAGAACGGCGTTCCATTGCGGGGAAACTGGACAACTCTTAGGTCATGAGACCATCTCTCTATCTCAAACGTAACTTGTCCATAATACCCATAAACCTGCGGACTTGAACCCATCCAGTGAGAAGGTATCTGAGATAGCTGTGGGCTTTATCCCATCAATACTAGCTGGATACGTGGATTGAAGGTCGCAACAGTCAAGGAGGCGTAGAAGCAGATCAGGAAATGAGGATATGAGCATCGCTTGGAAGAACTGTACTGTCAGACACTACTAATCAGCAAGTCACTCAGAATCGTTCATCAACATTCAATGACCAACCATAATTGCTCGAATCTGCATCACATGACATATCCACGACTTTTACCCACAGTTCTTTTCCTGTTGGCCTTATTTAACATCGCAGCAAACCTAGCCTCCGCTTCGATACCATTGATGCTTTCAACAAGCTTGATATAGCCTTCATCATCCAACGCAAAGAGAGCTTCCTTAACCCAAACGCGACAAGTCATAGCCTCATGGAAGCGCATCGAATACTGAATAGGGATCTGCGACAGGCGGGTCTCCAAGGGGCCGTGCAGTGCGGGGTGCAGATCTCCCACCTTCAACGCCAAAAGGTATCGCCTGGAAGTGATGACCTTTTGGTCCGATTTGACTTCATAACTGTGAACATTCGGATTTGGGAAGTTGATGATATTAAAAATGGTGCCGTCCGTCGGAGATTTGGCAAGGTAGAGACCCCAGTGAAACGTCGAGCTGGACTCTCGATCTGCTAGGAGGAGGTAGAGACCGTTGGGCTCTAACTGCAGGGCCATGTGGTGATAGTCGTGGAATGTTTTCAAAGGATGTATAGGGTTCTCCAATCCTTGGGTGCGGCCCAGTAGCAGATGTATAGGCAGTGGGTACTGTACCCCTCATGTTCAGGGCGTTCTTTAAGCAGCTGAGGCGGATGCTGCGCCACATTTGCAGGGATATGTGGCGGGAAAGTGAGTAAAATGTGGATGTGGTAATCCTAAGCGACACTTGTGGGATTTTATCATATTTATAGCGGAAAAGCCTGCGTTAGTAGACTTGACTAAAAGTTATCGACTCGGGTCTAAGCACATAGCGTGTCCGAGGTTACGTCGTCAATGGATTAGCTTCTTTCAAGTCCATGTCCTCTTCAACAGCTAAAGAGAAGAATGTAACTGAACATCAAATGATGACAGGAAGGATAGCTTACAATGAAAACTCAAGCACATCCAGCGCAGCACTTGCCAACGAAATATCACTACGTCTTAAAGGAAGATGATGACTGACACCCCTGCCTGGCTACTGTTATGCCAAGGCCCTTCAGACCGTGCGGGTTTGATTTCACACTAAGCCAATCTGTGAACCCCTATTCCGCTTCGCGCAGACATTGGATGTGACTAGATTTGGTTAGACATTAGCGGGGGCACAAATGTATTCCATACTGTCTTTATCAAACAAAGTGCGCGACTATGCGGTCGGTTACAAGGATCAGTTGCCGTAAGGCAATAGTGTGGCAGTCGTTGCACTATGCTTAATGGCAGTTCTGGCTGAGTGGCTCTGGTTCGACATCCACTATCCGAGCTTGTCCCAGAAACATTATATAAACCACTTATTTATCCCCAATACATTTTCCGACATGAGCTGATTTGTCGACGCTCTTTTTCCGTATGTATATCGCGACGAGGCTAAAGTCAACGACTGATACGCCGCTAGTCACCTGTTCCTGAGCAAAGACTCAATTATCTCGATAAACAATGCTTGCGACACTTGTATATCCTTATCTGTGGCTCGATTCTTGTTTCTGTTCAGCTGCAAAAGAGGGCTGAATATCATTGCAGGCCATTACTGGAACCTGACATAGCCAGCCAATGACTCGAACCACCAGATGCATCCGGGCTGAAGAATATAATCTTTATTTTGGATGAAGTTATGATGGAAGTTACAGACCAAATCAGAATAAGATAGCAGTAAAGGAGGCGATTCAATCCTATCGTGGGGACGTCCCGAACATCCGAGCTTCCGAGCCTACGGTGAACCGTGCTTTCCTGTCCAGAAGAAAATTGAACTAACGATAGTTTAGTACTTTCGGGAGACTCTCCTCACTGTTATATATTTAGAAGAGCGGGATGGGGCCACGTGTGTGTCTGTTTGTCAGCGCTTCCAAGTGGACATGCCGCGAACAATGCGGTCACCATTTAAACGAGAGACATGCGAAAGAGGTATCTGCACCTGTCCGATTGCCCAGTTCTCTGAGCCTTACTACTTCCACCATGCCTAATGTGGATTGCCTCGATGATTCATTGTACGCCTCGGGTGGGAAGGGTTCCATGCGGTATCTCTTCCTTCATGGAGGCCATTCCCAATTACCCCTTGGTGACAATGTCTCGGTGGAGGCCAAGGTTCTGGTACAAAATACACTCGGAGAGATGTAAGCCGAGCATTTTATATCTCGAAAATATTTTATTCTTATATTACACATGTCTGTGGGCCTGAATACTGATGCCTTGTTAGTATTTTCGACGACAGCCCAGATCAGCCCACCTCACAGTACCAGTTCCTTGATCGCAGCTTAAAATCCGTCAATGGAAAGGAAGATGCGTACATACCAAAGCAGGTCTTCGTCGAAAAGATGTTGATCAATGTATCTATCCCCACATTACTGTTCGCTGAGATTCCACGGTTGTACTCCTTTTCCAACATCGACATTCCCATCAAAAGAGCATAACTGACGAAATACAGGGATCAAGCAGATACACCAAGCAGCGAGAATGTATCTTATGTGTACGTCCATTTTAGCTCTCCTTGCTCTTCCATCCACCATCGTGTCTTTATGTATTGTCGAGTCTACTATTATTCCTCCTAATTCCGCGCAATCAGTACCCTACTAATTCTCGGCCGAACCGGTGTCGACCAAGCGTCCTTTCAGGACTACGAATACCTCAAATCCATGCTCCATCTATTTGTTCCTCGATTTGGACGGGCCATATCCCGCATTAGCGACGCGTACCTCCCTGGGGACGCACTCAATTTGTCACGTGAAGTTGCCAGTTTGATGATGGTTCCTTCTGGAGATACCAAGAATCTCCGCACATTCCTGGGCATGTATGCGAAGCGTTACATGATTAAATCGCCTAATGAGGTAGAGATACTGGAGCGGTGTTTGTTGCATATGTTAAAGATGCCTTTCGAGCTGAGCTCGGCAATACGGTATGGGCTTATTTTGCATTGAGCGTATAATTTGTGCATCAGAACATCTTGAAGAACAACCAGGCAATTTGGGTCAGACGCTAAAAATACCACATGGTTGCAGGAAACGATGTCTATAATGAGGTTGGCAATATAAGCTAAATAGTTCTCGTTGATAGCCAAACAAGCGTTTATAGAAAGGGCCAAGCTGCTGGCCCATGAAGCTGGCTTTATCTTGGTAAATGTCACAACTGGGAGAAGTTCAATCCCCACATCCCACCAAAAGCACATACAGACAGAAACCATCATATTTTGCACCGCCCTGATGGTTATATCTTCCACCGACTAGGCGACGCACGTACAGACCCGTGAGTCTTCAACAGAGCAACCAGTGTTCATTCCCGACAACCTTTGAAGACCGGCAAACCTAGATTACAGCTTGAGGTAGATGCGATAGTGTCTCCACCCGAGGAATAACCAGGTAACTTGCAATGAAAGCTGCAAACCTAGCCAAGCTTCCAATTCTGTAGCGGTAATCTGGCCGCCCATCTGGAGAATAAAAGGAAGAGCAGGCAAATACGCCCCATCATAGTCCCAGTGCTCTTCCACTACGATGCGCCCATAACGGAAGGCACCAGTACGAACAGGCATCTTTGGTGGAACAGTAGCCTGATGCTGAGATTTTGGAAGAGTTACAAATCGTAAATCTACATAGAAATAATGTCAGTGGTATAGTGCTAACACCGTCTTCTCCTTCCTAATGAGGAAGATTTTGGACTTCACAGAGGTGTGAAAACTCTTTCCCGATTGAAGCCAGGATACTGAGGGAGCACAGATGCTTTGAATCCTGTCAGATTGCTGTCAGATTGAAGCTGAATATACAGATTTATTTTTTCTATTTTTTTTTTTTTCTTTTCTTTCCAGATCATTCGGACTAAGGCTGTAGGTATCGTCTAAGGAGACGCCTGACCGATACACGGCGCGCGATTTCGGGAGAAAAAGTCCTATCCACATAGCTGCTGACTGAGGTTCTTAATATGTTATTCGCTCCACTTTAAAGCCTGTGAGCCCACAAATACCATTTGGGGGATGCGGTTTTGTGATCTTTGAGACGCTGTTGGAGATCTGCAAGGCCGGTGGGGTGCAACAATAGAGACAAATGACTCGCTTAAGAAGTGAGGATAGGATCGGTTTCATTGTAGCCTAGCGTGATTTCAAGCACTCAGCGGAGGAGTTTATGGGTCAGTTTCCGTATCGAGACAGAAGAAATTGTCTTGTGCGTGCTCGATGTGAGATTTAGCGGTGGAAACGGCTTCCCTAAGGAGATCACGGAATAGAGTGTAGTGTGGCTTACGGCGTTAACGTTGTGGGTAAGCGGGAAGGAAAATCCGGGTATGTAGGTGGGCGGGCCGTGCTTTCCCTTTCCAAAAGGGGTACAATGTTTTTTTTGTGCTGATGTGCTACGGAGTACGGCTTGTGCCATAAGCAAGGTAGGACGACCACGTGTGCAGTACCGAACGACAACTCCTAAGATATATGGGGTGGTGTCTCTAGTATACATCCAACGAAAGTAAACATAGAATTTGTTCAGCAATAAATGTACTAGCATTATCATACAATCATGATGTTCGTTGTCACAAGACACCAATCGCCCTAGATGTGTGTACCAGCACCTTAAAACATCTTGCGCCGAGAAGCCAGAAAACAACAAACAGTTGATGTGTAGCATATATATGAAATTTGACCTTCTGGGACCGGCCCGTTGAAGGTCAAGTAGAGTCACTATCAGCAGTTGGAGATGCCTCGAGTGGTTTGCCATACATCTCCTCATGCTTAGCATACCAGAAGTCCGCAGTCTCTTTGAAATAACTTGTTTTCTCAACAGGTAATTCCCAGTCCGGGTTATGCGATTCGGCTAATTCGAGGTAAGGTCCCATGGTAGTATCCAGGCTTTCTGCAGCGGTTCCTGGAAAGTGAACAAGGAGATCACCAGGGTGTACTTGAAGATGTGCGGGCGAATCAGGGTTGATATCTATAGCATTAGGGCTGCGCATGTAGGCGTTGAACCATCGCAAGGGGGTAAAGACAATGGAACGAGTGAAGTGCTCAAGTTCGTTGTTGAGTTTGTCCATGGCGGATTGGTCTGCCCAAAAGAGGCCAGTTTCCGGATGCACGGAGGGGTAGGCCAGGGTAGCGGAAAGGAATTCCGCTGACCACTGGCAGACGCGAATGAAGAAGACACCATTGTTCATTCCATTCCAGTCTTTCGCGATGAGGAGGTGGGTATCGGGAAACTGAGGTGGTGGGAGGAAGACCTCGAGGGGCATATTAGGGTTCATGAGAACTGTGTCACCATCGAACCAACTGTGCGACATGATCGAATTAGCTTATCATGGAGCTTATGAGACTCCCCTCGTGTTATCGCACACTTACAACAGCCATTCTACACGTTCATCATCTGGTTTTTCCAATTCTTCTATGATGGTCGATAGAAGAATAGCGGGTTTACTCCAGAAGCCTCCAAGAATAGGCTTGCGCAACACAGTCATGGGATACCCGAACCTGCGGGCATGGTTTTCGTGTGTCTCGAGGCCTCTGTAGTAGGCGGTTCTGTTGCCGTAAACCATGGTAACCTTGCGGACTATGGGGTTATATTCGGGCTCGGATACTGGGACCACTTGTGGAGCTCCTGATGAGGTCAGATTGATTTAAAAAAGCAAGTCTTGTGGAAACGAATGAAGCATGACATACGAAAGCGCGAGAACATGCTTATCAGCGCGACAACCAGGAAGAGGGCTAAAGACACATGAAAAATAGGCCTGAGCCAGAGCCTTTGGCTCCGGGCATTTTTAAGGTATGCTCTCTGCATTCTGAAATCTTTCATTCTGTTCCCTTTCCTCTGGGAAACATAGGAGGAGTTGAATGGGGACATGTCGAAGGGTTTTGGGAGGAGTGAGCGATCATTTATCCAGACCAGCTTGCAGGGAAGTCCTGCACCACCCGCAAGGCGGACAATGACAACCCCAACAAATAGCACGGGTACTTGGAGACCTGGCCACTGATTAATTGCTGGGTGACGGCGCCAGACCTGCAGCTAACCAATGACCGTAGTGGATTCGGTAAGAATTTACATGGCGCTTGTTTTGCGCGGGTCGCCTCCATCCGCCGATTGATTGACATCAGTGGGGTGCGGATGCCCTTTACAGGTTAGAGGTAACCCCATGGAGGGTGTCCGGCCTTCTCGGATGGTGACTAGGCTGAACACTAGTCGACGGCTGAGCCGAAAAGTCCTGGCCGAACTGCGAGAATCAAACGAATGGGAGAGGCCTATCAGGGCCACTGGGAAGACTGTACAGGGGTCCGTACATGTAGGGAAATCATCTTATCAAATGAGAGCTTCCGACAAAGCGCGCAGTCGACGCAGTGGGTCCCCGATAGCACCGTTTGTCTACAAAGCAGTTAGTTACTCCGTAGTGTCGTTCACTAATTATTAAGAGACCCTCTTCTAATACAGAGATCAGCCCTTCGTGCCCTGGCTAACCGAAGAACAACCGGAACATCGCTAATTCCGTCTGACCACCGTCTCTAAGGAAGGAAACCCCCGACAGACCTGTAAGCCTTACTGCTCGCAGGATCATGCGCATGCATGGGAAGCGCCAGGAACTGCTACCCTGAGTGGGAGGATGAGGATCAGGGTTGGCCGGTGTCAGGCAGTGCCTAATTTAGAGCGCTTAGTTTCTTGCTTGTGTGCTTTCGCTGACATGAGTGCGAGAGTCGTGAGTGTTTTGCCGAGTAAAGTAAAGAGGCCCGAGGTTGCTACTCGACTAGGTGGCATAAGTGGCCCACATCTCACGGGTCATCACTGTACTGTGATCTCAAGGTTGAACGTTGATATCCCCTCTTTCAACTCAGTAGTGAGCTTTCTATATCGTTATTATCAGAGCGAAGGAGTAGTAAAGCGACTAGCTTTGTGGGTAGGAGAGGAGAGAAGAGGGGAACCCTGTGACTGGGGAGCGATGCGTCGCCGATCGGGGTCGGAAGAAGTGGCTGCGCCGCATATTTTCCATGAGCCCCTAAGTTCGAAACTGACTTGCCCATTCTCGGGAACCAGCGGGTCGAATTCATGCACCATGCAACTCTGAGGCAACCGTTCCTGAAATTTAATTAACATCGGTTTGAATAATTGTGTGTTGAAATATCCATTGTCAGCTACACGCTTGATCAGGGGCGGTTGGGATGGACTGCCAATTGAATTCAGGCTGGTTGGTCAAAGATAAAAGTGATCGGAGCACGCACTGTTTGCGTATTCGCACAAGGCCAACCTGTGTGGTGTTAAGGGCAAGAAAACCGACCACAGGTTCAGCTCAGACGGGAGCACGCCGACCGGGCTCAACCCTTGTGCCCAAAGTACTCTGCTCTTGGCAAATTGAAAGTGGGAACAGAGGGTTCACTAACCAGTCGGGGTTGAACGCTTGGACAACAGAGGAAAGCCGCGACGGCCCGGTGTAGCCTTAAGGGCCACTATGTTAAAGTAGACTATCCCCATTCGGGGCTCCTGGCAATTAACCACCCGTACCGAAGACACTAATTGTATGGATAATCTCGAAACCGTTAAGCACCTTACTCAATCTGGTAGTACTACTAGTCAGCTTGCGTCCTACTAGTACGAAACAGGCTCAACGATACTCGTGACACTTTTAGCACTTAGACTAAACAGTTTAGTTGTTAGCTGGGCGGCTAGATACCTGCTGGCCAATTGCTCTTTGTGTGCGTGGCATATCCGACTGGAACATCGGGATTTCAAAGTAATAGCGTTATCATCCCGTCCATCTTGAAATAAGCATGCAGCAATGGAAGTTGTTCAGGCTGCTATGTCGCAACATATAGCTGGTCACGGGCTGATAATATACAGCATTGTCAATTAAGCACAACTTTATCATTGTTTGCAGATTATTTACAGCAACACATTATGGTCAACTCTCGCAAATTTTCTGTTCATTGTAAGGCTAAACATAGCACGAGGCCCATGCATCTGATGGGAGAACACATACAACTACTAACTGTCTCCGAGTGTGCGTCTGTTGGGAGCTTGGACATGGCTCAGCCTCACAAAAGGGTACACTTAGTCCAATTAGGGTTTGCTTGCTAAACGACCATTACTTAGTTAGCACTTATCACCACCCCTGTCGTTAGGGTGAAAATTTTCAGTAGACGCAAACACAACTGTGCCCCCAAGCCAGAGCGGGGTTGGATAGGAGCCGAAGCGATAGCACTCGGAGCAGCCTTCCATAGGCAGGTAACCGTGCTGTTCGTCTGCGTAGTAGTCTACTAGTAGTTGGGCTGCATCGAACAGTAATCAAAGGTCTTCCAATTCTCTTGCTTGTTCTATGCCCATGATATCTTGAAACCATCACTGTTGTTCCAGTGTGACCACAGTAATATCACCACTACAGGGACGTCTTGTCAATTCTTCAATACAAAATTACTCACACTCAAACTATGCTCGTGAGCATGAGCCACTATTCTGCTGATCCTTAGCTTTGTCCTCTCGACGGTCCTCGGTTGCAACGAGTCGCACGAAAAGTGTCCTGTGAGCCTAGACACTGCAGACTGCCTTGGGAGGGGGAAATCCGGCGATTTACTATCTAGCATAGCCGCTCATCATAATTCCTGCCGTCGTCTCAGTTTGAAAGCATGATATGAGCACCCACGCTAATGGGTCCGCATAATAAGGCTTTATCTCGCCACATCGTAATGTTGTAGCCCAAAGTCAACTGGTTAGCTTGCAGCATCCACAAAGGGAGATTCCCGGAAGATGTAGTTATGACTGCTTAAATCCTTGGCTATGGTTTGTGCTACTCATCTATATGACAGCATTCAACAATGAACGCCTTCCTTCCCCCGCCCCCTTAAAGTAAATGTGACTCCCGTCGCCCGAAGCCCACTCTTAGCACTGGGGCCCTTTCTAGCCTGGCCTTAGCACAATAATGGAGCCCGAGTGACGCGGTTGGTGGGAGCAAGTGATAGATGCATGAATTTAGCGTACTAAAGGGTGACGCTTCTTTGATTGGCCCACTGGGCCATGGGCGCTACGCTGCATTGATGAAGGCCTACTAGAATAGGCTTTCCTGCTGCCTCATGGGTTGAATTCGCGCCGTTTCCCAGCCTGCGCATGGGAGCTAAACTCACACCCCGTCGCTGAGGCAGCCACCCACACTCCATCTCCTACTATAATCTGGGCGTCAGCCTTTCCATTTACCAAGAATATGTGAATTGCGGAAATACCTACCATAACACGATCCAATATTCTTGCACTCACAACATCAGTAATCAGTATTGTGAGAAGACAAGCATTTCCATCATGGCGTCCACTACCACCGTCGCCGCAACGACGACGACGACGGCGTCGACGACGAGCAGTGTTGATACGGCGACTATAACAACATTAGCCATGTCGAGGGTCTATACACCACCAGCTTCCTGCTCCAGCTCTTGGACCTACGAAGCAGAAGCTGCAAATGACGTTCCGAACGGCCTATTGATGCAGAATTGTGTATCAGCCGACACGGGATGTTTTCCTTCTGGATTCTCTCACAATGGGAGAGTGATCGGAACAGACATGGTTTATAGCCCTGGGTGGTGTCCTATGGGATACACATCCGCAGACATGGTTATTTCCCAGGCTGTAACGACCGCAGTATGCTGCATCTCGTACGTTATGTCACCAGAAGGCTTTTCCTGGCCTGTCGCTTGGGTTACTGAAAGCTGACTTGTTCTGTTCAGGGGATTCTCGTACTTCACTGAGCTAGAGTATCAGGCACTCGGAACTCTCACATATGCTGGTTGTATTAGCACTTTGCCGTCATCAAGTTCCACGATAGTGACCGTTCGCCAAACCGACATAAGCACACAAGTCACTGGGCCGATCACGATGTGGGCGCAGCCTATTCGAATAGAAGTGCAAGCTACGGACGTCAGTCTCTTCGTTACCACAACATCTACATCCTCTTCTACTGCAAGCACCACGGTCGCCGAGCCTGCCTCAACAAATTCCATCGTCTCCCCAACATCCACTGCGACAGAGTCTTCTTCAGCCGAAAACGCCAGCAACGGCCTATCTACCGGAGCTGAAGTTGGTATTGGCGTGGGTGTAGGTGTCGGCGCCCTCTGTCTCCTGATCGGAATTGCCTTTTTGATCCTGCGGCACTATAAACTGAAAAGAAAGGCACGTATTGCGAATGCTCAGTACCCATATTATTATGGGGGTGAGCTCGTTACACCCAAAAAAGCCAGACAATCGGGCCCGTCCGAGCTGCCTACGACTGCCGAGAATGGAAATCATACCAATATCCACGAACTTTATGCTTAGAAGGTACTGGTTTGGCGGATCTTATATACCCTCACGTTTTTTGAACGGCCTGCCTGTTATGATCGTTCTAGAAGCATTTTTTTGTTTATCTACGCGTTCCGGATTTGCATCTTATGTATATAATTTCTGAGTTGGAGTTGATGCGGTTATGTTAGCTATACTGTGTATAGTAATATCATCAAAGACCCCTGTGTACCTGCACGGCCCACCGTTGGTATTTTGTCAGAGTCCATGCATGATTCAGTTCTGCTGACGCTGATTAGTGCAGGTACAGCGTTTCTTGGCCACAAAAGTTGAATAAAGAAAAAGGAACATCAGGCTCGGACGTATTACCGAAGACACCCGTCTGCTATCGCACTATTACGATTTCCAGTCATTGTTTTAGATCGGTTCCACTATATGCCACCAACAATAGCTACGATCAAATTTTGTTTGTAGCTGTAAGTGTGCTCGGAAGACGTCGATTTCGTTCCCCTTGATTAAGCTTCATTCCAATCCAATCAATTCGGTAGGCTCGCTGATGGGCGACTATTATCGGGAAAAGTAGATATCGAGTATATTACGAATCACTAGCTATGTCATAGGAATTGACGAGTCAGGGGTATCTTATTGCACTCGAAATTGCCATTCTCACAATCATCGATCGGTCGGCATGCTACGGAGGGGATACGGAGAAGAGAATATCCGGAAACATCTCTTACACACAGCCAGCGCGCTACAGACGCCAAAGTCTAGTACTGCTTAGCCTACACTAGCGATACGCCGGCGGAAATTTGGGAAATGAAAGTCGTGTCGATCTGATCAGGTGGGAAGGTCCAGGTGCGTGTGCATCATCAGGTGCGTGGCAGAAGCGTAAGGAACATCAAGATCACCCTGCTGCGGCCCCGGCCGAAAGGGACCCGCGGATCAGCAATTGCTTGGTTGGGGGCTGACAGGACAGCGCCTACACAACATAACCGACGGGTCTGATCTACTGTCTTAGCCTACATTCGATCACAACATCCAGTGCGAGTTGTAAAGAGCTCCGATACCCACGTGCCATGTCACTCAGTGGTCAGGTTTCATATCGAGGGACAATCTTGTGGCTTGGACATGGATGGTGCATTCGTAGATGGCACCTCACAAGGCTCACGGCGCGATTTGCCTGGTTCTCTACCATTTCTCCTCATTGTGACCCACTGAACCCCTGTCGTTCATATATTTAGTTCACCGACCCAAAAAAATAGTGCGAAGAGGTCGAGTGGGCGATTAATGCTGATCACTGAATGGGCGAGATTGTGATAGAGGAGCAGGGTCCTGGCGGACTCAGGCGCGCACCAAGCAACCTGCATCTCATCCACTTCGCCTCCCAGCCGAGCATTCATCCTGCAATAGAAACATACATAGGCGCTTGTCCTCGATCCAATGTCGGTTTTTTGGCTAGTTGTAAACTTCTCATGGGATTGGCACAATGACTGTGACGGACACCCTAAACCTTTCATATTACTGGGAATTCCCGAGTAATCAAAGACTGCGCTTGCTTTACCTGCTTTTAATATCGGTTTCGATTGTTTCCCTGTTCCTGCGTGGGGCTTTGACATACTCCCCGCATCAGACTCAAAACAGGGAAGGGTGGGGGCCGACGACGTCTTTATTGGATGAGCATAGCAGCTTACAAGCCGTAGAGAATAGGACGCTAGGGGTGAGATTTCATGCCCAAATCAGAGCGTTCTGGCACCTTTCCATACTGATTTCTTCTATGAGATAGTTTCAAAACGTGCTTTGCATCAATCTACCAAGCAGGACAGATAAACGAGATGCTATCACTCTGGGTTCCTCCGTCACTGACTTTCATGTCGACTGGATTGAGGGGGTATCTGCGGAGGATATGGATCTCAAGGCATACCCACCGGTGAGACTTGCGTCATGTAACCCGACATACGTGGTTTTGATTACTGATATTATATAGCACTACGGAGAGCCAGGTAGACCGATTATGATACCAGGAGAAGTTGGGAACTGGCGTGCACATCTAAACGCCATGCGAAGGTACGTAAGCTGAGTATATGTTCTGAATATGTGCTATCCGGTCTAACATAAGCCAAGGATCGTGTCTGACCGTCTCACCACCGCACTTATCATCGAGGATGATTCAGACTGGGACGTGACATTGAAAATCCAGCTGCATGAATTTGCTCTAGCATCACAGTCCCTTCAGAAAGCCAGAAAGGTAAAGGCCCCCAAGATTTTCAGACATCGCACGCCCAATACAGCACCCAACTCACCATACGGAGACGAATGGGGCATCCTCTGGCTAGGACACTGCGGCATGACGTGCCGACAGGATGCTCCCTACTACAAAAGAAGCAATGATTCCACTGCCCTCCCAGTTGACAGCCTCCCGCCGTACTGGTCCGGCCGTGCATGTACATGACAATGTTGACAAAGCTCCAAATACGCGCATCATCTGTCAAACCCGTTACGTGATATGTACGGGTGCATATGCCGTTTCTTATAATGCGGCTCAGAAGATCATTGCCGCTCTATCGGTGCTACCGTCTGACGAGATATTTCCGCCTGGAACATCATCAATATTCGACGTCTCACTTGGTAGGCTATGTGAGAACGGCTACTTGACGTGCTACTCTTCCTTTCCTTCGCTGATTGGGAATTGGAGGCCTGCTGGCTCGCCGTCAAGGAACTCGGATATACAGATTGTTCAGAATAGCGAAGGCGAGTATCAGGAGGCGGTATCATCGGGGATTGCACAGAGCACCATGCTCAACCTAGATAAATTGCTGGAGGGTACGCATGGGACAGACCCTGCCATTCATCATTCGGTCGCGCCTGAGGCGAACTTATATGACAAGCGGCCACATCTGGGAGGTGGCCTATATGTGTTAGATAACGATACGATGATAGAAAGGAAAGTGTAACTTTAGATACAATATGTATGACTTGCTTTTACTGTCCGAAGCCATGTATACAAGTACCACAGAGGCCGACCTGGAAGAATAGGGTTGCTTATAAGACCCCGCATTTCGCTTTTAAATCTCTTTCCTCTCAAAAGAGGATCCCGAGCTCGCAACAAAAGTCTTCTCTTGGCCTCGAATGCAAGTGTGAAACTCCTCCTGCATCAATCATTCAGTTTCTCAACTCACCTACCGCATTTGTTTTAGTGTGAGTTTCTTTACCCGAAAGTTTGAGCTGAGTGATTCCTTTGCGGGGATAAGCTTTCTCTCAGACGTTGCCGGATCGGGTTCGAAATTTACTCCTCTGTACGAGTTTTGGGGAGAAGGTATTGGGGGTGGGGTTTGGTGAGGGGAAATGCGCCGCATTTATGTAGCATAGAGTACTAAGTAACACCATGAGTTGATGAATAGGGTTTGTGTCTGGCTCATTATATAAAGGGTAGGGTGTATTCCCAGTTCGCAGAGTCTGGCATATGCATACTAGTCATCGGCTTTCCCTTTCGGAATCCTCATTTTTTTTACAATATATCAAGTACAATGATTGCTTCTAACAACAAGCCTTCTTTCGCACGCTTTAATGCTACCACTACCTCTACTGATGTCCTCGTCGAGGCGATCCGTCGAGACGGGGGAGTGATCGTAGAGAGCCTCATCACTCGCGATGCAGCGGAGCAAATCAAACAAGACCTGAAGCCACACTTCGACAAAGATACACCAGACAAGTATGGTCTGTTCCCTCCGACAACCCAGCGTGCTACTGGTCTGCTAGGCATCTCGGATGCCTGCATCGAATTGGCATGTAATCCAACATATATCAGCATCGCCAATGCACTTGTCTCGTCAAGTTATTCCTTCTGGAGGGGCGATCATAAGGTGACGGTGTCTGGGAAGCCGATCATCTCTAGCACGGCTGGGTTCCGAGTGACACCGGGAAGCAAACAGCAGGTGCTTCACCGTGACGATAAGTAGGCCTGACGGGACCTTTGCCAATTTTAGTAGGCTGATGAAAAGCAGTGACTATCACCCACACGATGCGCAACTGCCCGTGATGATTGGCTGTGTGACTGCATTGACGAAGACAACCAAGGAAAATGGAGCGACCGTTGCCATTCCGGGTTCACATCTCTGGGGCCCGGAGCGGCGACCATTAGATGAGGAGGCCATTCCTGCAGAATTGGAACCCGGTGATGCGTTTATCTTCTTGGGGAATCTGTATCATGCTGGTGGTGCAAATGTCACAGAGTATGTTGCTCCCTTCTTCATTTCAATGTTGCATTTTGGTGACCATCTTTGCGTTCAGAAACAATTATCGCGAAACGGTGGGAATTTTCCTCTGCAAGCCAACACTACGTCCAGCCGAGAACCAGTTCTTGGTAGTTCCCTTAGAGCGAGTGAAGAAGATGAAGCCCCAGGCCCAAAGACTTCTAGGGTACGGAGTCTGCGAGCCAGGGGTTGGATTCATGTATTATCAGGATCCAATGAGGGCGTTGTTCGGCGTAGAGGATGAAGAAACCGTTGATATGTGATGGCGTGACATGGCATGAGCTGCATGAAACCAGTTTTGTGATAGATAACGGAGGATATTCTCCAAGATCATTCCATCTCAGAACACAAGAAAATGACCCAGCTGTTGCTTGGAATCTCGACCATACTGTATCCACTTTCCGGTGCCATGATGCTTCGAGCTTGACCAGAATGCACGCAGAAAATCCAGCGCCCTGTGGTTGCACCACAACCCAGTCGTGACAAGTAGTTTGAGGAGAATCTGTTGAACTATCTGTTGCTTACCCTCATCTCCCCAACACTCTGTACCAGCAATAAAAAGAGGGAAAAAGAGATCCTGGGCGAACGCATCGCTGGAAGCCAAAGCAACCTTTTGAATTCTATCAAGGAGGATGGGTAAAGTGGAGGAGACGGTTTTCATCATTGAGGTTGGAGATGCAAACGCCTGATGGAGATATATAAGAGTTGCGTAATAATGGGTGTCTATGAGGGCTTCAAAGCCGTCTCGCGTAGTCTTCCCCTGGGCCAACAGACATGTGATATCCGACATACTCATTTGTGCGGAGGCTTGCTCTAGCTTTGCTTGCCAGATGTTGAAGTCAACATCAGGTGGCTGTCGGCCTTCATTGAGATACCCATAATGATGTCTTTCCATGGAAGTGATGTCATTGATCAGGTCTGTAAACGTCCAGGGCTGAAACTCAATTGCGGTAGTCGCTACTTTACTGCTGCTTGAGAACGAGAAGACGTTGTTGAATACCTCAACGTCCCTGATCTCTTTGATCGCAAATTGTGTCATAGGATCGAGAGACTCGTTGCGAGCGCACACGCCGTACCTGCTTACGATCGACCGACATGCATGTAGATGAGTAGTCCAATCGGTCGAATCGCGAGTCACCAATTCCGCATGGCAAAGTGTAATCGCAGCAATGAGAATTCTAGTCAGACATAGCTGGTCAGGTGGCTTCACGGCATGGCAGTCTAGTTGGCGCTGGATCTCTTGGTTTAGGCTGCGTAAGGCAATATCTCTTAGGCTATAGTTGACCTGTTTCATACGTAATGCAATGGTACCAGTAGAAGTGGCTGCTAAGTGAGCGGCAGCGAGGTTCAGTATAGACAGGCGGACACTTATAGACCCCTGTGCCAGAGGTAGCACGATCTTCCTCCAAGGATTCTTGTGACTGTCGATCCACGAGAATATGCTTACAACATGGCAGCTAAAATGATTGATCAGCCGTTCACCTAGAACTGTCGATGACTGGCGACGACTGAGACCGTCATCTGTCAGCGGGTTAGGGATCGGCGGACTGGCCTCCACAACAAAAGTATGGAGGATAGCAGTACCATGCCTAACGAGGTAGCCTTTCGTTTCTCGATCTTGCGGATGACTGAATTCAGATCGAGATGAGATCTGGTTCGCCCGACGTGCCATAGAATGGTTCCAGTTCAATTGAACTGCGTCGAACCCAGGACAACAGTGCCCCCGAATAGTGCATTTGCGGCACTGTGGGATAGTCCGATCACATTTTATGCGTCTTTTAGTGCATAAACGGCAGTCTGAAGTGTCAGCAGGTTTTGCAGTGAGTTGTGATCGAGATTCTCCGTACCTCGGGTTGCAATTTTCCGATCGGCGGGGAGAAAGTCATTTCGGACATTCTTCATGGTGTAAGCCGGTTAGGGGAGTATATCCCGGCAGCAAGCATGAATAGAACGAGTCCTAAAGATTAGCTGGTATTTGGGGGCCTCAGCGACTGGCGTTGTGGCATGTAACTGCGAGATGGGTTTCTATCGCTGCCATGTTCGGGGGTGGATGAGCGGATAACAAAGTCGATAGCCTCAAACGGGATGGTTATCGCTGAGTGGGTCACATGATCTCCACAGTTCAGCACAACGGGCATTATTTCCTGTTACGATAGCATGTCCATGAATTCGAAAACGTAAAGTGTTCGGTTTGAGAGCCCTCAAGATCAGATTTCGATTCCGGTTATTGCAATTATGGGCAGAGTGGGATGGGAGCGAGAAATTCTCGATATAACTATTTTTCCCTGTTTCAGTAGGTCCCGGCGAGGCTGCGGCCAAGGCCGCCAACAACCGATTACCATATTAGGCAAGTGCCGGCGGCTATACATACAACCATAAGGTGAACCAGCTTCTGTATGCTGGACATCAGAAGGCATAAATAGAGCACATTCCTCCCCAATACTGTTGTAACCTCACAGGAAAGATCCTAGAGCATACAGCTTCTCAGGTACTTGATCATCACAAGAAAAAGCTACCATGAGTTCCGTCCACATTGCAGTTGTCGGCCTTGGCCGGATGGTACACATCTATTTCATTCACGAAGACTTGTGCCACAGTGCTAATATGCTTTCAGGGCAAGCGTCATGTACATACCTTGCTTTACCGTGTTCCGCGAGCCAAGGTCGTGGCAGTCTGCAGTACTGATGCTAGCGAGATTGAATGGGCCACAAGCAACCAGGAGTACAACGAGTTTGGCATCACCGTCTATGACAACTACGACAATATGCTGGCTCATCCTGGACTTCAGGCAGTTTGGATTTCGAGCAGCACTGACGTCCATGCAAGCCAATCTCTGGCAGCTATCGACAAGGACCTGCATGTCCTTTGCGAAAAGCCACTGAGTACCGACTTGGCCGAGGTCTGCTACCCTTGTCAATATATCTGACATTATAGATGCTAATAGCTCGTCACTAGGCCCAATCAGTGGTTGATGCAGCGAGAGCCAAGCCTTCACTCAAAGTGATGGCCGGTTTCTCGCGCAGGTTCGATGCCTCCTACCGGGACGCGAGCCAGAAGATCTTCGATCAAAAGGCCATTGGATCACCGTTTTTGGTGCGGTCGAACACCTGCGATCTGAAGGATGAGACGGGCTTCTTTGTCCGATACGCGTCCCGCAATGGTGGTATCTTTGTCGACTGTGCCATTCACGATATTGACTTGTCGCTCTGGTTCTTGGATAACCCGACGCCCAAAGCTTGCTGGGCAGCTGGAACGCTGCAGCATCACCCAGAGCTGAAGGACCTGGCGGATGTGGACAACGCAGTCGGTGTTGTCGAGTTCTGGGGCGGGAAGATTGCATACTTCTACTGCTCACGGACTCAGGCACATGGACACGATGTCTGCACCGAGATCACCGGAACCGAGGGTAAGGTAATGGTCAACGTTATTCCCCGACAGAACAACATTGTCCTTGCCGATAAACTGGGTATGCGACACGAGGTGCAGCCGGAATACTGGGAGAGATTCGAGAATGCATTTGCCGTCGAAGCCAACGAATTTGTGACTGCGGTACTGAAGGACACCGAGGTTCCGCTGCCGCTAGAGCGAGGAATTATGGTGATGAAGATCGGACAAGCTTTGCAACGTGCTCTGCTGTCTGGGGAAGTGGTGCGCTTTAACGAGATTGGCGAGCGGCTGAACTGCAATGATTCACATTAGATTGAAGTTGGTAGAATTCAATCGAAATAAAACATATTTCTTGATGACAAAGTTCTCCTGGGACGGATTCAAGGGATGCGGGGATGTGGGGGACTTCCCCTCAAGGTGGCTTTTGGCCCAAAAGAGCAGGCTCCGCCGTCCAGTTGCCGTTACCGCCAATTGCTTCACTTCCCAACAATGCCGCCATCATCACAATCTACACTGGCACGGACACCTTGCTCTAACTGTCGCGGTAAGACCCTCAGAGTATAATTCATCTTCTGGAGATATCGTCTAGTGCTAATCGATCCCAGAGAAACACGTGAGATGTAGGTCTGCTCCTCCCGAACCCGAATGTTCTAATGTTTGCTTGAGTCAAGTACAGGTGACAAACAACAACCGACATGCACACGATGTAAAGAAAAAGGCTTAGTCTGTAGGCCAGTACAGAGGAAGTCAGTCTTTCGCCAAGGGTCGACGGCCAGGCTTGATGGGAATTTCTCGAAAGATCAATCTTGGATGAGCAGCCAGCCAAAAAAATGGAAGCTATTCTCAGGAGACTCTTCACTCCCAGAGTCCCTGGATGTGACTCAGAGCCCAACACCATTCCAGGAGCCTACAGAGCGATGGGAAACGCCAACATCCGACAAAATTGATGGTCCTATATGGGCCCAACGTGAGGATCGGACTTCCCCCTTTGATCCTTCACGGAATGGCTTTCGCACCTTCGTTTTGGAGGACACGACCAACGTCAACAGATTATCTAATGTTGCAAGCGAGTGGGAATCTGTGAACAACTCTGAAAGCAATCGCTCGATCAATGGAATGTCACGGTCAAGGATACTAGTTCAGACAGATGACGCTTCATCTGCTCTTGAGCCCGGGCAGACCAGCGTGCAGGAAGCTTGTCTTCTACGCCATTTCATCGAGGAAATATCGCCATGGGTAAGGCACTAACTACTTGTGATGCCTATTTTACTGAAATATCGTAGTTCGATCACTGCGACGACCGCCGACACTTTCAATTAGTAGTACCGCGTCGAGCACAATACTGCTCGATCATACGCAACGCTCTATTCGCAGTTTCTGCTCGCCACCTAGCTCGCCTCCCGCAGTACGCAACACCCCAAGGAGTTTGCTATCGTGGACAGCTTCTTCCCGACCTGGAGAAATGTACAGCCGTAGAATACACGCTCAAATGCATTCCCGAGCTTCTCAGATTCCCTGAAATAACCGATCCCACTGAACAAGAGAATATAATGGTTGCCACAGTTATCTTACGCCAATACGAAGAGATGGAAGAGGACATAGAGGACAACAACGATACGATCGCAGACATGTCTACGCACGATAGAGTCAACTTCTTAGCCATCACGCAGAGAATTATCGATGCCATGATCTCCCACCGGTTGGAGCAGTCTCTTGCCACTGCAGCTTATTGGATAGTTATACGACAGGAGGTATACTACGCACTGACAAGACAACGGCCGCCCAAAATGCGATTCAGTCCAGAAGACTGGGGGAAGGCGTCTGCTGCAAATACTTTGGTAATGCTCGCTAGTGAAGTGACGAAGTGGCGCTGGGGGGACGGTACGCGTGAGGAATGGAGTTCGTTCCCTTCCTTACTACCATTTATCCATCTCCTGCATCACTAACTCATTCCCCAGACCGCCTCATGCTGCGCCACAGAAAGCTCAGACATGACTACCATTCCAAACTAGCACCGATATTCGAAAAGAAAGCAGATAGATCGCGTGGCGAACTATTCCCTACAATATGGTACAGCTCCGACGAACAGGTGACTGCAGTGCAGCACCTCGAGATAGCCAATATGATCCTAACCGCTCAGAATCCATACCTTTCGTACGTCCTACATATCCTATCCCTCCGCTGATCCCCATGTACTAACCTATCAGAAACTCCACTCGAGCTGCGCATCGCAAAGCGGAAGCAGAAGTCCGCTCCATCCTGCTCAGGATATGCGGCATTGCAGTGAACCACGCCCATTGCCACCCGGCTTTAGTCACTGCCGTGATATCTATTGGTCTCTACGGGGAGTATTTTACCGAGCTGGACGAGCGCGAGGCGTTGGTTGGTATTATCAACCAGACTCGTGATTTGCATTCGTGGCCGATGCAGAAGTGCTATGCGCGATTGAGGCGGGGTTGGGAAGAGATAGATAATTGCAGCCCTTGAGTGGCCATCAGCAACTTGTGTCATATTCCACAATAGATCTGTGATTTTGTAGATAGGTGTTTTGGACATCAAAGTGCTACTGAAGATGTAAGTATTACATACGAGGCAGTATGATCCGACACAGGTAATATAACTTTTGTTAAGTAGATGATCCTTTAGCCATGCGCCCCCTCTTCGGCGCTATCGCCTTAACGCACGACCACGAAGTCAAATAATCCGCGCTCTGCAGCGCATCCTGCAACAGAAAGTCCTGACCAGTCATAATCTGCTGCTGAACGCGCTCAATATGCCCAACAGTAGACATATACTGATCCACCGTAGCAGAGGGCGAACTCGCAGCCGAACTTGAGCCAGACCCGGACGCGGAACCCTCACTCACCGTCAATTCTGGCACATTCTCCGCATCCTTCTTGATATCCGCTTTCACAAACTCCAGCAAGAGAAACGACGCCCATTTCGACTCGAACAGTCCCTCCCGATGCGGCCATTGCTGCAGCACTTCGATGGCGCGCAGCCGTACTCGGATATCGTAGCATCCGAACGAGATCAGATACAAGCTGGGTAGAATGCCCACGTCTAGTGTGAATGCTGGTCGTTCGGGGTACTTGTGTAATAGTGCTTCGACGAGGTATAATGCTTCTTGGTATTCCGGGGTGTAGATGTCGAGCACGGCGGGGTTCTTGGCTAGGAGGCAGGTTTTGACGGACAGTGTGAGGGTCCGGTGGAGGATGTAGATGATGTCGGAGCCGCGTTGCTCTTTTCGCGTGAGGGTGGGGTATGCGTGGGTGTAGAATGGGGTGAAGAGTTCGGCGTAGTGGGTTAATTGGGAGAGGAGTTGGTATTGACGCGGAAGCAGGGCGTTGTAATCTCTCGCCACGTCGGCGGGAGATAGTGGCCAGGATTGTGATGTGAATCGGAATACTCCACTGACTAGGGGCTCGATGGCTTGACGGGCCTCGATGAGGCTTGCGAATGACTCGGTATTTTTCAGTTGCCATTGGTATTTGCCTAGTTCGTTGTCCACGCATAGAACTGGTCCGTCGACGCCGTAGTATGTCGATTGGATATCTAGCTGTACGAAGGCTGCCACTAAACATTTCTCCACGGGTGACTCAGTTTCGTCTGCTAGAGGCTTCTGGACTTTGAGCTCTCGGAGTATACGTAGGCCTCCTTGGAGGTGGTGGCATGCTCGCTCGTATTGGCCCTGTAGGAGCTCTAGGAGCGAGTATAGAAGACAACAGAGCAACATGACCTCTCTCAAGTGGGGATCACTCGCATGCCGTCGGCTTAATATCCCGAATGAGCGTGCGGACTGTTCGAGTGCAAACTTCTGCCAGATATTCTGTCGAGTCTGTCCTGGCAATGGCATCCCCGATACCTCGACGTCCTGGTGTACGGCGCTCAAGGCCACCGCAGCGTGGTAGACTGCCGGCTCGGAGTAACTGATTTGAAGGACGAGCTGCTTCCATAGTTCCGAGTCGAATAATTCCAGTAATCCTGGGATTGTAAAGTGTTGGAAGTGTGAGAAGCAGCGCCGCTCGTCGGATGTTATCGTCCAGCGGAAGCCGTCCGTTACTTGAGGGAGTAGGTCGTGGGGAAAACGGTACGTATTATTTGCGGCACGGGGGAGGCGATGGATGTCATAGGTACAAGAGCGCCCGGTTGATGTGCAGTTTTTGCATTGGTTGGGGGTTTCGTCGCATTTGATGCGGCGGGCGCTGTATATATGCGACGGAGGATTAGCGGCAAACCGCAGTCATGTGAGACCTGGATGGTAGTAACTTACCGACAGGTGCGACACCCATTTCGCGATCTTGTGCCGTCTGACCTTCTGCGCTTCGTTGGATCTGATGTGATGGGCCTTCGCGGCATGGCTGCACGATACGATATTGCAGGTTGGGAGAATGAAGAAACGAGACAATGATTCTGAAGAGAAGCGAAGGCATGTGCAGTGTGAGGGGAGCCTTGAGGCTGCTGCTGCAGGCCAAGCTGACGAACCCCCAAGTTCAGGCATGGCCAATGGTGGATCTGAGACACCAGCCGTGGCGGGTTAGTGATTGCTGCTAGTGAGTCCCTCGGCCCTGTTAGCCTTGCGAGGGGGTGGGACGGAGCACAGCAGCATCGCCATCTTATCGACGAGAATTGCGTCCAAATCCACAGTGGAAGGGACCGGCCGGGTAAAGCGGAGGGATTTGATCCACTGATTAGCCCCCAATAGGCAAAAGAGACACCCCACTAATATCTCCTAAACTTGTGACAGGCGAACAGGCTAGTCGCCCAATCCAGACTGCTTCAACCGCAAAATGCAATGAACGGAGGCTGCTCCATGCTCCGCTCCGGGGCTTCGGCCCCGGAGTGGCGCCAGGCACCAATTTCGCCCTCGACATGGTTGTACGGATAGTAAATTGGAGATCTGCGTTACTTTTGCATTTTGGTGTCTGAAGGAGGGTACGTGCATATGATGTGCAAGAGGCATTGCCTTTGGCTACAACGACTGTACCTCGGATCTGACGAAGAGCACTAACGTGGCCCTTCCTTAGCGGGTAGATAGGCGATAGCTTCGCCGATACCCGTAAACATCCTGATTGAGTGGGTTTGTAATAGGCCCAATAACGAAGCAACTTTGGGCGAGTATAATGAAAAAATAAGCTGCACATTTCTGCTCTGCATGGCCCCTCAATCTGCCTTCTACTCGGGCCTCTCGCATCGACAAAACCTAAACCTAGCCAGGAGGATAAAAAGCGCCGACCATGGTCTTGACTATCGACTGTTTAGAAAGACAGCGAGAAAATCGTCGTGTCCAATATTGATCGATGAATAGAAACGGGGGTTAGCCTTCGAATTGAGTATGGACGAGTTGTGCGATGTCTGGCCTGTGGCCATTGCTCGTCAGTTGGTTAGCGCATATAATCTCACTCGACCGACAATGGAGTGGCAGCTGTACAGAGACTCGCAATGACGACAAGCATATCCTCTATTCCTCTACCACATCGGGTAGAAGTTCATCGTGGGCCAACCTGACTGATCCGCGTCAACATCCATGACGGCCTGTTCAAATATGTCCGAATATCCACCAAGCCCACAAGCTACGCTGCCAAATCCTTCCATGCCAGATAGCAAATTAGGAATATCATGCTCCGTGGGCATGGAGAGTGAAGTGGTCCCCTCCGTGTCATTCGGCTGCTCTGCGTTGCAATTTCCCGAGTCTGAATGCAGATTGTTCAACTTGGTTCTAACATCCTGCACAATCCATGGTGGCGCTATCGACTTTCCATGTTCCCCCAATGCTGCTTGATGCGCCTCCCAGGCCTGAAGGACATTTCGCGCGACATTCTCAAAGACTGGGGGGAATTTATGCATATCTTTGAAACGTAACTCCGCGTTTTCGCTCATGGTCTTCCACATTTCACGAGCATGCGCTTGCATGGGCCGCTTCTTCAGATCTTGGATGGCATGTAGATATGCAGGGAATGGGAAGTGCATGTGAACGTGCCAGCGGTACCGTTTTGTATGGGGGGATCTCATCAACATAGTATCAGACTTGAGGATTCGTATTGCGTAGGAGCTGGCGGTGTTGCGCTGCGTTTCTGATTGCTTCGTGGGCGAGAATTTCGAGTAGAGTTCAAGCAGAAGGTGTTTTGCAAGGAAGCCACGTATCGTCCAGATCGTCATGTAGTGAAGGGGATTATCTGGATTGCAGAGTCGGAGATATTTGTCCTCTATCTTCCTTTCTATGTCAGTCATGCCATCACCTTTCGTGTCTCTGGCGACCGCCTTCAAAGATGGGTTGATATAATCCAGGTGAAAGGCGCTGTGTCGCAGAAAGTCCCCCAGTTCACTGCGCGCAGATATAAACAATGCTTCAGTCGGGCTCGCATAAGCAGCTGGCGAGTCCTTCATCTCCGGTTGCAGATCATTATCGGTCACATTGAGCGGGCTTCTACAATCCCAAGTTGGTATCAACATTGAAGTTTTGTGATCCGACATCTCGCCAATGCGGTTGTCAAACATTATCAGCGACCACCATAACCTCCGGCGCATCTCGCGCTCGAGTGGGCAGTATCTTGCATTTGTCCTTTCGTCATTGATGCTCATGCGTTGAGCGATTCGAATGGCAACTCCAAGCACCGAAGACAGAGATCTCGGATCTGTTTCAGACCTCATAGACACCTAGAAGTGTTAGAGGCACACGAGAAAAGGCTACTCGAGGGACTAACCAGATAGAGCAACAAAGCAGTTAAGCACTCGCGATCCCCGGTGCGTAACACATCACAATTAAGCAAGGCTTGCTGACATCCAAACTGATATCCTTGCAAAAGTTCTTTCCTCGGAGACCCGAACGAGCTTCGTTCGTCATCGAGACTCATGATAGCGACGCTGTACAAACTGAAAAGGAGCGCTTCCAGTTCCGGGCTTATACGAGCCAGATCACTAAGAGCATCAAATATGCGTGCTTGGAGAGTCGGGGTATGTGTGACTTTGAGCAAAGGGTCGACATTGTCCAAGTAAATCTGCCAGAGCTTGAAAATCTGGACTTGATCAGGATGCAAAGTCGATAGATCTACATTGGCTTCATGTGATCCAAATATGAAATTCTGGTGGTTGTTCTTGTATGCCTGATCAAACATCTTTCTCACGGCAGTCCCTCCCAAAGTGTCCTGCGAGTGACTGGGATCATCCTCACTGTTATCATCAAAATCGACATCCTCAGCATCTTGTGACTGACGTCCACTGTAAGCATAGTTCAGCCTAACTCATATAGAGCACATACCACTAAACTGAGAACTTTCCAGTAATTCCTAAACAACTGTTAGTGCAAATCGGATAGGCTATGCATTGCTGCGGGAGCCACAACTTAGCCGCGTATACTGGCTCAGCCTTGACAGTCATGCTCTCCTTTGACTGTCCCTCTTCCCCAACAGTACGCTCTTCAGAACGAGCATGTTCTACAAACTCCGGGGTCCTGCTGTCTTCTCCAGCAGGGGCATGCAAAGGCTCAAAGGGTATATTATGTTGGCGCAGCAAATCCTCATACTTCCGAAGGCGCTCCAAAAGCTCTCGTTCGGGGAACCTGCGACGCCGCGGCCGCGGGGCCAGAGTGGGCACACACTGCGCGCCGGCCCGAATGCAGCTGGCGCAGGGGAACTTGCGGTCGCATCTGACCTTGCGCTGCTGGCACAGCACACATGCAAGCACACGTGGAGATTTCGCGGCTGATCGCGAAGAGGTGGGCGTTGAAGCCCTTTGCTCTGGTGGTGGCATTTCGTTAATGGGTCTCCTTTTTGGCCCATGGAGAGCTTGAAGGCGATGATCGGCTTCCCGGCGGCGTGGAGAACCGCTTCCCGTTTACTCATTTGTCAGGTGACCGTTGCCTCATATTCTGCAGATTCGATAATGACTGTTGAGTCTCAACTTTATTGGAGGCTTGTCGTAACCCTGGCTGAGAGATAAACAATTGAGAGTTTTATGTCAGTAATCAGCTTGGATCAATATTCCATACTAAGCACGTATATCGAGAGCAGTGGTCTACTCAAGCAAGGTCTGTCTGGATCCTATGTACAAATCCCCCATACAACGACTTGATATAATGCCTCGCAAACACTACTACAAGGCACACTGAATGATATTAACACCCGCATTTCTTTTCACTGATTCAATGCTCATAGCTTTGCCCTTACTTTCGTCTTGCCCGCCTTCCCTTTCATGAAGTATTTGTCCATTTGCGCCAGCCACTCGTTTGGGATAGAAGATCTCTCTTTAGCAGTGAGTTCCAGCCAGCCCTTCTGGATCCGGTCTTCTTCTTCTTTCCATCTGGCTATCTCATGTTTTATCCATTCAGAAGCAGGTTCAGCAACTCCTGCCACATCCTCGAACGGAACGAAGTGTCCACCTTCGGGTATCACTATCTCCTTGACGCGGCCGTTCTTGTATCCACCACTGCCCCCAACCCCTGTGCCAGTCCGCTGTAGCTTCTCTGCTCGTTGATCTGGTGTCGCCATGATACTCTTTCCGCCATAGATCCATAATACCGATGGCCGGACATATTTGAGTAGTCTCCACAACAAGATGGGTTCATAGCGGTAGAATGGCAGAGTTTTTGACTGGCCGGTCACATCGACATAGAATGTGGGATCTCGTAAGTAATCTGGCTGTTTGTTGCCGTCCATGTTCAAGGGCTGCAGGTCGACGAAGTTGGGGCGTAAGCTCTGTGCGATCTCTTGGTCTTTGGTGGTGGCCAGACCGACCGCGGACTCGGGGTTACCGGTTCCGGCTGAATCGGCCTGGAAATCTAAGTCTCGGAGGCCATATTTGAACCATAGATCAAGACATCGGGAGTCCCATACTTTAAGTGCTTTTCTGAAATAGGCATCTGCTTCAGAGCGGGACTTCCATGTATCCTTTTTGATCAGAGCTGATTTCGCAAAGCTCGGCCCTTTTCCGGATTTGAAATCCTTTGATATCACCGGTTCTATAAGGACGAGGGAAGTAAAAAGCCGGGGGTGTATCAGGGATAAGCCCAGTCTGGTAGATGGCAATTGTACGTTAGGCTGGATGTTCCTACGCTATATATGTTAGAGTAGAACTTACAGTTGGCCAACTCCGATGCTGTGTCCGACTCCAATAATAGGCTTCGGCATTTCATCCTTGAACTTATTAATCATATAAAGCAGGTCTCGGCTGTGGTCGAACCATGATGCTAGGATACGATTAACCTTGGGCAAACTTTGCTGGTAGCAAGTACAAAACGTACGCTCAAACCCTAGATGTTCCGCATTAATGGCCGCGCTCGCAGCTTGGTGGGCTGAATCTGCGATCCAAATAGAGCGGATTCGAAGTCCCTGGCGTCCTAGCCTTTCGTACACCTCCTCCCATAGCGGCTCCTTTAGTTCCTGTGCCATTGCATAAGCTTAGCTTACACTCTCTTGAGTCATGCATCGAAGCACAGTATACTGTGTAAATATACGTCACGACTCACCTTAGGGGATCCAACAGAAGTTGCTCCAATGATAGTCACATCACCGGGTTGAGGATTTGGATTCGACTTTGGTGTGTATTGTTTGACCGCAAGCTTTAGTGCATCATTTGTACTTCGAGTTGCACGAGCATACTCTCGAATATGCTGGCAATCAACAACGTGTTCTGTGATATTGAACGGGAAAGGCTCCATTCTTGGCTCGAACAGTTTGGAAGGACCTGATCAGCGTCTCGTGGCCGGAAACGTGCCAATTATATATACCTCACATCTGATAAGTCAGGCTAGTCCGGGCCAATCGACCTCTGTCGGTTATTTCAACCCCGATTAGCTCGCCATCAGAGGTGAACCATTGAGTTAAGGTTCTTAAGGACAGTGCCGCAGACATTACGGTCCTGAGTCGTTCTCGACTCCACTTGGTTGTCATCATCTTGCTTCAGCTGAGGTTACGACGCTATTTTACTCCGTAGACCGCATGCGGTTCTCTCGGCCCACTTCAAATTTGTCCCCAGTCTGAGTGACCAGTAACCTAAACTCATGGAGGCATTGACCCAATTCCTCACGCTCTCAAGGTAGACGAGTCATGCGTTGTGGACAACTACTGCAGATTGCTTCAGCAGAATGCTCACTAGCTATCGAAGCAAGCCCGACCTTCCAGATAACCTCAGCCAGCCACATAAATACGCCCGACCCGAAAAACTTCGGTGTGGTTCATGTCGACAGAGTTCGACTGACTCAGAAGAAGTGCCGAGGGCCCACTGTTCATTGATTTCTTCAGATTAGCGCTGGATACGTGGTGGTAGATAGTCTAGTCGCTAGTGGAAGGGCCGTGATAGGTGCCGAACCACCACTAGAGCGGATGTGGCTGCCTTGATAGACAGGGAGAGAAATGATATCCGAGCCGCCGCACAACAACAAACCCGAAAATATCCTCCAGCTGGCCGCGATCATGTACCGGTGCCTGATGCTCGGGTCCTTGTTCAGTCCTGCTTTACCTAAGGATCCATAACATGCCACCAAAAATGCGTATTGGCCGCTGGTTTCAAGCCAGCATCCCGGGATCAAAACTACTACTATACTCGTAGATAATGGGTGTTGTTGCTTTGTCAGGAAGCAGCTTCTATTGGGCCAAACGATAAATTACTAGTATTATCGTGCATCGCAGGAAGTCTCCGATCGGCAATGCCGGCATCGGGTTCTTGAGATCCATCCCCCTCGTGCAACAATTGTACACTAACATGGTTATTGATCCACTGTCGGCTGATGTGAAGGGGTCGGTAGAATCCATTCGGGACCCATTTGGAAAGGTCGCCAGATCCCAGGCATTGAAGAGCGTCCACACTGAATGACGGACAAATGTAAGCTGGGATGAGCTAGACTCTCAATAGTATTCACCCAGATTTGGATCGTATAATGTACTACTTACACTACCGATCAACAGGTCAGTTGATTGGCTCGGATACTGCTTCCCAAAAAGCAAGCACGGAATGCAGCAAGGATAGTGCTGGACATAGAAGGCACAGCGTCACCGCCGTCTTGTTTTCGCAAAAGCATAGCGGGTTTTCTCTGCTGATGGCTATATATTGCCCGCATGTGACCTGCTGCCTATGGCTAGTAGGATCTCTCGGGCTCCATTTAATCTTATTAACTATGCACTCCATCAGCGGTCTTGAAGACGCAGCAGTCACAGAGGTTTTGCTTATTTCGGGCAAACTCAGTTGGTCCACAGCTCTATACTTATGGCATCATGCTGTAGACCTGATGTCATTTGTGTGAATTTGTCTCATTGATTGGAAGAGTTCTGTTCTATCATAGTGGTATTTCATCGTTCTGTGTGGTGCACTCGACAACAAAACAAATATCCAAACTTCTGTCACCTTCGCAGTAGGTCGCCTGGAAAATGACGACCCTCATTATAATATGAACAATTAAACACCTGGAAACAATTTTTGAGTTTCTAGGTGTTAATTATACCCCTGTATCTACTACATTGTCTTTAGCTTAGTTTCACATTAATGAGTTCAAGCTGCCAACACCCAAGGGAACCATCCCCCCCTTATCGATAAGCCGAAAACCTCACACCCAACATTAAACCTCACATCACCGTCACCACCAGCCTTCCTCCATCCACACCAACACCCAGCAATCAATCAACCCAATACAATAATAACCCACAAACAAAACTACCAGATCCCACTATACCTCAGCCTCCTTCCACCAGCGAATTACCTATAACACACACAATGACCCCAACCCCAACCCCAACCCCAGACGACCCAACACCACCACCACCACCAACAACAACCACATCTACAGAACAATCGCCTCCCCGCCTCCCCGTCCAAACCCACCACTGCCGCTTCTGCAACCACCTCCTCCTCGCGACCACACGCTCCGTCTCCTCCCTCCCGCGCCGGAAAGACCCCGCCAAAGACGGTGCCTTAATCCTACCTCTTCCGCGCGATAACAGCACCGCCGACGAAGACGAAGAAGAACCCACCACATCACAATCACAATCTTCCAAGAAACAAAAGCACTACACGATCCTTCTATCCACCACCATCCCGGATCGCAAACACACGCTTGTGCGGAGGGAAGATGGGTTCGAGAAACGGTTGTTTCTGAGGTGCGGGCGGTGTAGAGTTGTCATGGGGTACTTTTTGGATGAGGTGCATTTTGGGGGGAAGAGTGCTGGGGCTGAAGGTGAGGATGAGGATGGGGAGAAGGCTAGGGTGGTTTATCTCTTGCCGGGGGCTTTGGTGGAGACGGGGGTTATGATGGGGGATGAGCTGGAGAAGGTGGTCAAGGGGTTGGATAGAGAGTGGGTGGGGTGGTTGGAGGGATAATCAGTTCGGATGGCGTATCTTTGATGTTGTGGGTTATGGGGTGTATTTCTATATGATGGGTTTGGTAGTGGCTATGGTGTTGGGAGGTGAAGTGGTCATTATGAGGAGTTGATTGTGCTATTTATACTTTACTTCCATATACCATGTATCATTTTATCATGTTTATTTATCTTATGTTTATCCGCTGCTGAATCGCGCAATATCCCATATACAATGCACTATAACTAAACTATGCTCAAGCCTTCAACTCCGGCACGGCTGGTAGGAGGTTCGCGTCGTAACAGAAATCATCAGGAACGTCAGGAGGGTATCGGTATCGTGTGTCGTTTAGTTGGCCAGGATGGTGCGGACGAGGTCTGCTGCTGTTAGCCTGACCCAACACAAAGGCATGGTGAACTTTCAGTTGGTGTAACATACCGGTGTAGTTGATCTCGCCGGAGCTGGTGTCGACGGCCTTGAGTAGCTCGTCAACCTCCTCATCCGACATCTTCTCACCGAGATTCGTCAGGACTGTAGCCATCATCAGTATCAACCCAATAAACTCCATCCTGCTTCACATACTGTATCGGAGCTGTCCCACACCGATAAACCCAGTCAGGTCCTTGTCGAACACCTGGAATCCGCGGCAGTATTCTTCGGGCTCGCCAGGGTCACGGAAGCCTCCAGGGCGGTTGAGGACCTTCAAGAACGACTCGAAGTCAACTGCGCACAAGTGTGTTAGATACACATTAGCCATTTCAGAGCAAGTCAAAACGTACAGTCTCCACCGATGGACTTCTCCAAATCTGCGATCTCCGCCAAAGTAGGATTCTGACCGCATGCGCGCAGGAGGTCGCCTAGCGACTCGAGCGCGACCTTGCCGGTACCACGCTTATCGAAGAGAGAGAAGGCTTCCTTGTAGTTGGTCGAAGCCTGGTCATGGTGCATATCTGGTGAGCGAGACATCTTGAGAGTGAAATCACACGTGCAAAAATCCGGGATGAAGAGTAGAGATCAGAGATGAAATGGAGGATGGAAAGAGGACAGGGAGATGAAGTGTGCCGATGACGAACAAGCAGCCACGACTACTAGTGAACCATGGAAACGAGCAAAGGGATTGGATGGGCCGACGAGGGGCCGGAATTCAATGGATCCAACCACACCAGTTATCCCCGAGGTTGACCACGACAGTCAACAAACAAGGGATACAGAGTGCTGCTCGTTCCTGATGCCATCCGGACAATTCTTCTCCCGCCAGCGAGGGATAATGATGCTTTTAATTGACATTGCGAGACGGCCACGTACCATGACTGTTTGTTGTGTTGATTGTGGTGATTGCGTGAGGAATATGCGACAGCGGGCTGCGAGGGATGGCGACAGGGGGATGTGGACGACGATCTAAACAAACGGAACGGCAATGGCAGGAGTACCACGTATGGCTTTGGAATGAAGGAGGAGGGCAGAATGGGGGAACAAGGAAAGGAGAAGAGCGGGCGGGATGGAGGAGAGAGTCCGGCTGCACTGTTTGCCCGGTTGTTGTTGTGGTAACCGGACACCTCAGGCACGACAACCCCCCTATCGATCTGCGCTTTGACTGATATGATGACAACATCAGCCTACGGAGTACACTGATTGCCGAGTAACTACTACTAGTACTGATCATGGAACATGATTGGCCTTTTTGAAGTTTCACAGAAGTACTTAGTACTAATATTGCAATAATACAAACATGCAACGCTATCCGTCCCATTGGTATCCAAGTCATAACACATGCGCAAAGTATTCAGACAGCCAACTCAACGTAAGCCACGCAGGAGAATACAGCAAACAAGGCAGCGGGTGCTTATCGAAACACAAAGGCGTCCCAGTACAAAAGAACAGAATCCTCCCTCAAACGCTATATACACACAAAAATGTAAGGGAAATTAACAAAAGAACTTATTTTGGTGGAGACGTAATATCTCAGCAAGCTGCTCCATTCAGCTTGTCGATACAACTGGTGAGCAGATTGGCAGCTTCGGCCAATAACTCCCAGCGCGTGTTGGCGAACCCGTCCCGGAGGATCAATAACAAGCCCAGACAGCGGTTGCATCCTTGCATCCCTTCCAAGTCGCTGGGCTCACGGACGCCGCCCACCCGGCGCAGAAACTCCTGCATGTCTTGCCGCTGTGCAGCAGGGGTGCTCAACTTGACAGGAGTCTTCAAGGGCCCTTCAAGTGCATATCCATAGCACCAGACCACTAGAGCCGCAACATACAGCACCCAGGGCCGGTTCAAGAGGTAATCGTCTCGACCCGAATACAGTTCCCCATCCTCGTTCAGTGCTCGTTTCTCATCCAGAAGGCACTCCGATAAGAACTTCAAAGCATAGAACGTGGCGTCGCGGGCTGTAGCCTTGGTGGCCCAGCGATCAACCATCTTTTCGCGCGCCGCTTTGTAGTCTCTGGGGGTGATAGACCGTCCCATGAGCCGACCAGCTCCAGCGAAGATTTGACAGTCGACAATATCAACGTGAGAAGCCATATGCGCCAATCCATGGAGGACGTCGCGCGACTCAAAAACATTATCGTCGTCTAGAGGATGTCGGGTACGGTATCCACCATGAAATGGCCCCGATGGTGACTGGCCCAGCGCTTCATCAAAGTCTCGTCGCCAATTATCATAGGCTCGCAACAGTGCTGACCGCCATTTGTCCCGGCCTCCCAATGCCGGTGGCCCACCCAGTGAGCTCACCTGTAGGTCTCGTTGATTCATGTGCCAACTGACGCTAAGCAAACCAGCCATAAGAATGGTTCGTCCAAAAGCATTTGTCCGGACCCGCTGTCCGTTAAGCGTCTTCTTAAGGCCGTCCAAAAACATGACAGGCTTGACTCCGTTGGCATGCAGGCTCGATTGCACTCGAGCTACCTCAGAGGCGCTAGTCGCAGACCACAGCGCCTCATCACAGGGCAACGGTAACCGAAGCTCGTGAGCAACCATCTTAGCCGAATGCCCGAACATAGTGGCGTGGGTAGAGTCCAGAACGAAAGCCGCAAAAGCCACTCGCCTCGTGGCCTCAGCCTTGATCCAGTGTGTCCATGACTCTTCAGCCACAAAGTCTGGGGCCAGTGTCGATCCAGAAGCTGACCGGGCCTGCCGATCATCGCGCAAGCTTGCAGGAGAGTCTAATGCAGAGCGGCCAATCAATGAGCTGCCCCGTCGCATCAGTGTAAGTGTGGTGTCGTGATGGATATGCGCCCGCTCATGGAGCGCACGAGTGGAGTACATCTTTTCATATACCTCCAGCAGCAGGAGTGCTTGGAAAATCCAGAGCTTAGCTGGTGGACGAAAGTCTGCATCCATGAAAAGCTCCGTTCGGAGATGCCAGGCGATAAAGTTCGCCAACTCCGCTGCTGCCTCGGTTACTTCTGACCCGTGAATTCTATCCAGCGTGGATGCGCCAATAGCCATCACTGCGAGCAGAAGAAGATTAGGCGCTTTGTCTGCCTCGAATGTTGGACGATGTAGAATGGGCAACTGAGAGTGGAAATGGTACCAATACGAGCCGATGTACATCTGCATCATGCGTAGACTTAGCACATGGTCATCGTCGTCAATGTCACCGTCCATCAGCGCATCCTTGCGCTTAGCAGACACTGCATAGAAGGCCTCATTAAACCTCGAGCTCATGAGGGCAAGAAGTTCTTGTCTCTTCTCCTCTGACATGATGGCGCGCGGTGATCCCGGATCCAGAATGCTTGTGACACTCATGGGATGATGCGGAATGACACCACTGAGAAAGCTGCCATACGCCGGATCACTCATGAAAAATTGGTTCTGTAGTTGGACAGCGTCCAAGTAATTTGGCACCACGTTAGTGGGAGCAGGATACCCCATGGACGGAGAGCCTGTAACGGGATCGTTAAACAGCCATGCTGTGAAATCATCCGCCATTGCGAAGGGTGACCGGTTGTGGGCTTCGCCACCAAACACCGGGTAGACACAAGAAGCCAAGGCGTCGAAGCCGGCATCTCCCACTGACGGGCCGGATGTCATCATCTCTGACATCGACTCTAGTGTTCCGCGGTCCAGAGACGTCGAAGCCGACGTCGCTGGAGCCATCGATATATTTGTGTATCCCCCCACAGGGATTTGTAGGCCTGAATAGGATGTGGGATGAGCCAATGAAGGGCCATCGATATCGTGTGTTAGAGAAGATGTTTCGGCCAAGGAATGGTGAGATCGCACTTCGTGGCTCAAGTCTCCTGAATTGGGGGACGATTTGCCAGCAGAGTGACCACCGAGCGCCGTATGAGGCACCGCCTGTATCTCAGGAGGACTAAAGGTTGTTGTGCTTGACTGTCCTGGGGGGGAGCTGAGTGTATGATTACTGGAACTGTTCGATCGGGAAAACGTAGGGTCAGACAGGTCCACTGCATGATGGGACACCATAGTCTGATAATTGAATCCCTGGCCAATGCCCACAGATCCTGAGGGCGAGGGCATGTGTACGTGTTGATTCGATGCACTCATCGCAGGCACTGTCATTGTCTGACCCTCGGATGGGGCTTGAACGGGCGAATAATTGGAGGGTAGCGGAATGAGTGTAGGTGCGTGGTTCGCGTCCACTTGTGACATGACTTGAGAGACTTGCGGCTTTTTCAGGTTGTTGCTGGTTGCTGCAGCCTGCGCAAAGTGATCGCGCTTCTGTAGCTGCGATCCCTGGGTGGTGTGGCGTTCTCTATGACGGATACATAGGTCTTGTCGCACGAACGAGCGGTAACAATCAGGAAAGTCGCACCGATAAATCTGCTTGGGGGTATCTAGAGCAGCAGCCAGTTAGTACTTGCTCACAAGCTCTTGGAAGGATTGCATGCGTACGGTTCAGTTGGTGGCGGTACAGATGCTCCGCTCGTGAGTAACTCTTGCCGCACCCCTCAAATGTGCATTCAAACTTGCGATCTGTCTGAACCTTTCGGGTCCTTTTCCTTTTGCGTGGGGGTCCATTAATAGCCGCATGGAGCGCATCAGCTTCCGTCATCATGTCAATCTCTGTGCTCGATGTATGATCGCGTTTAGGCCCCGAACCCAGCGGAGTCATTGTAGCCAGAGCCAAGGTCATCTTGGCTGGAAGAACCAGACAACAATAATTAATCAATTGGAACCTCGTCTTTTTTTTCCTTGATACAGCGTGTGGATTGTTGCGCCTTAGCCGACACCCCGAAGATCACCCGCAAAGATCTTGCTTGTATGAGAAACGTTCATCAGACCTGAGATGGAATGCTTCTCGTCTGCTGACGGATGCCGGTCCGGAGGGCTCAGAGCGAAACGTGAGCCCGAGTGTATACTGGCATAAGGCTGAAAAGGAGCGGGCAGGACGTCGTCTCGTACGCGGTGGAAGGTCGCCGCTGTCTGGGCCGATTCTGACGCACGGGGAACCCCGTGGGGAAAACTCGGCGGGCGGGAAGAGTGAGCGGTTCCGGATGGGTTGGGGGACTCCGATAGCAAAGGAACAATCCCAAGGATAAATTCACGGAAGGTTTCGGTCAAAAGAAAAATATTCTGTATGCCAGGAATTGATTTGTGTAAGTCTGAAGGGGAAGCAGTTCGGAGGAGAAAGGTCGTACGATGACTGGTGATGGGGGGGATGGAAACGGTGGAGGAAGAGGGGAAAAGGGCCGAGTGAGCAAGGGCCCCCCGACACACCCCCAGCTGCCAGACTGCAAGCACACGAGGGTGCACGATGGATGCTGGATGCTGGATGGTGGAACCAAGAGAGGACGAAGAGTCAGATCCAAGGAAAGGAAGAAGAGAAGAAGCCAAAGCCAAAGAGAGGACGACCGGGGAGGAACAAGAGGAACCAGACTGGGAGCGGTGGTCCCTTAATATTCTGGTGCTCGTTCGGAGGTGGGGCAGCCGACGCTCTGGAGCTTCAAGTCAAAAAATAATATGGAGGATGGCTGGATGTACCACCAAATGTTCTTCCTGCACCTTTCCCAAGTCGTACGGTGACTTCTTGTTTTTCTCTCCTCTTCCATCTCTCTCTCTCTCCTCCCCTTCTGCTCCTTCTTCTCCTTTTTGTATGGTGACTCCACCCGGTGAGAGCACTAATCGCCACAGATTTCCACCACAGCCGCGCAAGTGGTTTCCGGATTTGAGACGAAAAAGAAACGCGAAAAAACTAAAATACGACCTCTCGGGAAAGAAGCAAAATGAAGGCTAACTGGGTCTTGGTCATCTTTTGCTGAGAAGAGAATGGCCGGAAGTGAAAGGAGGGGATGCGGGTGGGACAGCGATGGGAAGCCGCGATAATCCATCATCATTGGCTTCCAAGAACTTAAGGTATTGGATTCGATATCATTGGTTCTGCACCGAACACTCGCAGAAGCCAGCTAGAACCAAAAACTGACCACGGTCAGTCCCCCCTCTCCCTTCATCCTGGGCGCCCCGTGCCACACTGCACTCCTCTGACATGCTACCTCTATACTATCTAGGTTTATCCCGTTATACCACTCGCCCGAGAAGCCTGTTCCTAGGCCCCCGGTATGGAAACCACCCCCGTTCTCATCACATTGCAGGTGACATTGATGTGGAAACACCCTACGGATTACATAGTCCCTGACGCTAGTGGTCCCAAGAAAAATGAATTGATCAGCTAGGAATAAATGCCAACCGGAAAAATAAAATCAAAAAGCGAAATGAAAGGACCAGACGAACACGCTCCACCCTTCCCCAGTTAATGCAGCCCAGGCCAAAACGGTGCAGGCGAATATGCATTGCGGCAGCAGCGGTTAGTCCCCGGAAGATGGATGGCGAGCTTCATACTGGATGGCCTTGTTCGCGGCAGAGGCAATCGGGCGATCCTCCATGCTCTAATTCCCGATCCGTAAGGGATTGTCCCCGGCCAATCATCACTGTTCATGTGTCAGTGTCAGTGTCAACTGAAACTTTGCAGTGCGGAGAAAAAGGGATTTGCAGGCTCTGGGTGGGCACGATCGAGTTCGAAGCGTCATCAGCGCATAGACATACATACAACCGTGCAGTGCGACTGTCAATCAGGAGCAGCGTTACGCACGACCTGCTGCTCGTTCTCATCTAACTTTGTGCATTAGACTCAATTGCTACCTTGATTGGCAGGTTTGATCTCCATTTCCCTTTTCCTGGCCCTCCTTTCAGCCCAACCAGCTTCGTTTGGCCTTGAACGACGGGTCCAAAAGGCAGCCTAGTGGCAGTGTCTACCTAATTAAGCGTGGTTTCAGTCTCTCGGAACGAGGCAGCTTATTGACTCTATTCCGCGTAGGGTATTCCCAGAGACGCATCATGCGCCGTCTGCAGAAAAAGAAAACATCAAGTTCTCGAACGGCCGCCGTCCAAGTGTCGTCAGACGAGTCTCCTGACATTCGGCGGATGGCGTGCTCCGTACCTTCTCCCCGGATCAAGACCGCGGAGAAGGATCTTTGGTCCAGGAACGCAAACTTAAGATACTGATATGATAAGAACATCGACTGATTTGATTCTATGACAGATGCTTTATGCCATATCGGTGCCCCCTACGCATTCCGCCAGCGCGGAAGTCTCCGATGCGGTACCAGCGCACCGGTACCCTCCCGGCCACAACAATGAGTAACCACAGAGCCACACTTGCCACAATAATAGCAACCGTACTAATTTCGCACTGGAATAACGATCACCAGAGTGCATTCTGGCCCGTATAACTATGGAGATCGACTACTCTAAGTGGCTGAGCCGCCATTTGGCTACGATTTCTTGACTTAAACCTGTTCCTGCGCCAGACATGCCAAGGGATCTACCTGGCCCGAAACCGAGGGAGTTCTAGTGGAGTGATCCCCAATATAGAATTGCACTATAGCAGCGATACCGGTGATGGTGCGGAGCACCACCTCACCAACCCGAAGAAGCAAGTATCGCTAACAACCTGAGAGGAACAAGAAAAAGCAATTATTCCCAACAAAAATACTCTTTCTCGTCCGAACATCGGATCTAGATCCCCGAGCACGCGTCTAACACGACCCTGGATCATTTACAGGCATATCCCAAGTGGGTTCATATTCCACAAAACGCTTAGTAGCAGGATCCACCAGCCGAGAAATATATCTTTGACATCATGGGCTCAGCCCCCAAAAGCTTCATGAACTGGCGGCCCAATGACCTCGGATACAATTCATGAATTGTCTCCCTTTCCATTGGATCAAAAAAATCTCTCTCTCGCCATTGCCGCGTGCAATTTCTTTTCCTCACACACCATTACCCCTGTACTATGCCAGTATACCGCTTACTAGCCGCGGGTTGCCTGTCTGCCCTACGGAGTACACCGCACTCATGCATCTGACTACTACTACTGCCAATAGGCGGCCATCCATTACAGCAACAAAGAAAGAAGGCATCCTCGAGTGTAAGCAGGAACAACTAACTCATGGCGTGATCATGTCCACCGCCAAAACCTTCACATAGCAGGATACCTGCCACCCTACATTACATGAAGAACCTCTTCAACAACAACAACAATAATAACAACAACAACCAGCCACTACTCGGACATAATAAAAACGACAAAGATCGACAATGGCAATTATCTCCTACCCTCCTAACCAAAGTAAGTAAACAAGGCCTAATAAGTACTAACCACCTGATCAACACACCGGGAACCACACACACACACATACACATCTCTGATACTAAACCAAGTAAGTAAGTAGCTGACGGCCCCCTTAGACCCAAAGAACCAATCCTCCCAGCCTCCCTGCTTGCCTAAATAGTACTTCATAAGCGAGCGCAAACATCGTAGGCTGCATCTCACTCCAAGAATACCTGCTTGTTACCTAAGTGCGAGGGTACATGTACCCACTTGCCCTGAAATCCCAGCCTAAACGACTCCGTAACTCTAGATAATCAACGGACCCATACATCAGATCATCATCACGAACCACACACCCGAACCCCGCCATCTCAGCGGGTCACTACAAACCCAAACATGACTGGCTACCTGACTCAACTGACTGGGGCCAAAACAGAAAATCTTTTATCTCTTCGTCCCGATCAGCTGAATAGCAATTTTATCTCCTGCGTAGTAATGGATATCCATTGGTTGATTGATAAAATTTCTGAAACAATGGGTGGGCGATCATCTCGCGTCACTAATATTTTTATTACTATACTTTTTACTTATTTAGGTTACTTGGTCGTGTAGTACTTGGTTAAGTATGCTGCTTTTCTTGAACATAAGGATCTACGCACGGCTCCATTTATATACTTGTTAGTGTATATCTGTAGGTGGTCGAGTGGTACATGGTATGTGTGTGTGTGTCCGTGTGGGTATCCTATTTTAGTATCCCGGGGCTCTTGAAGGTTTTGGTACTCAGGATGAAAATCTCTGCACGTCATATGATATGATGATTGAAATAATGGTAGTGAGGCATGATGGAGGCATGCTGGTAGGTCATTGGCTCTTGGGGGATGGTTATCTCACTTCTCCACATGGACACCGGTTCGGGATTCCTATTGTACATGACATCCAATACAACTGGTATACGTAGATACGCGCTGGAATTGAAAGGGCCGCGGTTGCCGTGAAGCATTGGTCTAAATTGCTACACTTTAAAGTACTTTCGATTTACAGGGCGGGTGTTCAGGGGTAGTAAAAGTAGTGGCAAGCAAAGAAAACATGCGAGCGGGCTTGGATCTCCACCCCCCCGATTCGCAGGAGGGAACCCGCTGGTCTCATGCGCGGGCTCGCCCTCCCTCAGGCAAGAGTGCCTCGGGTTCTGAAACGACCACATCATATCGTATACGGGTGATGCGAGGAGATGAGGGGTAGGCGCGGGAGGAAGGGGGAAGGGAACGGAGGGCATAAAGGAATACATGATTGGGCAAATATTTTTTAACTTGATTCTCAACGCGTGCGAGCGCTTGATGATCTCCGGCCGGGTCGCATGACGTGCGCTAATCTTCCAAGGACTATTGCCGCCTTCCAAGGGCTGAGCGTTGTCGGCAGCTGATGAGGATCGTTCTCCCAGCATCCTTTGCGCTGAGCGGTTCCTGACTTGCTCAGTCCTGGCCTCCATTCCTCCCTGATACAATCTATCCGCTAAACCGGAACCGGGTCGCCTCCAGCCGGCCCAATCCTTCTCTAGGTGCCACGTTTCGTCGTCGGTATGAGTTGGTGAAGTCTATATGTGCCTGTCAGCCAATGTAAAGCTTGCGAGAAAATGCTAGATCCACCATACCTTGAAGAAGGACCCGGATCTTCCGAACCTCACCCGAGTGGACCTTGTCGAATATGCCCTTCAGCAACCTCTCCGCCTCACCCGGCTTCATGGTTCCTGCGGGAAGCATCTGCAGCGTAGCCTGAAGCCAAGTTCCTGCCTCTTCGGGCATCAGCTCGAACAGCATCATCATCACGCTGGATGCGTCGGGGAAGCATTCTCCAGGGAACGAGAACATCATTCCCGTCAGGATATGCTGCGTGAGTAGCTGGCCTTGCGATGCAATCAGCTGCTTAACAGCCTCGCGGATCTCGGGCGGGTTGGTGTAGGAACTGCCATCTGCAGTAGTGAATTCGGATACCGTCGGCTTATCGAAAGCAAAGCTAAAGAGGTCGTGGTAATAATGAAGGGTGGCCATGAGTGGGTCAATCTGCTGGAGGGTGAGAGCGCTGAGTGCGGCGGAGAAGATCGGCACGGACAGCGACGAAGTCACACACTCCTTAGGGTAATACCGCACGGCATCGGAAGACAAACGATAGAAGTCCTCGATAACTGGTTGTACATAATTAGCTTGAGGCACAACGACCTTCCTATTTCCAGCTGGTTCTGGTGGAGCACCTACCATCTGGGAGATTCTCGGGGGGCAGATCATTCAAGGTTCGCAGGAACGCGACCGCTTGCTGCTCGTAAAACTGGAATACAGCATGGCTGGTTGAGGGATCGACGAATTCAGCACCCTCGGAGAACTCGCGCACGACAGCGTCAGTGGCCCACAGGAAGCATCCTTCTCGTGATGCCTCGAATCCGCTTGCAAGACTCTGCGCTAGCGTGGGTAGGAGCGGAGTCATAGCCGTGCGGTAGGAAATGATCATGTTTCTCCAGCAACGGCAGACTCGCTCTAGAATCGGCGTGGACGAGGTAAAGTTCATCACGATTGTCGTCATGATTGGCAAAATCTCGCCGCAATACTTGACTGCGGGGTTTTCTTCCCGGGGTGAGACGTATGGGTTCACAACCAAGATGAAGATCGTAATCAACTGAAGGTGATCTGCCATGTAGTTAGTATGCAGAGCGCCTTGTCAATTTTGAAGGATACCTACCAGCAACAGCCCGCTGGCCCTCTTCATCCTTAGCGTTGTTCGCTAAGTTCATGATGCGTGCCATAATGGGGTCACAGAACAGTTTCATCGTCTCGTAGATCTTCTCCAGTGGTTGTACTGCAACCACAGCCGCCACACCCTCGGTGATCTCTTCCTGACTGGCCGGTTTCAGCTTGTCAAGGACTGACTCGTAGAAGGAGTGCAGCTGGGCAATGTGACCTCCAAGCAATTTCTGGCAGTCCGTGCCTAGGAACTTGAAGGCCAAAGCTGCAGCCTGAACCACCTCTGGGGAGCTGTGCTGGAAGCCGGAAATGACATAGTTTAATTGCGCCTCCAATGTCTCCGGGTGCTGTGCAGTCCACTCTGTGTAACGCGCTAGCGCCATGATGGCCTGGAATCGCACTTTTTCTTGGTTCGGAATCTGCACGATGAGGGGAATGACCTGTGTCAGGACCACATTTTCCTCAGGATCAACCATACGGCCCATGGCGCGCAAACTAAAGAGGGGCGCTTCGAGCTCTTGCCAGTTGGGAACGTGGTCGTCGCTCGACTGAGAGGCATATTTGGAGACCCATTGTTGGATCAGCTGATACGCCTTGGTCAAGCACTCATTGACCCCAATGACCGCGCAGCAATCCTTGAGCACATCTCCCATGGCGTGCCGGAAATGCCGGAATTTCTCTTCCTGTTCCCGATCGCCACCGAAAAGGTCCGTCTCACCCTCCTCTGGCCGCGGGTACTCGAGGTGCTTGACCATGATGTCCACGAGGCTAGAGAAGATATCACTGAAGCAACCCCGTGCATCCGCATACCGCTCCAGAGTAACATATTGTTTCAACTCATACCAGAAGACGAAAGTAAGGGAAATCGCGTCCCGCTCCCAGTCACGAGCGCAACACTCTAGGACCGCTTCGACCAGCCCACGGAAGTCAGTCGGCAGGCGTGCCATCAAAACCACCCAGGCCTCGCCAGCTTCGGCAAACAGCCTCGTGATACCCCTGTAAGCATCTGTGTCTTCCGCTTCGGCGAACTCCGCAATCTTCGGGCGCAGGGACATTAATCGCGGATAGAGGGCCTGGATGATTGGCAGTGAATCATCGACCTCCCGCGTGTCTCTATACAAGGTGCACATGCTGTCTACCGCAGACTCGAATGATCGTTCGTCATCAAGAGCCTTGAGGATCACATCCATTAGGGGTGAGTCAACAATTTTCGACGCCGGAATCTCGCGCATCCATGAGGTAATACAGTCAAGGAGACGGGGGTTGGTGGACGCAGTGGCTAAAGCAGAGACATATTCAGCATATCAACATATTATGAGGCTAGGTCCGAGGGTTGGACACATACGGGATGATTGAGCATATTGAATGAGAAGGTGCATGACCTGTTCGGCGTTGTCTTCCAATAGTTCTTTCGTCCTGGAATCAAGGTCCTCTTCCTAAGTTAAGCCAGTAGGTTAGAGTCTGGTCGGTCGCGGTATAAAATGTCGTCGCCGATCGCGTGGGGACGGATTGTAAACAGGTGAGGTGCTGATGCTGCCGAACATACACTGAGATTGATCTTGCGACCTTCGGTCACTTCTTCCGGGAGAATCTTGAGAAACTCCAACACACAATCCCCCGCGCTGCTGCCCAGTGCCGCGCCAACTGTGGGTAGGACGTCTTTCCAGTCCAGCATTTGAATGGCCAAGCTCGCCAGACAGACGCAAAGCTGTGTCTGGATCGGCCGAGGGCCTGCAGCATAAGCCACAAGCAGATTCAATACGGAGTCTCGGAGGGCGAGTATCGATTCCGCGGGTAGCTGGTCAAGGTCGAAGATGATCTTGGACGGTCAGTACGGGGTGCCAGTACCGCGTCATGCAGGTTATGAGATCGCTTCACCTTTCCTTTCAACGTGGTTGCTGCGAACAGCTTGGCCTCGACAGGCACATCGGGAGACTGTAGCATTTCGTGGGTGATAGTCCATGCTTCAACCTAGATAGAAGCCGGATCATGATTAGCATGCATTGTTATGTGCGGCGTGGAACAATCGGCCCTGGGGAGGAAGAATGAGGGGTAGGGATGGACGGACTGATTTCTGGAACTTCTCCAGGAACTCATGGGCGTGCTCTTTCTCCGATCGCGAGACATTTCCTGACATAGTAGTAACTGCCGCGAGGACAGCACCAAAGGACTGCCCTGCGGTCCCCTCCTTGCTGGCCATCGTGGACGAGGAGTGGGATGTTTTGGGATTGTTAGAGTTGGGAATGGGAGAAGAGGGGTTCAGCCAGGCCGGAAGGCTCAACACCTATGCAGTGCGATCATGAACACTCATTAAACAAACATTAAAGAACAAGCCGCCTCAAAGGAATCAGCGCTAAACCTTCAGCACAGTGGCGGAGAGAGAGATCGGGGGGTAAGTGACTGGTTAGTGGAGGTGGGATGTGGTGACGATCGACCCAAAGGGAAAAGTTGGTGAGCCGCAATCGTCCCCCGAGGCGGCAAGAAGGATGGAAGCTTGCTTCACCACCTTCCCGATCTTTCTCGACTTTCCCTCCCAGCACCACCCGCCTAACAACCACCACCACGCGTCTCTTTCTCGATCAACCGAACGGGATCACCGTCTTGTTACTCCTGTCGCTGCCTTCGCATCTTGATACCCTACACATCCCTCCCATTCATCCCTCACAATGACCGGTCGTGGAGGCGGTGGAGCCGCTCGCAAGACCCTGCTTGCGCCGATTCATTTCATCTTCAAGCTCCTTCAGCAACGGTCTACAGTCTCTATCTGGCTTTACGAGCAGCTTGCTTTCCGCATAGAGGGAAAAATCAGGGTAAATGGATTTCTGGCGACTTGGTTGCGTGACATTTGACTAATCGACTCGTGTAGGGTTTTGACGAGTTCATGAACCTTGTCATTGACGATGCAGTGGAGGTTCGCATGGCTACAAAGTCCGAAGAAGAGAAGCGGAGACCTCTAGGTATGCGGCAGTTCAAGCTCTTGTTCATTCCCCTGGGCGCTGCAATGCTGATTATATTCTTGAACAACCTAGGCCAAATACTGCTCAAGGGCGATAACGTGTCTCTTATTCAAGCCGTGCAGTGAATTCAAAGGGGCGTTTAAGGATTTCGGAAGCCAGGAAAGGGAAAATTAATCATTCATCTCCGACTTCGTGCTGTGATACGATATCGTTTGCATTTTCTAAACACTTTTTTACGGGTTCTCGCTGGAGTACAATTATCTGCACATTATTGTCGCATTAGATGAAAATAAGGACATGAAAGGGCTCGCTTTCTTTCTGGATATCCTCTCAGCGTTGGCGCACGAGGCACCGGTCATCGCCGACCATGAGGACGTCTACTAGCCAGTCGTGATCCGCAACCGGGATCTTTTCGGTCGGGTCAAGCATTTGTTCTTTGAGAGCGAGCGCGACTGTACGAGGGGTTAGCGATGGAATATCCTCGGGTTGACTGCTGTCATCTGGAACAACTATGCCTTACCCAGTAGAGGCAGCTTCGGTGCCGTTGTTGTGCTCTCGGGACCTTTGGAGTACCTTGTCAGGAAATGATCATAGTAACCTTTGCCATGGCCTAATCTTCTGAATCCGTCATCAAACGCCATTCCTGGCATGACAATCAAATCCAACCCGTAGGGTCCTTGCGTAGAATCTTCCGGCTGGGGTGAGACTCCCTTGCCCCCGAAGCAGTTCCTCTTGTTAAGTACACTTGCTTGCGAAAGTGATGGAATTCCCCACTTGTCCGGCTCGAGCGATCTGAACTCATCCATCGACTCTAACAGCAACATATCCATGACTGATGTCTTTGGCTGCGACGACAACTCGAGATTGTGTATGTAAGGTACGAAGACTTCTTTGCCATTGGCCAGGGCATCCTGCACTATAGCAGTTGTAGAGAGTTCGCCGGCTGGCATGGACAGATAGACACCGATCCTCTTCGCATCCCGATATTCCTGGAGAGAGAGTAACTGATTTGTAGCGATTCTGGCTGTAGGAGGTCAGTACATGCCGCGACCATATTGGGCAGAAGCGAATCGAGATCCCTGACATTGATTGGCAATAGAGTCGGCGGGGATCTGCTGGAGAGCATCCCGCATCCTCCGGCGGAGGTCCCTCTTTGCGACTTGCAACCCAGCCATCATCTTTGTCCTTGCTTGCACGACGAGAACGCGGTGTACGCAGACCAGCGACCAATGTTGTCTACGCGGTCTGCTCCAGGTGCTTCACCTACTAGTCTGGTAGCCGAAGCGGCGTGGCTTGGCAGGCGAACATGTTTTGGCGGATGATTTGCATGGCGGTTCACTTGTTTGATCGGCAGGGCCAGTGGCACGTACCGGGGGAGCTCTTGTGTACTCCACCCTTCAAGGGCCGCCTGCGTTGCGCCTTTCGACGCATTCCTCTCGCTCTCTGCGATCTGCCTCTCCCTTTCTTTCGCATTGAATCTCTTCTCTTCTCGTGGGTATGAAAACAACATGATGGCAACGTACTTCTTCCTTGGCCTTCTATTAACGGCCGTTGGTACCAGCAGCAGCAGCAGCGCATCTGATCTAGAAGGAACATGGACAACCAAGTCCCGCCAGGTTGTGACAGGTCCGGTATGTTTTGCGCCGTGTTGATTGTTTACCAGCCTCGATGGGCCAGCGCTACCTGTTCGCTAACCGTTCAACCTCTGATACTCACAGGGCTTTTACGATCCTATTGGTGATAAATTCCTCGAACCCAATCTCACTGGTATCTCGTACTCGTTCAGCGCCGATGGACATTATGAAGAAGCCTACTATCGTGCCATTGCCAATCGTTAGTCCCAGAATTCTTGTAACCATGAAAGCGCTTGCATTTCCCCGGTTCTGACATGTCATGATCATTAAATAGCCCAGGATCCTTCCTGCCCAAAAGGGGTTATGCAATGGCAGCACGGTACCTATACCGTAAACAGTGATGGATCGGTGGACCTGACTCCGATCGCTGTCGATGGACGCCAGCTTTTATCAGATCCTTGTCAGTCCTCTACGGGTACCTATACCAGATACAACCAGACTGAGCACTTTGAGGTACTTGGCCTCTGCCCGTTTACTATATGAGAGCTACTGACAGGTATAGTCGTTCGCTGTCTCGGTAGATTCATACCATGGTGTCCAACGCCTTGACGTCAAGAATTTCGACGGATCGCCGATGCATCCAATGTATCTTATATATAAACCGCCACAGATGTTACCCACACAGACGCTCAATCCAAGCTCCTCCAGCAAGAGTAAACGCCAGGTCGAGGGAGGTACTGGAGGTCGCTTTAGCATAAAAGATTTGGTCAGCAGGGAGAAAGTTGGTGACCCGAATAACTGGCTGTGGCTTGGTATATTCATGACTACACTAGGAGGGATCACCTTCTTTCGCTCTTAGATGACCACAAAACCTGCGCGTTACCGCGGAGCAAGTATGATGGACGGCTGGACATGAATGGATATGGAGTTCGGAACATTACAGGAAGGGCAAACAGGAAGGGATAAATAAGGTCGGTAATTTTTGGGATGACATACGATATGGCGCTAGGAACTTTCGTCTTTCTGTTTTGGCACAGCACGTCTATGACCTATCGTTTTGAAGGCACGCGAGTTCTGCTGTGTAGCTTTTACTTTACTTTGCAACTTTTATGGCGACCCGACATCCCGCCCAATGAACAATTTTTCCCTCTGATCCTTCGCATGCATTTCATTGAAGGGGAGCCAGGCAATTGGTCTAGGTATGCGTATTATACAAGTAGTTATTATACATTTTCTCGTGTCAGCCGTTAAGCGGAAGCAACCGCTTCTTTGGCAATTCTTGCGACTTCGGATCTCTCGGCGGGCTTGCCATCCAGGGCTCCTCCAGGGGAGAAGAGAGACTTGAGCAGGAATCCAACCTCAACCTTCTTGCCAGTCTCCTTCAGCTTGGTAAGTTCCTCAGCAACGATCGTCTTGATATCGTCCACGCTCATGGTTTCCACCTGGGCGCCATATTCTTCCAATATCGCGATGTGTCGATCCTCAGTCTCTTTCAAGTCGGGGCGGTTCTCAGCTTCAAATTCTTTGGCAGCATCCCTCGAAGCAGATATACGCTTGCGAATCAGAGACAGGAGTTGAAGGTCAGTCTGGATCGGCGAGTTCGTTTTAGCGGCGTTGTTGGTTTCGGAGATTAGAGCGCGAAGGACATTCAGCCTGGTAATGAGTGCAGACTACGTCAGCATTAATGCGCAGATAGCACTTGGGGACTTAGGTAAGAGTTAGAGGTACCTGGGCGTATCCTTAGCACGCATGGCAGTCTTGAGATCGGTTCTCAGTGCGGTCATCAAAGGCGGCAGAGTCGGACCAGCAGTGGAGTTCCAGCGCACCAGGCGCAGTCCCAGACGGGATGTGAGACGCATGGAGGGAAGCATGATGAACAATAGAATAGCAGTAACACTCTCCAATGGCACAATGGATGAATGGGCTTTGCTGTGTTTGCTGCGGGCATGAAATCATGGGCGGAGGAAATGCAACGCAAAGGCGGAGAGAGCTTGGGCAGGACCTCACCTCCGGGCCCGTGCACAATTTTGTTTCTCTTCCTGCTCGTTTTACGGCTCAGGCCTGTCATTATTCGGTCTGATCAACAACTCGCCCTCAACCCCCCCGGCTGTTCCCGCCTCTGTTCATTGATGTTGCTTTCTCATACCTTCCCGTCCTCCTTCTCTTTTCTCCGCCCTCTCTATTTCACCGTGAATTGATCGTCCTCTTCGCGCCCTTGCGCCGACCGAATCTTCATCTCGCCGGGGAGCGCGACGAATCGCCAAAGCTTCCCACGGGCTTCTCAACCGGCATCATGTCTTATCCCGACCTCACGCCGACTCTCACCCCTCAAAAGCCCTTACCCGGTGCTTATTTCCAGACTCCTGCACCCACCGTTGCGGCGGCGGCGCCTAGTTTCTCGCCAAAGCCTGTCGCGGCCCCCGCGGAGCAACAACCAGCTTCACCGGTTGCGCTTCCCAGACTCCCCCCAGCCACGTTCAAGCCCAAGACCCAGGCGTTGAGCACAGAGGAGCGTGCTGCAGGAACAGTGAACGACACTCTTGCTCAAGAGGCCCGTTATCCTGATCTGGATAGCTATTTGTCCCGTAAGTATACTTCCGTCCGTCTCGAAGAGGAGGATCAAGTCTAACGCCCTTATGTAGAAGGTATCTCGTCTGACTACGATATACCCGCGTCACAATCATGGGCTCCCTTTCAGAAAGTGAAGATGTACAACATCCCCGATCAGATCTTCGACCAATACAACCGAGCGCAGGTGTCGACAAGCATGGGACTCTTCGCTGAGTTGAACCACGCCTGGGTTGCCATTGACAATGCACTTTACATCTGGGATTATACACATCCTAACCCTCAGTTAGTTGGGTTTGAAGACCAACCGAACAGCATCAACACGGTTAAGCTGGCGAAACCCCGAGCTGGTGTGTTCTTGCCTTCAATCACGCACATCCTCGTAGTATCGACAACGGCAGACGTCATTTTGCTTGGTATGGGCTGTGAGACTACGGCTGGAGGCGCGCGGCAAGTCACATTATACCAGACGGGCATGTCAACATCGATTCGTGGCTTGGATATTCATGTCATCGCCTCCTCGGACTCGACCGGTCGCGTCTTCTTCGGTGGCACTTCGGACAATGATGTTTATGAACTCGTCTATCAGCAGGAGGAGAAATGGTTCCAAGGCCGTTGTTCGAAGGTCAACCACACTAGCTCTCGTCTATCCGCATTCACGCCGAGCCTGAGTTTCACCCAAAAATCGTTCGAAAATGTGGAGCAAATGGAAATCGACGACACAAGAAAGCTACTGTACACGCTATCATCATCCTCCACCATTCGCGTCTTCCACATGAAGCCAGACGGCAGCCTTGCTTTGGTGATCACGAAGCCAGCCCTCGACATCTATGCCAACATCGGACACATCATCGCGTCTAATGAGACCCTGAATCCCAAAGTTCCCATCGTTTCCATCAGTCCCATCCCAGCCGCCGAGGCCTCTAGGTACCATTTGATGGCCACAACTGCAACAGGCTATCGCATTTATCTTAGCGCCACCGGCTCCTTCACCTGGTCTTCTGCACCGAACGGCACCAACGCACCTACAAGTATGCAGGCCCATCATGTCAAGACGCCGCCGTATGACGGCGCTTCCGCTGCTCAACTCCCCCCGAGCCTTCAGAATCAACCGCGTTTCCAAACCACAGTAACGGCCAGGGTGCCGATCAACACCCTGCAGCCTACCAGATTTACTGTTCGTTACCCTCCAGGTTATTTTCTGTGTTTCACATGTAAGGACTCCACAAACAAGTCAGACACCCTTTTCATTTCGGCCCCCGATTCTGGGCGCGTTGCTCGCTCTCAGGAAAGCGTAATTCCTGGAAAGGCTGGTGAAACTGCTGTCTGGCTCTCTTTGGGTAGCAGGGCTGAAGACGTGGGTCTCTGCTCTCCCACTACCCCAGCCACGAGCACTCCTGGAGGATTCGGAAATGAATTGGCTGTGCAGTTCGATAACCCGGCGGCTGAAATCGCCATTCTGACGAACACTGGCATCCACGTTATTCGGAGAAGGCGTCTTGTTGATGTCTTCGCGGCGTTGGTGCGTAGTGGTGGTACTGGCGACGAAGGATTGGAGGGAGAAGTTAAGAACTTCATTCGCACCTATGGCCGCAGCGAAACGCTTGCCACTGCTCTTGCAGTCGCTTGTGGTCAGGGTGTTGAGATCTCGTCTGACTCACGACTAACACAGATTAATGACCCCGATGTCCTGGAGTTTGCGCGCAAGGTCTTCATCGAGTACGGTGGCCGACCGACCATGAATGAGAATGCCGTCGCTGATAGCACTACGCTCGCTATTGACGCAGTTGTTCCGTCCCCGCGTCATGCAGGCATTGCTCTCTACATCTCCAGGCTGCTGCGGTCGATCTGGAAGAAGGAGATTGCAAAGGTTGGCATTGCTCCCAATGGTGCTCAGACAGTCGCATCTTCCGTTTCTGCTTCCAAACTGCAGGCCGTGCAAAGGGATCTTTTGGCTCTGCAGGAGTTTTTTAAATCCAACAAGAGCTTCATCGAGGGGTTAAGCGGCCCCGAGGCTTTGACGCGGGTATCCACGAAGCAGGAGGAAACTGCATTGCAGGCGGAGCACCGCGCCCTTCATTCTCTGGTCCAACTTGTATCCCACACCATCGAGGGTATCTCGTTCGTTCTGGTTCTCTTCGACGAGCGAGTGGACGAAATTGTGGCATCTCTGCCGGCAGAGTCGAAGGAACGCTTCCTGAAGCTTACCTTCGAGGAGCTCTTCAGTACCAACAAGGGTCATGACATGGCCAAGGAGCTCGTGAAGGGAATCGTCAACCGCAACATCGCAAAGGGTTCTAATGTGGAAACGGTGGCCGACGCCCTCCGACGCCGTTGTGGCAGCTTCTGCAGCGCTGAAGATGTAGTGATCTTCAAGGCCCAGGAGCTTCTGAAGAGAGCTACCGAAGCCGGTTACAACTCGGAACTTGGTCGCAATCTGCTCAATGAGAGTCTCCACCTGTTCCAGCAGGTCTCTGACAACTTGCCTATGGATTACCTGATTTCCGCGGTGGAAAGCTACATTTTTAACCAATTTTTTGCCGGTATTTTTTAAACCAAGTCTACGTTTTCGTTCACAATACTGATGAACATCTATAGGTGCGATTCAGCTCGCTCTAAACGTGGCTGCTCGTTCAGACAAGGCCAACATGGCACTTTCATGGATCGTCGATGGACGGCCAGAGGAGGTGGGTTTCATTCGATCGTCCTGTTCTACAATCTCGCAAGTTCTAATCTCTTTTGTCTCATAGGACACCCGCAAGGACTATTTCTACTACCGCAAGCAATGTTATGACCTTATCTTCAAGGTTATTCTCGCCGTTGACAGCCTCGCTGCTCACGATCCCGGCGTTGTCGATGGACAATTGACGATAATCGCCAAGCGCAAGAATGAGGCATATGGTGTCGTTTCCGACTCGACGGATGAGGTGTTTTTGACGAGTTTGTACGATTGGTATTTGGAGCAAGGCTGGAGCGATCGTCTGCTGCAGACCAACTCGTCTTTCGTTGTCACCTACCTTGAGCGCAAATCAGCAGACGACCTTGCTCACGCGGATCTACTTTGGCGGTACTTTGCTCAGTCGCAGCGATTCTTTGAGGCAGCCAAGGTGCAATTGGATCTGGCTCAGAGCGCGTTCACCCTCCCCCTCAGTCGTCGCATCGAGTACTTGGGCCGAGCCAGGGCCAACGCCTCCACATTTACGCCCGACACTAGCCGGCAAGCCCGACAGCGACTGGTGCAGGAAACTTCCAACCTTATTGACATTGCAAACATCCAGGACGATCTCCTGCAACGCCTAAAGGACGACAGGCGCATCGCGCCGGAACGCCGGGCGGAAGTTCTCAAGGATGTGGACGGACCCATCAAGGACATTAGCACTGTACGTCATCAGCCCAACCTTCCCTAGTCTTTTCTTTGCCTTTCTTCTTAACTAACATTTTCCATGCAGCTGTTCAACCAATACGCCGACCCTGCCAGCTACTATGACATCTGTCTCCAGATATTCTTCCTGGCCGACCACCGTAACCCAGCCGACATCCGAGCGACCTGGCAACACCTCCTACAAGACCTGCACGATGAGGTCCTCGAACGGGGTGAGCCCATCCCCTACGAGGCCGTAATCGACAAAGTCCGCAGTTTGGGCAGCCGTCTGCGCATGTCCGAGTCTGTGTTCCCAATTCCCAGTCTCCTACCCATGCTCGAGCGCTATGCCCTGGAACACCAGCGTGGTGTCGGCCCTGCTACTTGGGTCATTGACCTCTTCCTCGATCTTGGCGTTGCCCACGAGACTCTCTACGCCGTCCTCGAATCCATGTACTACACCGACGAAGCTCCCTTCCAAGGTTCCAACAAGAAGTACATTGCCAAGGATCTCCTCTACCTGATTGAGCACTGGTTCCACGACACGGTCCGTCTCGGCGGCGTCGTCTTCGGAAGCGACCTCGTCGCTGAGCGCATCCTCGAAACCCTCCTTCTCCTCCAGCAGGGAGGTATCACTCCAGAGCAAGTCCAGCTGGCGCAAGAATTGCGGACGAGAATCGATGATATCCTGCGGTGATCTATCCCACTTTTTGATTTTTCGATTCTCAATTTTTCCATTCGATCGCTTCCCCCTCCTTCACGTATAGCAATGTAACCAAACCCATTCCGATTATTCCTGTTCTGTCCTGTTCTATTCTAGTCCTGGGCGCTGGAGTTTTGTGTATTTTCTTTACCTTTATTTTATTTTCTATTTCTTGCATGCATGCAGCATCCAGAGAGTCATGTCGAGTCGAATCAAGTGAAGTCGAGTGAAGTGAAGTGCCAAAATAATCTCATCATATATTTATTATATCATTTCCAAGCCATCTTTCTTCCGACCTTTCCTCCGTTCCTGTCCATGTTCTGGATATAATCAAATGTGTACTACTACTAATTGGGTACTACTAATCGACGTATTGAATGTAGGATGACAGTTGTTTAGCTTCTTCCTACTGGTGCTGAGCTGTATCACCACTACTGTATCACTTTCTACTACTACTTGTTATATATATACTAACCTTACCCCTCCGCCCTTAGTAGTTTTCTAGGAAATAGTATTTTCCTACCATCAATTACTCAATACTAGTGATAAGACAGATTATTGCCGTTAGATTACCGTCTGATTCGCAATAGTGATGATCATGATGATGATCCTGCTTTCAGTAGCACCATAGTTGTTCCTCTCCAAGACTCACTCCGTCTGGAGCTTCGAGCCCAATTCCTATACTACATTTGATGCTTCATTGATACCTTAACTATAGTAAGTACACCAATAGTAGGTCCAGCATGCTATCGCTTTCTTTTCCATCATGAGCTACTTACTAGATAGTGGCAAAACTGCACATATTCTACTAGGTAAGTTAGTAGTAGGACATTGAAGTGTGCCAGATCGGTCCCCCCCGCTTCCCGGTGTTGATGGTGGGTGGGGTGGGTGTGTTCGACGAGGCTGCATAAAATACTTATAGTAATAATATATATTGCGTGATGTACAGGGTACATCTGATTATTTTGAGTTTCGGCTTTAACTACTACTAGTACGTGTTTACTACTACGCGTTCAATACTGGGAAAATTGATTTTATTTTTGATCACTTAGTATTCTATGTTGATATTTTCGACGCGTGAACATGAAAATGAATAACTAAATCTGGTAGATAATAGAAGAAGTAAAGTCTATCGGGTTAATAAATTCAAACAAAGCACTGAAAAATAACCAACAGAGAAAAAAAAGAAAATCATTGGCTTCGGAAACAGAAATTTTGGATAAAAGAAAAGAGAACAAAAAAAATAATAAGGAAAATAAAAAGTAAAGTTTGGCCCCACTAGTTCTAGGAGCATAGAAGCCTAAACAGGGCACAAAACAAGGGCACTAAGGGTGGTGGGAAAAAAAACATTAAACAGTCTAATGAACTAGGCCGAGGTATCAATCAAAATCAAGCAGCCAAGCAAATCCAGGCAGAAGAACGGGATAAAGGCGGGTAAAAAAGAGGTAAGGATGAGGAGGAGGGAGGATCAGGCACATGCGACGCGCCAAGGATCCCAAAGTCCGAGGGGTAGCGGGGAAACATTCTCCGGACCTGCTGCATGGAACATTTTGGCTGGCAAGGCATCGCGGTGGCGTTCATACCCTCCAACATGTGCCGAGAACAAGGATAGAGCTCCTCGAACAGGTGGCGGAGGCCATCGGGATTTACTCGAATTGGTCGTATACAGGGATGGGCTTTTCGCCCAATGCGCACAGACGGAAGATGTGACGGAGTTTGGCGCCGTTATCATCATCGAGGTAGTCGACAATGGCGGAATCTATTGCAAATATCCGTCAGTATTGTTTTTGGGTGCTTATCTTTGGTAGGTAACAAGGAACTCACGCGTTGTGCAGCGATTGTCGAAAATCACAATGGTCCGAGGCTGCCACCTCACTCGCGCCTGAAAGTCGTGCCCAGTGATGATATGCTGCATGAGGAAGTCCAGCAACCAGCGCTGCTCGGGCTCCTTCAGACCTTGAATCTTGGTGATGAATTCGCCGTTCACAAATAGGCATTTCTCGCCCGTGACTGGGTGGACGCGCACAAGCGGGTGGACGGTGTCGACGGCTTCTTTGCGTACCAGGCCCCCAGTCAGACGTGCATGCTGAATCATTTTTGCCGATGAATGGGTTGCGCGCAGCGTGTCCAACCAAGAGGTGAGCGTTGGAGAAAGGCGCCTAAGTCATGCATTAGAATCTGCCTGCCTGACGGCTTATTCGTCGCGCTTGAGGATGATGCTTACTTGTATGCCATATCGGTCGCAGAGAAAACAGTATCACCACCTACTTCAGGTCCCTCCAGCAGCCCAAGCATCACATAGCCCGGGGGTTGGATCTCGTAGCTGACATCCTGGTGCCAGAGCGTCGTGGTGGTGCGCTGCGACAGGAAGCGAGTGATCTCTTCGCGGTTACCGTCGCGATGGATGATATGGAAACCTGGATGTCCGCGCATCGAGCCAGAGACGGGCTGGTAATTGGGCTTGCCAAAGTGACGCATGAAAGCTTCTTGTGCCTCAGGACCATCATCGATTAGATCCTGGTCCGGGAAAGCTACCACCTTGCGTTCGGCAACCAAAAGGGCAAGCTCATCCTTCTGGGCATCCGTGAGCTGATTGAGCTGAACGCCTTCCACAATGCTACCTATGCGTGGTTGGATCTCCGTCACCTTTGTGCTGGGTGTCAAGAGATTGCGCTTGGACTTATCCTTCACGCGCAGGGCAGGGTCCTGATATTCAAAGGGAGGAAGAGGATCGAACCAGACTTTGTCCCACGTGGGAAGGTATTCGGGGTATCTGGTGCGTAGGTGAGACTCCTTGGTGACATCAACGTAAGGGATATTGATGTCGTAGCTGATCGGCTCTTCCTCCTTATGGGCGTTGACGGGGAGAGCCTTCTTGGGCCGTAGGACAGGTGCAGAGGACGGCATGGTTGTGGATGTGCGTGCTGACTTGTGTTTGTGTGTGTGCTCTTGTGCGAAGGAAGTATGTACGTAATGTGGTGTTGCTCAAGGGCACAAAGACGTTGAGCGGGACGTCGACTTCAAGAAAGATGATGATAGTGAGATAGGTGGAAAAGGAAAAGGACAGGAACCCGAGAAGTCAGGGTCAATTGAAGTCACTGGAGATGAATGAGGAAGAAAAGAAAGTTCAGTCGAGGGTGGACGAGAGATGAATATATATCTGATCAGATACAACCTCCACCGGCTCGATATGGCGATAAAGGGATTGCACAAGCAGTAAACACGGCCAAATGTGGATGATATGGCTGCAGCAGCGCCAATGGCAATGCATCCACCGGAGGTTCGCTTAGAAAGAGTTAGACCAGGGATTATCCCTTTCAATCTCCGGACCGGAAAGCTTGGGCTGGTCGATACGCCCGACTACGACTACGACTCCTACTACTACTCCAGGCGGACACACAAAAAAAGGTCGTCTCGAAGCCATGACGACAGGGGTACAAAGTCGGTGCCGGACGGGTCTCGACAGATGAGAACAGCGGTCATCGTAGGGGGGTGAGGGGGCGGCGGCAAAGGAATGAACCACTCAGGAGCCCGCATGGCACAAGCAGTGTCTGGAAAAGGTGAAGGGAAAGAGAGCATACAGAGTGGACGAAGAGGCCAGAAAGGGAAGAGGCAGGCCGTTCGGAACAGGGACCGAGGCCAGCAACAGATGCACGACGGAATTGGGAGAAGCGGTCAAGGTCCAATGAATGATTAAGAATGGGGCATCGGCGCGCCCACTCCAAGAGTATAGCTTCCTTCCCGCATCGGACGACAGAGGGTTTACAGCATGGCAACGATTGTCTTCTCGGAGCCAAGGTTGACCGACCGCAGAAGCGATAGCGATTGGACCTGCCGATACTTCGATGGGAAGGCACTGTCTTCTCCCTGGACCCGGCGTGTTCCGGGGGACTGGCTCTCAACTGTAAATTGTTCCATTCGAGGTGGTTCTGGTGTGGTTTCACCGCTCTGATCTGGCGAACCCGGATGAACGATAAGCAAGCCAGAGGGCCTGCAAAGAAGGAAGAGGTGGAGCCATGCGGCCGGCACGTTGGGCCAATATCGTTAAGTTTGAGTCTGTTCCTTCTAGGGTAGACGGCACTAGATCGCGGAATTTGTCCTGTGCAGTAGTGGTGAGGAGTACCACTGCTACTACCAGCAGCAGCAGAAGCAGCAGCAGCAGCAGCTACGGTAGCTCTGCTGCTATCTTGCATTAGTCCTTGCATCGCTCGACAGAAGGACGATGGTAAACTCCCGGCTTCGAGGCCGCGGCTGCTTTGTACTACTGTGGCCTGTATGCGCTCTGCGACAGGTAGCCATTGCCAATAATCCAGGAATATTGCAGCCCCTCTGCTAATGTTTGGTTGGTGGAAACCGTTTATCTCATGTCAAGAGGGCGCATGCGTACTCAGTACAACATTGTGAAGGGGTTAGAGTAATTTGTGTTCCCCTCTCTGTTTCTTCCATCAAACAAGAAAAAATTTTTCTCTTTTCTTTTTCTTTTTTTTTTTCTGATTTCCTTTAGGGTGTTGAATTGTTTGGTTTTTTTTTATTTTTATTTTTTTCCATGTTTCATTTTTGTTCGTTTAATTCTTTTTCTCCAAATTTCTTTTTTCACTTATAAATTTGTTTAAAATAATGCCTGCTCTCTTTCTACCAGTATCCTGGTGGTGATCGATCGCGTCAACTCAATCGAACAAAAATAGTGCCGACTTTCTGGCTCCAGTTTATTCTGGGGCCACAATGCCGAGGAGGCACAAAATCGACTCAGCGCATACCCACTGTAGCTTCCCCGAAAATTTGATGTGTTCGCTCTCTCTCTCGGTATTAATGACGCCTTTGCGTATCCATGCTGCCTCTTCGAAGGAGCAAACAACACTGGTGTCAATTTCTACCTTTTCAACAAGCTTTGTAAATTTTGTTTTCTCACTTTCGGAAGGGGTGAGCAACCGTGTAAGTCAAAAGGGTCACACATAGACCCAGTTTGGGCTTCCATCCAACGGCCGAAAAACTTGCTCACAGTATCCATTCAATCCTTCGCATCAAGTCCAATTTGAACCAGGGTGGAACAGACAGGCCTGGCCGATCTTCTCGCGCGCAGAGCCAACGGAGCCTCTCGCGCGAGTTGTGACGTTGGCTTTCATTTCGGGAATGCGGTTCAATGTCCGTGGACTATCGGGTTTCTCCACCGAGCCACGTTAATGTTCCATAATCGGTAGAGATGGGCCGCGGAAGGTCATCCAGGCTATCTAGAACATTTCCCAGATGGCGTCGAAGGCCCACAGAAGCCTCGAAGGAAGGTTGCAGGAGAATTGGTCTGATCATAATGTACGACTGTGTCCGCCCAGCTGTTCAAACCACATTATGTCCGCGTTTGAGCAACCCTTCAAACTCAGAGCTTCCGAGTCTGGAGGGGTCGAATTGCGATTAGGACCAGAGATTTTGTGTCATCCGTGTTCTCGTCGTAGGGTCTGAGTGCTTTGTCTTTCATTGATCATATCTACTACCTATACAAGTTAGCCTATTCCTGCTGCCATTCAAGACAATCTAGGAATAAGTATGTACGTTGTCGACTGATGCCCGTTGAAGGTGTCACGTCACTGATTCGTTGTCCATTAGCTATCTGTTACGAAATATTATCCCAACTGGTGCATGGGGTAAACGGAATGTCAAAGGATTCCCAAGTTTGGTTCCAGTGGGTACGGTGGATGTGGATAGTCAACTACTGGTTGAGGCTGGCGACTATTCGCAGGGTGTTCTTGCGAGATACAGCAACTAGATAGCACCGGCGGTCAAATTTGGCCCCAAGTTCCGGGGAAAGGGTCGATGTGACCTCCAAGGTACGTACTTAGTGCCTGCTTACCCTGGGAGTCGGGCGACGCATTTCCGGCGGTTGGAGACTAGCCCACTCTGTGCGAAACACTATGCGACAATGGACTGACGGACGGTGGTGCAAAGTGTGGCGCTAAGCGCAAGCTTCCCGTCGTCCGCCCACAAAATGATGTCTAGGAGGACCGGGCCAGCTCATGAGATAGGGGACCCAGGTACATTTGACGTCGAGGACATTTCCCGGATCAGGTTGCTTTGTCTGCAGAATGCATGCTATTATTGAGAGACATGGTGGGATCAGCGTGCAGGTGGCGGATACCAGCTGCTCACATCCTTGCAGTACTTTTGTTTTGATGCGTAAAAATGAGTCAAAGGCCGATTCCGGGCCAAGAGGAGCCCAGAGGCAAAAGATCAGCCCCAAGGGAAGGGGGAGGGGCAGGCGCCACAACTAAGGGATCCTGGGCTCCAGTAGGACTTTTGCATCACAAGCTTTGCCGGGGGTCGGAGGTCGCAACGAGTAAGCTGAAGGCAGGGTTCGAGAATTGCGGTGAAGACGACGCCCAGTTTATCGGGCCGCCCTGGAATGAGAGATCACCATGAATCTATGACCGATGGCTTGAGGGCGGAGCTGGACCAGCTACCAGGGTGGACATGGCACTAGGATGTCTCACACGACGATAAGATTTTCGAAGAATATATCGATATACTATTCAATATGCAAAGCCGATGAGTCTGCAAAAAGCGACCCCTAAGGGGGACAAGACCATTAATTCCTGCTGTTTCCAATATTTCATACTTTTTGGGCTCGTAAACCGTTGGGTCACCACGGCTGGTTGACAGTGGGCTAAACTCACCTTACCCGAGCAGCCATGATTGTTGATTGACCGATAGCTGGACCGCGATCCACACGACTAAGCTTAAGCTATGTTTAGGGACTTCTGAGACGCGTGCAGTGGAAAAAGCAAACATTCTGCCAATGTAGTGAGTATTAGGCAGGTCTCGGACAGACTTTTCCAGCCGATCGGGTCTGGCGAACGGCGGGGATTTTCTCGATGGCTTCTTTTTTTTTTTTTTTTTTTTTTTTTCTCATCGTTGCTTTCTTTTCTTTTCTGTGTTTTGTTCGTTTGCTTCGTTTGTGTTTCCTCTTCTCGGAGAACCCGTGACGGTCAGCTGACCCGCTTTCTCGCTCCTTATCCTCGCGCATATCAGATTCTTTTTGTTTCTCTCCAGCTAGACTGACTAACTAGCTAACTGTCAAACGAAACTTCTCGGCCGGACGAAAGGGACCGACCTATCTACATCCTACGGCCTACGTTTCTAGATAACCGGGAACACCTTCTCCTTTACGCAATCCCGAGCCCAGAATGGCTTCTCCGACTGCTCCCGCCTCTCTGTGGAGCCGGAAACGCGACCTGATCTACTTCTCCTTCTTCGCTATCCACGTCCCCATCATCTTCCGTAAGTCGGTCAAAAGTTGCCCTTTCCACTGATATACAGAAACTCGTTACGTAGTCCCGAAACCCACTAGCTGACTATCAATCAATCAATCCTCCTAGTGGTCGACGCAGCCCCGATCCTCCCCACCGCCCTCCAATCCAACCTTTCCCACACTCTCCGTCAGTTCTACATCGATACGTACCATGACAAGTTCTTTGAGGAGCCACCAGCCCCCTGGTTCTACTTTTTCATACTCATGGAGTTATTCTACCATGTGCCAGTAAGCGTCTGGGCGCTTGGCGGCCTGAAGAGAGGTGCGGATCTACACCCTACTATTATACACTATACCTACTGTTACATCATAGCGCTCGGTACCTCTCTATCTCGACTAGGAGCTAACGAGTGGATTTCATGACAGATGACCCTCTTGTCCCCGTTCACCTCCTCATTTTTGGTCTTCAGGCCTTCCTTACCTCCACAGTCTGTCTGGTTGAGGTCTGGAGTTGGGCAGATCGCACCGTAGCCCAAAAGCAGAACATCAGCATGCTATATGGGCCCTATGTCGCTCTTGGTAAGTAGATGCTGCATGCACCCTGGGCATGTAAGCCAAGCTGGACTGCTGCTGACTCACTCTGATAGGTGCATTTATGGCACTGGATATGTTCTTTAGACTTCGGACCAGACTGCTGGTCAAGTCTAAGAAGGAGTAAGTAAATCAACAGTAATCAATTTAACATAATCCCGATATTCTCCGTTTCCTATTTCAGTGGAGGGCATGTATGCATACAGTATCCAATGCAGGGGGTGAATGTGCTGGGACGATAATCCATAGATCACGTAAAAGAAAAAGAAAAATGAAGCAAAGGAATGGCAGATCTAAACTCAGGCCTGCATGCGCCTGCAAGTTGGAGAGGGTGTACACAGTACTCACTCAAGGTGTGTACTTTGTAGTAATTAGGAGAGGTGTTAGACGGAAATGTTTCGCAGACCAATAAACTAGACCAGTCACTGGGTTCTAGGCCTGGGAAGTACATGAGCCTAGTCATGCAAGGACATCAACCTGCCTTATCGTGCTGGACTTAGTGCCGGAGTGAACTGATGGCGTAAGGCATACATGCCAACTCGCTAAGTTAGGTGTGGTGGGCTGAAAAGTCTCTATGGTCTGTGATCTGTGCTCTGTACATTGTACAGGTAGAGATGCATTCCCACTAGATACTTGCTGTGTAAAGTGTAAAGTTGGCAGCAGGACCCGCTACACCGACCCGATCGCTCTTAATCCTGCAGCTGCATGATATAGGTCGGGACGAAGCCCAATGTAAGAAGAGGAGGGTTGTGGACGGGGAAAGCAGGGATTGTTGGCCACAGGGGCTGGCTGAAAGTATGAAAAGATGGTCTCCAAAAGATCCTCAATAAAATTCGGGTGGCTGCTGATAATGTCTATCTTGCTTGCTAAGTATAGAGTTCCGTGCTGGGATCATGGGAGTGTAGGATCACAAAAATGCAATAATAGTTACGTCCGTAGGCTTCATTGTTACAAGGGAAACAAGAAAAAAAAGAAAGAGACATGGGTAGAGAATAGAGCGCCATCACACAATCTGCGCACAGGTCTCGCTGTGGTTGATGATAGATCATATTACAGCGGTACGAAAGTTCCCGGGATTGCTCACCCGGCACCAAATTGAAGGATTCCAAAACGGTGACATCACCTGCGTCATATCAAGAATCCAATGGCTCCGTCTAGGTCTCCGTTGGCTGCGTCTAAAGCTCGCATGGCTTCTTCTCGCGTAAAGCCTAGTTCAGTGATCTTCGCGATGGAGTCCGCCGGCCAGCGTGACTGCGGCGGGGCTGGGCGGGAAGAGGATGCCGCAGAGGCCATGTTGGAGCCACCAGCTGCTTGGCTGCGGCTGGCCTGATGCGTGACCGCACCTGTCCGGGCGCCGACTTCGGCGCCATCGGCTCCCTTGATCATGGGCTCATCCTCGAATTCTTCCTGAAGGTGCTTGGGAATGTCGGCCTCTCCCAAGAATGGGACCGCTTGGTCTTGGATAATAAGTGCGCCTCGTTTGAGGTCAATGCAAGCTTGGTGTCTCCTCAACATATCCAAGCCTAGGAGTAGATCAATGTGCTTTCCTTCCATAACAGTGAAAGAGCATGGAAGAAACATGCTTCCAATCTTGATTTGTGCTGAGTGCACCCGACCTATGATGTTTGCTGTACCAACACCCTTTGCGATACCCCCATAGCGCTGGTCAACGAGTCGCATGATGTTGCACGCGGTCGCACATTCGGGTGACATTATGGTGACCTGTGCGCCGGAATCGACGAATGCGTTGAGTCTGTGACCATTGACCTCGACAGGGATATACAGCATGGTTACGCGACCAAATGCTGTGCATTGATGTTAGCAACAAGGTTGACACGGAAATCGTTCAGCCCACTTACACTCTGGATGATGTTCCATGGCATTGTGGAGGTTTTCCGTTACCGCGTTTTGACGGATAATCTCCTCGATCTCTCGCTGGTTCTCTGGGTTGAACGGATCTGCATTCAGCATCGCAATTCGAGCCTCCTTCTCTGCTGCGACCTGAGCCTCGCGCTGTTGTTGTCGTTGAAGGACATCACGGAAGCGCTGTGCATCGTTGGCCACCTCCGCCAGTTCCGGGTTTTGCCGTCGAACAGCCTCGCGCACTTGCGGATTACCGAGAATATGTAGACGAATTGTCTCGGGATCTGGTGTCATTGCCTGTCTCCGCTGCAGGTTTTGTTGGGCAGCAGCAGAGCTGGGGCCCCCTATACTCCGTGGGGGAGGCTGAGGCCTCCGCAGGGTAACCTGAACACCTATCATGTCGCCCTCACCAATGCCAACCTGTTCGAGGGTGCGAGCATCATCGGCAAGTAGTTGATTATTGTAGAGGATACGTTGAGAGGGAGGAGGGATGGAGGTTTCGCTTTCGACGATGGCTTTGAGGAGCTCGACGGTCATGTCCCCGCCAACTTCCAGGGAAAAGATGTCGGCGTCGGCCTGGTCCGGACGAATCACGCTCACGGTAATGCGCCTGTATATTATGAGAGTCTTCGGTTAGCTACATGTCCACTTGATCTTTCATGTTCTCCGGTGATGGGCTTCTCCACGACATACATGATGCTGTGCAGCTCTAGTGCGGGGAAGCTCTCCCAGACTCGGAGATGGTCAAATCAGGTCGGGGAAACCGGCAAATGCAAGCCCTGGCTAACTCTGGAGCAAATTTTCTATCGAGTCTATTGATAGCCAGTAGATCAGGGTCTTTGTTCGGACAGCCTTAGGTGGCCGATGGGGCGAATTATAAATACAGTCACACCAGCGAAGCGATCGACGCGAGCCGGCGAGGGAGGGGGGGAAGTGGCGCTGAGAGGGGAAGGGAAAGGTGAGAGGACCGGGCTCCAGACGACACAGGAGACGGTTGAAGCGACGACAGGGTATCCTGGAAACAGAGGAAGCCAGAAGGCAACGGAGTAGGAGAGAGAGAGAGCAAGCGTAGGACGAGCAAAGGCGGGAGGAGGTGAGGTTACGGTTCCTGGTGAAGTGCAGCAACGGGCGGAGCACCTCACAGCGGCCCGCCTGATTCGGTAGGCAGCCAGTCATGCGTCATCCGCCGCGACACCCCGACGTTTATACTTCCTGTCGCCATCCAGCCTGTTTTCTTCCCCTTTACTGGGTTCCAAGAGAAATGGTTTGCGCGTTGGCTGTGCTATGTCGGGTTTCTTCCTCCTCTCGTCAAACTCCAAACACAGCACATTGCCTCAAGGAAAACCACCGTACAGGTAAGCTCTTCTTTCTTCAAATGTCTCTAAACTACGGTCGCGTTCTAGACCTTTCTGGACCCCCAACGCTTATCCAGCAAATGCCATCCATCCATCCATCTTCGGGCGGTCTCATCAACCCTCCAATCTGTTGAGCAGCAGCGTCCCCGCAGTTCGAGATATTTGCTCTACGGAATCACGCAGGATACTGAACTTGCAAGCAGCATCTTTTACCACTCACAGCACTACGATAAGAAAAACCACATGCATGCCCACATTCTTCCCCCAGATGCCATACATGCATCCCATTGCGGCCTGATGCCACGAGGTGCAGCCACCGGACATCCATCTCCAACATGTATGGAACTCTCGTCAGACAAAAGGACTCTCCCATTCCCGAGTATATCCGCGCTTCTCTAGCTCGAGCAATAATGACCCCCACGGTGCTCGCTAGCTGTTCATTGTCCAGTCATCTAGGTGCCCGCTCCTACTACCACTTTTAGCTCGAAATAATCCATGTCCGTGATTGCCACCTAGCTGCTTACTGCTGGGGACAATACGAGACTAGCGGCCCCAAGGCTCAAAATCATACCAGGATTAGGCCCATGAACCCACCCTTGAGACCTCGGTGGCATCAGGCAGACAAGTCTGCACGCCCCCAAGCTATTGCAGAGATGCCCTAGATACTCGATTCACTCACTTTAACGTCTATGCAGTTCATGCGTATAGTGCATAATGCACTGCGATCGAGCAGCCTTGTGCGAGGTCATAGGTACCACCAACGCAGTTTACCACACTTTTTGCCAAGAGACATAGTCATGACGGGGACATACGAATCGTTTCGGATGATCCCTAGGCTAAGTGGTCCACTACAGTGTTAGTGAGACAGCCGGGCCTTCCATCCATGGAGACTACAACTTGTGCGATTTAGTGCTTAGCATAGCGGACTGCGCCACTGGTAGTGCACAATTCTACTTGAGTCGAATGGATATCTGATTTGTGTAAATTATCCGATGAGCTTCTCTGAAGTCAGTATCGGTTGCTGTTAAGATGCTAGGCGTGATCGTGTTCCTGAAACCTTGAAATCAAAGGTTCAGATCATGGGCGGGTGAGCCTGGTTTCATATATACTAAACGTTAGTGTGCTACGTAGCTACGACAGTATTGGTCTTAAAAGGTACGTTGATCTATATATGCCCGGGCAACTAAAAAAAAAAAATTATATTGACATTGAAAATGATTGATGTAGGAGAAAAGTCCTCAGAACTTTTTGCTGTTCTTCATCAACACCGCTCACCCATGCTGACGTGCGTCTCTTTCTTGCTGACAGCTTTCAGTATGGAGTAGTATATGAAGACCTGAAGTTCAACATGGTGCGGAGACATTCGCACGATCTATACCAACGGCAACATTCCTGCCGATCAAGGCCCACTGATAGGCCAGTGGCTTCCAACTTCATCATTTTTTTTTTATTTGGATGGTCCTCTAGTAGGCAATATCAGAGCGCCATGAGTTGAACCCCTCAAACCATTTGCCAGGACCAACATCCAGACTAGGTGACAGTGGAACTTTGTCTATTTATGCTTTCATTTTTAATTTTCAAGAGTCGATATTAATGGGATATACCCCTCATCGTTAATTTATCACCCGAGACCGAGAAAATATTGCTGCGTCCTTTTATACCTGCTGTTGTATATAATCATCAATACCCTGCAGCCTCACCCGGTACTACTAATGGTAGACTAGTATTCTGGCCTTCTTACCTTCAGAAACAACTTGCCAATTGGATTTCAAGAGTACCAAAGAACGCAGTTATGTTAAACCAATCCGTTCTTAACGGTTTTGCAGTGAGCATTAAGGCCCAGTCTAATACGGCCGAGCTGTTCAGCCTCGACACGGCTCATGAAATATCGCTACATGTACCAGAGGGGAGCTTTGGTGGTTGGGAAGCGCCAGATCATACCCCTGTCAATTCACTGCTGAGTACTTAGTGCCTGCACTCGGCCGCAGATAATCGTTGCTAACTCCGATAACCCCGCCACCACCCCTCGATCCCTCACGCAACTGTGCTTGAAAGTCTTACTCTGCCACTATAAACTGACATCATTCCATCTCCAACTCGCCCAGCAATCGCCTATATCTCTCTTTCACGGAACAAAGTCGGAGATACATCGGATATATTCGCCATGTCCGACTCATCTGAATCCATCTCCCTGCAAGTAACAGTCCACCTCAAACCCGAGGACCTGCCGAAATTCTGGGAGGCTTTCGAACCTACCTACAAGGCTGTCACCGCCGAGCCTGAATGTACTTTCTTCGAACTATATCAGGCGCCGGATTCCCCGGGGACTATCTCTTGGGTGGAGAATTGGTACGTCTCATTTTCTTCCTGGTTTCTGGTTGTGGATCTTTCTTTGAGTATATGCTAACCAATCAACTATAGGTCCGCGTCAAAGGAATGGCTTATGGGAGTGAGTGTCAACTTTGTTATATGATATTGGTGAATAGGAGCTAAACTGACCGGTTTTGAAATAGGTCCAATTGGTGAAGCCGTATTATCGTGATTACTTCGCTGCAACGGAGCCATTGTTCATCAAGCCTAGAGAGGCTAAGTTGTTGAAGAGAGTGGGGGCACCATTCACGATGGTGAAGAAGACGAATGGAGGGTTGGTGATTGATTTTGAGGTTCAAGCTAGATAATAGATAGCGCAACACGGGCTTCAATTGACACTGAAGACAACATAGATGAATATATCACACGCTCAAGCAAGCTATCGACGCTGATATCTAGACAGTAGTTATAGACATGCTACCAAGGATTAACTATCAGACATAACTCGCCGTATATTGACGCCGACAGCAGTAGGCGTACTCTAGCCTGTACTTGTAGTCATGGTTCACGGTATACGTGACACAGAACCTGTATCACATGATTTCCAAGCTAGATCACATTCATCGTCCAAAAGAGGTACATTGATCTACTCTCAATCTGCTATCAAGACATACACGTATAACGCTGCAGACAATGATGACTCCGATCTGGTGTCATGGACTTCACACAGTACTTACTCGATACGTCTCGCGCATGACACATCTGCCACCCCCTCGCCTTCAACTACCTTGGCAGAAACAATCTCATCCACCGGAATCTCAGCCAGCCGTGAAATGACATGATGCAGCGTTGGCAATGCTTCCCAGCTGAGCGCATCAATTTCAATTCGGGCGTTCTTGGTCGTCCGGAGCCGAGTTATCCTCGAAGGAATATTTTTCTGCTCCTCCTCTTGTGGCACAAGCACGGGATACTCAGCCTCAGGCTGTCCCTTGTTTGCGCGTCCAACTTGCGGCATGTAGCGATAGATCAAATCACCCTTACCAATGTTTTGAGGGGGATTCATGCTGAAATCTTGGTCCTCCAGGTCTTCTAAATGGAAGTGACCCCATACAGCACCTTCCCAGCTGGTCGTGAGGTGATACGAATTGGACCGCTCGTGTGCCTCGATGGCGGTGTACAGCTTGGGCATGCCGAGCTCTTCGCGGCCACTCACGATCGGATCAGTCAGACTTTCGAAGAGAATGGGCAGGTACAGCCCTTTGACTACTTCGCCGTCTGTTTTCTTATACTGCACGCCTTCGATGTAAAGACCTAGGTGACGGTAGCCGCCGCCGCCGAGCCAGTCCATTCCATGAAGTCTCGTTTGCGAGAAGCTGGCATAGGCCACAGTGCTTGGGTCGGTGAAAGAATACCTCTCGTTGGGAAGTAGGTTCTGCAGTAGTGTCCGACTGGTCTTGAAGCGAATTGACGCTGTCTGGAACGTCGACTTCAGTGACTTCTGGACGCGGTTACGGCCCCACCAGTCTTGTCTGGGACCGGGCATGGGACCGAAGACGATGGGCTGACGCCAGTATTTGGCTGGAAGTTTGTTCCAGAGGTGCTTGCGCAGAAGCTGAGTCGAGTAGTCGAATTCGTCATGGCCATAAATATAGTCCGTCATTGCTTCCACTGCGGAGTGTTAGCTAAATACTGGGCCAAATTAAGTATGAATAACTGACTTGTCTCCACTGATTGCGGCTTGGAAGAATCGCGTGTCATCTGCTGCACAGTGCTGGCTCGATTGTGACGAGCCTTCTCATACAGCTTCAACCTTTCTGGTATCTCCTCGCGGGTTACATCGCGGGACAGCATAACAGCCAGGGAAACACTATCCTCAATTGCCATCGCCCCTCCAGATGCACGATATGGCAAGAAGGGATGGGCCGCATCTCCGATAATTGCAAGTCGGTCATCAACCCAGGTGGGAAGAGTTTCCATATCCAAGAGAGGCCACACCCTCAAGGTGTAAGGATCGGCTTTTGCCAGCATCTTGAGTACCTGAGGGTTGAACTCCTTGAAAACTTCGAGAAGGGCCTCTTTGCTAGCTTCTTGGTTCCAGTCAGAAGAAGTGTTAATCGTGCTCAACGTGTCGGGATGGATGCAAACAAAGTTAAGCAACTCATTGTTGGCACAAGGGTAAATGACCACGCGCTTTTCGTCAGAATCCCACATGTCTACTGAACTGTACACCATAGCAAGTGAACGGGTCTCGGGATCTTCCAGGGCATCTTGACGCTTTATAAGAAAGCGGAATGCGTTCTTTCCAGAGCTGAAAGGTTTGATGTCCTTCGCAAATGGTAATTTCGACCTTGCAAGGGAGTGGACACCGTCTGCTCCGATAACGACATCACCCTTAAAAGTTCCCCCGTTCTCGAGAGTCACCGTGGCATTCTTTGGATCAATGTCTACGATCTTGCTCGATGTGTGCAACTGAGCAGGTATACCAGGGCCAGGAGCCTGGGAGGCAACTTTCAGAGCTTCGTGCAGGTGGGCTCGATGCACCAGTGTCCATTTCTATCAAGCGTTATGACGGTGAACAGCTAAGCAGGTAGAGCCATCTACTTACATGTCTCCATTTCCCTGCATGTGCTTTGTTGTCGATCGTAGCCAGAGGCTCTCCACTGGGAGTGAACATGCGTAACTGGCAAGGTCAGAGGTGATGTTTTGATTAATGAGCAAGCACGGTAGTGGGTACCTGCTCGGTCTCTACAGCGCCAAACTTGGTGCCGTCGATCCCCAATCTAAGCAACGCAGAGTTTGCATTGGGTGTAAGGTGGATGGCTGCCCCAATTTCATTTGCAAACCTGGAGCGTTCGAACAACTGCGTTCAAGGATCAGCCGAATACTCTGGTTTACAAGCTTGGACTTGGGATGTAAGAGGTTTACTGACCTCAACACGGTGGCCTTGTTGCCGGAGAGCAATGGCAGCGGCCAAGCCTCCAATACCAGCGCCAGCAATAAGAATGTGAAGCCCCCCTTGGGCTGTGCGTGGATCGATATCCCCCATTATTGCAGATAGGTCAGTGTATCTCTGTTGTTGGCCAGAGGTTGCAGATTAGGGACACCTTGGTTATTTTGCTAGGTAAGGGCAGAATATCATCAGGCATGCTACACAATTATATCTTCTTCTGAGCAACTCCGTCACTCATTCACCCCCACAATCTAGTTCAGGAATAGTCATGTGTGTCCACCATGACTGCCGGACGGGCTTAAGATCTGGGGTCGTGATCTCAATTCTCGGCTCAACCACTTCGGCTCCACGTTCGGGGCGGAAGCAAGGGAACGTTGAGATGGCGCAAAACACCGTGAGGGGTAGATAATGACTAGCTATTTATCACACCGATTTTATTTGAGTTCGTTTTTCGATACTCCCGTTTTCTCTTGCTCGCTAATATTCTACTATCCATTTCGGTGAGGTGCATTTTGTCTCAATCATCATGCCGAATCCCATCCGCGAAGACATCACTACCCGGGATGATACATCCTTCCCCTACATTTTCGAGCAAAATGTCACCATTGCTCTGAAAGATAAATCGGGCCTTGTCCGATGCAACGTCTACCGGCCCAAAAAGCTGGAGAAAGCCCCGGTGCTAGTCACCTACGGGCCCTACGGCAAAGACATTCCGTACTCGGACTTTCATCCGAAGTCATACAGCGAAGTCAACCCTGAGCACCACTCTGCCCATTCAGCCTGGGAAACTCCCGACCCTGCCTTCTGGACTAAGCATGGCTACGCTGTTGTCCGGGCGGATGAGCGAGGCACTGGCCAGTCCCGCGGAAAGTTGGACACCATGTCCCGTGAAACAAGCGAGGCTTTTTTTGATGTGGTCGAATGGGCAGCCGAACAGCCGTGGTCTACTGGTAAGGTAGGACTGCTTGGAATTAGTTACTATGCTGGAAGTCAGTGGAGAGTCAGTGCGCGGCAACCCAAGGGCCTGTCGTGTATCATCCCGTGGGAGGGCATGTCCGACTACTACCGCGATCGCTGCCGACACGGAGGCATCCTTTCGAACGCTTTCATCAAGTTCTGGTGGGACCGCCAGGTAGTTTCTAACCAGTACGGTCGGCCTGGTCGTGCCGCTCGCAACTGGGGCCCTGATACTATCGAAGGAGATCTTCCCGAGGAAGAGTTGGAAGCGAATCGTCAGGACCAGACGATCGACAATGTCAACAATCGATTCCGGGATGATTTATACTATGCCAGTAAAGAGTACACCATGTCCGACATTCAGGTATGCCAAATGACTCCAGTGGTTTTAGTCGACGCTGACACAGGGTAGGTGCCTCTTCTGTCTGTCGCCAATTGGGGTGGAATTCTGCTGCACTTGCGGGGTAACGTGGAAGGCTGGACTCAAGCAGGCAGCGAGCTGAAGTACCTGCGCTTCATCACCGGTCGCCACGATCTGCCATTCTACTATTCAGAAGAAGTGGAAATTCAGCGCAGCTTCTTAGACGCCTTCCTCAAGGGCGAGGATCGCGCCGGATGGTCCACCGGAACAGCCCCGAAGGTTGATCTAGTACTCCGCAAAGGAGACGTCGGATTCAACAACGCTGAAGCAGAGAAGCAATTCCCTCGTCGCACTGAAAATGAATGGCCCATTGCCCGCACCCAATACACGCGATACTATTTGACTTCCAAGCAAGAGTTGGTCACCACAGCTCCGCAGGAGCGCCCGGTCAAGATCACTTATCGTGCTCTTGGTGATCTGGAGAACCCACAGCTGGTGCAGTTTACCACGCCACCTTTTGAAAGCGAAACAGAAATCACCGGGCACATTGTCGCGCATCTCAATGTGTCAATGAGTCCTCAGCCAGGCTCTCCCACTCCGCAAGACATCGACCTTTTCGTCACGCTGCGGTACATTTCGCCCGAGGGCAAGGAGGTGTTCTATACTGGCACGGCGGGAGACCCAGTTCCTCTTTGCAAGGGTTGGCAGCGTGTCAGTCTGCGTAAGACTGACCCGGAGCACCCTCGCCACCGTCCCTGGCTCCCTCATCGCAATTATTACTCCACGGACGTGCTTCCCGTCATCCCGGGAGAGGTCTACCCGGTCGATGTGGAGGTGTGGCCGACCAACGTAGTAGTCGAGAAGGGAGGAAAGATCATCCTGGAGGTCGCATCGGGCGACACACAGGGATGTGGAATATTCCAGCACAATTCTCCTGTAGACCGGTAAGTTGGTCCCAGGGTGTATTAAAGATTACTTTGCTGACGGAGACAGATCCCCGGAGCGATTCCACGGTTTCAACCATATCAACTTTGGCCACGGAGATAACTATGTCACATTGCCGATTATTCCCCCGCGGGGCTGGCTGGAGGAACTCCGCAGGAAGTAGATCATAACTAAGAGGAGATAGATTAGCAATTGAGTTAATTCGTTCATTCATAACGCGAAAGCCGAATAACCGGTTGAACCACCTTTAAAACCCATCGGGATGTGGTCCCGAAGCATCACCATCCGTATACTCCAGTATAGACAGAACAACTCAGCGCTATATAGCAAACAGCATCCCATCCCCAAGTAGTACTCACCAAGAATCAAACCAAACAAAGAACCTCAGTTCATCATACCAAATCAACATCTTACACTACCAATCAATTTCCCACCCCAAAAAATACAACTAAACACCACCAAAATGACCAAAACCACCACCAAAAACATCCGCCCCCTAAACCGCTACATCACGACCCACGACCCGACCACCAAAAAAGCCATATTCTCAACCACACTCTCCGAAACCATGCCGGTGCAACAAATCCAAGACTCCGCCAACGCTCAATTCTCTCTCGCCTACACCACCGACTCCTTCCCCGCCAATCTCGCCGATGAGGCTGACATCCCCGCCTACGCCTCCTACCTCACCAACCCCCCGGGAATCACTATCTCCACGGGCTCGGTGTGTCGCATTGTGGATATGCCGCCCCATGCATTGAGTCCGATGCATCGCACTGTGTCGGTGGATTATGGGGTTGTGTTGGAGGGGGAGGTTGAGCTGGTGTTGGACTCGGGCGAGACGAGGTTGCTTAAGAGGGGGGATGTGGCGGTGCAGAGGGGCACGAATCATGCTTGGAGGAATGTTACCCCTGATGGAGAGGGTGGGGAGGGAATGTGGGCTAGGATGTTGTATGTGCTTATGCCCGCGAAGGGGTTAGAGTTGGGGGAGGATTTGGGCGGCATTCAGGTTAGGGATAGTACTTAAGTTATTGATTTGGGGATGATGGGAGGTTGGATGGTTGGGCTGGGGTGTATTTAGAGTGCTTGAATGAAATGGCATCGGGTGTCTATAGCTGTTGTGCAGATACTTGCGAGGTTGAGATTGTAGTTACAATTTCAAGATCTATGAGTGATGCGGCTTATGATTGCATGCTCGGATTATTGAGTATGTTGTTATTATACAGATTAGGTTTTCATGTGATCTTATATCGTTCGTATACTGCCCACGTGGTACTGTGGCTACAAATAGGAGTAGAATTGATGTATTTGATACATTAGAAATAATTCAGAACAGCTTAGAATTATTCCAATAGTATACTATATTCGGTCTCTGAGAGTAAAACGCAAGGTTGAAATAAGATATATTACTATACTAAAATTACCACTCTCCGCCAATCTCATAATGAAAGATCTTGTCGTTGATCCTCCCACCAGTAAAGCGCCAGAGACGCGCAACAGACTGCAGGTATATCAGTACAAGTCATTCAAAGAGTAGAGTAGATGCTCACCGCATTCAGCCACACCCCGTGCAACATGGATTGAATAAACACATACTCTACCGGACTCGTCCCAGCTGATCGCTCTTCGTAGCTCAAACTCCGGTTCACAGGTCGATATGAAGGGATACGCCTATAGTGTGAAGGCCAGTTCACAGGCTGGGATACTGTCGGGGTAGAGTCACGAGCAGTCTGAGGTTGAGGCTGGGTTTCTGAGCCGGTGTGGTGGATCTCGTAGTCGGAGAGGATGGAGAGCGTGCTGGCTTCAACGGCCGTAGTAGTAGTTGTGGTTGTGGTTGTAGACGACATGATGAAGAACTATCTTGAATGTGCAACGAGCAGACAAACAACAGCAAGTTAGAACAGATGATGTTGTTCCTCTTGACTAGCGGTGGATAGTGCACCGACCTGACCTGCATAACAAAAGGGATGTGCTCATTATCCCAACCCATCCCTTGATTCCCCCACATCCCGAACGCTCAGACTCAACCCATCCCTCCATCTTCCCCCATTTTCCCCCCGCTCACTCTTTCTCTGTCCGCATGATCGGATCACTGGCTGGGGCGGTTTTACCGAGCAATAGTGTGTGTCCACATCGCGTGTTTGTCGGTGTGACGTGACTGTTGGCTTAACCCCTGCTACTATATCCATCTAGATTTCATACTTTGGGGTAACAGAGTGCCACCAACCACGCTTACTATCAACGCAGAATGGTCGCAACACAACCTTTTCAGCGCATTGTCGCTGCAGAGATAGACGGTCGCTGTCAGAATATCAGGTACCGCCAAAATCAATACCATTCTCTACAGTCCGCTCTTGTACAGAATATCGAGCAGATCAAGGAAGCGATCGCTGCCGATTCGGGAAACTCGCCGGAGGAGGTTCGCGCAGAGATTTGCCTCGCCTTCAAGGAGATTCGCACACATTATGCTTCGCTGGACCTGAAGAAAGACCTGGAGGAGGAGTATCGCGTTGCCAATGGCAAAGATAATTACGATGGGAAGCGTGGAGTGGGGATCGTCTATATTGTTCCTTCTTCGCATACTATGTTTTTCTCTGTTGTTGCGGCGCTGAGTGCTGCCATTGCGGCTGGGAACTGTGTAATCCTTGAGGTGAGCTCAACAACGTCAACTACCTTGATTCATAGCTGACTTGAACAGTTGACGAAAAACACCATGGCCATACCGGTTGTCCTGAAGAAAATCCTGCCTCAGACCCTGGACGCAGATACGTTCGCTATCAGCGAGGAGAGACCAGACAATACATTCCTCAGCAGAACGCACATAATTGCACAGAGCGACTCCATTACTCCCTCTAACAACACCCTTTCTTCGCCCACTACTGCCAGAACCGTTGCCATCGTCGACCGCACAGCCAACATCTCCGCCGCAGCGGAGGCACTGGTATCTGCGCGATTCGCTTTTGGCGGTCGCTCAGCTTATTCTCCTGACGTTGTACTCGTACAGGAGTTCGCCATGAAGGAATTCGTGGAGGCGATTATTCAGCGATCGTCAAAATACCTTACTGGTCAGAATGGGGATGCCCGTCAGACGGCCGTCAACCCGCGGCGGACGAGCTCGGGTGTTTCGTTACTCGATACGGCGTTTAAGGATGCCAGCGCACGGGTGATAGTATCTGGGTCTGAATGGGGTGTAGTTGAGGTGCACGATCGGTAGGTTCCTGACTCTAGTATAGAGATATGGCATGCTGACTGCAGTAGGAAATCCCCTCTTCTGCAAAAGAAGGTATCCGAAAAGGTGCTTGTCCTGCATCCCGTGACTAGCCTGGACGATGCTATTGATTTCAGCACATCGTATGCCTCAACCCGTCTCCTTTGATATCGAAATGAAGCTTACAACCGTGTAGCATGGGAACCCTAGCCGCAACATATGCCTTCTCCGCCCCAGCAGCCGCTAAATACCTAACTCAATTCATCGACGCCTACACATCCTATATCAACCACGTCCCCGTCGACATTCTCAGTAAGCTCTCTCATTTCCTGTCCCCTAAAGACGTCTCTAACAGAATCAGTCGGCCCCGCGTACCCCATCAACCAACAACCCTCGCGCGAAACTCGCTACTCAACGCACTCTCTGCAGGTCCCTCGACCTCAATTCGTAACGGAAACCAGCAACACCGCTCTAGTCCAAGAAATAGTCAAAGGCTACGCATCCAAGTCCAACGACGCGTTGCGCGAGGCATTGGTGCCGCTGCCTGCGATCGGACAGCGCAGTGGCAAGGCAATTGGGTTCTTCGAGCAGGGAATCATCACTGGTGGTGTAATCACGCTGTTTACTTTTGTGGCGTCTATTTCGACGATGGGGGTTTATGGCTATGCGGCTGTGAGAAGGTGGAGGGGATAATGGGTTGTACATCATTTATTGGCGTAAAATTGGAATGCATGTGAGTTTATGCTGTGAGATTCGGACATAGTTTGTATATGTGAGATAGTATAAGGTTTAGGACCCCTTTACTTCGTCAAGAATGAACATGATGCTCAGTCTGTGCAAAGCTTGGATGGCTAAGCAGCTAATCAAAACTCATGGATTATACATCTAGTTTTCAAAATTTAGCTAAGCATTAAGCAGCCACAAGCGGTTGCTTCGGCCACTTCCCAAACGTAAACTGCAGATTAGCCATATTACTCAACTCCCAAGTCTCGGCGCCCAAGACCCCATGACAGCCTTCATCCTCAGCATCCCCCGCCGCCCCCGCCACAAAAGCCGCCGGCACGAAATGATCATCTGTACCATGCGCGTCACGAAACTGTGGATGCTTCATAAGCCTAGTTACCGCCCGCTGCAGCTGCAATCCCGATGTCTTCGTCATCACATCCTCCAGAGATTGCTTGAACTCTAGTGCCCACTCCTCTGGTGGGATCTCCTGGGCTAGGGAGTCGCGATATTTGACCATGGACCCCCACCGATTACGGTAGAGATTATGTACTGATCCTCCTGTGCCGATAAGGAGGTAGTTCTCCTTTCGGAGTTGGCGCAGTGTCTTGCCTATCTTCAGATGGTAGTGGGGATCGTATCGCGCGTTACTGGATACCACTGTTACCGGAGGGGGGTTGCCCTCTGGGAACATCTTTTGGATAATGGTGTACACGTCTACTATCCAGTTGTACTGCGGGTTGCCAGATACGTTGAACCCCTCTGCTTGAAGGAGGTCGATGCATCGTTGTGCGGTGGCCAAGTCAGAAGTCATTTTGTAGGTCTTGTAGTCGTTGCTCGGGACGATACCCATGGGGCAGATCTGGGGAGCGGGGTTCGTGGCCACTTCGATGCCGTCTCCTAGTGTCGCCCAGTGGGAGCTCTGGTTTGGTCATCCTTTGGAGTTAGTGTCCGTGAGTACAAAGTACCTTCCCCAATGTGGGTAGTGTAGAGTACCGGGTGGATCCGGGGTGTTTGTGGTATACGCACCAGCATCACTATTCCTTTCACATTGTGTGCTCGTGCTTCGTCGCCACATTTGCGCCAGTACTTGGAGCATTCGGTCGTTTCGTATATCATCAGCGGAGAGCCATGGGAGAACAAGTGGACCGGGGTGAGGCCTAGCTAGCGGCGTGAGTGGATCTGCTATAGTTGGCGGGGTCTATGCGTATGGGGTCTGGTCGGGGTTGTGCAGTCATACCCGTTTTGTGCCGTCCGGCTTCGGCTTTCATTGTCCTTGTGGGGGTGATACCACTTCTAACGACAGACTGAGGAGTAATTGGACTTGGACTAGTCGGGCCCTGTTGGTAACTGGAGGCGATGGATGATGGTGGATGGGAGCGAGGAAGGGGCCTCGGCTGAGTGCCTCCACATCCCGAGCACGCTGTAAGGGTCCAAAAGCAATTGATAAGCAACCTCACTGGTCATCGCGAGGGTCCATCCCTTTTAGTTGCCAATCTGGCTGACCGGGAAGACGCGTGCTCGTAAAACTCTTCTGCCTATAGCTGGTTGATCCCCGGTGGAATCCGGGTCGCCATTATTGCACATCCTGAATACTCATTATGATGGTTTGTTGCTCCCCCTCCGATCCCTGAAGCCCTGCAGTTCCTGTGCCGCTTAGTCATGGCGCCATCCAGTGCTGGATCCAACTTTATGGCGCCGGCGGAGCACCAGACTGGCCAGCCCCATCCTCGCCGCCCAGCAGAAATACGTAGACAAGTCTTCAATTTGGTTTAGAATAGCAACTAGTACTAAGTACTATAATACTATCCCTCTGGAATATCCCCCAATTATGGGTCCGTTCCCCGCATTTTCCCATCCCGAGCCTAACGCATCGTGACTTCCCCACACTGTCTCTCATCCCAACTCTCTTCGTTCTGCTTAACACTATTTCCTCTTCTTCACCTCATCGTTTCCTTCATCCCATCTTCTGTTCCACCAATGCATCGCCTCCATCATGCTCGATAAGTCCTCTCCGTCACTCCCGGCACAATCTCCATCACGACCACTCCCCAAAGCGCGCGATGGATATTTTCAATGTGGGTTCTGCAAGAAACACTACAATCGAGCAGATCACCTAATTCGACATGTCCGGTCGCGTATGTCATTCACATAATGTCATTAACAATCTCTTCTCCTAACTCCATGCGCAGATACCCGCGAGAAACCATACGTTTGCCATGTGTGTAACAAAGGCTTCGCCAGGCCGTACGTCCGTCCTTATCCGTCCCTGCCATCCTCTCTCTGGTTCTGACCGCACCGCATCAGGGATCTGATGAAGCGACATGCTGCAGGCCATGACCATCCGCGAGATGGCAAGCGCAAACGTCCCCCGCAATATGCGAAGAGCGGTCGGGTCTCCCAGGCGTGCAAAGCATGCGCCACGTCAAAGCTCAAATGCGACGAGGAGAAACCCTGTCGACGTTGTCGGGACAAAAAGCTTATTTGCGATTGGCACGACGCGGGATTCGATGAGTTGACCCCTGGTTCTCCTATGCAAGGTTGGTTCATCTGGCAATAGCGATGTATCCGGTTACTGAGCGATATAGGGTACGATGATCCAGACAGCCAAAGCCAGTACCCCGAGCCACCTCAACCGCAGACCGCATTCTCGCCATCAATGCCTGCCATGGGCGATTTCCCAGCTACTATAGATAATCCTCCATTTGCGACTCCTGACTTTACTGTGAACAATTATTTGCCTGATCCGCCCGACGCCGCTCCCGAAAATCCTCCGACTACCAGTTATGATGGTGAGTCGCGCCTATACCGTATTGATACTGTGGCGTGTGCTAAGGGAGCCTCATCGAAGCAATATCACCCGCGTTAGATCATGAAAGTGGTATCTTCAGTGTCGATGGAACCTTCTTCCCCGAGTTCATCCCCGATTCCCTCATACCATCCTTATCCCGCCCGAACGAATTCGACCCCCTGAATTCCATCAATCCTACGCCAGACTACCGCCATAACCTTCTCAATACTAACATGCAATTTGATTTCGATCTGACTGATGTCGACTTTGGCCTGATCGACTACTTCAACTCCCAGGGACTATCACACACTGCTCCACAGCCCCCTGATGCACCCAATGATCGGTCCGATGTGGATAGTAGGATTGCGCTTGGTGCCGAGGCCTACAAACGGTCATCGCTGTCCGCCTGGAAACCTGCACAGCATGACCATGTCTTTGCTGACCAAGATGATCTATCAGTCCCAGTGGTTATGGACAGCCCAGGATCGAGTATTAGGGGCGAGCGCCAGATCCTTCCTGAGAGACTCTCCTCGGGTAGTCGTGATCTTATATTCGGAATGGTCTTGCAGACGAGCGAGAAGACCGCGGTTCCGCGCATAATAAAATCATTTCCGAGCACTGAGCTTTTAGATGGTCTCATACAAGACTACTTCGCCTACCAAAGCCATCAGCTTGATCCTTTTATTCATGCTCCCACATTCTACCCCAATGAAGAGAGCTCCGACATGCTAACAGCTCTTGCTGCCTCTGGTGCAGTCCGCTCGGCTATCCCAACCATCCGTAAGCTGGGCTACGCATTGATGGAAGTTGCACGCCTCCAGATGTCGACTAAGGTATTTGCCTTATGTGTGCTTCTTCTACCGATGCTAATGATAGGTAGTATGAGTCAGATAACCGCATTACGCGCCACCTTCGGCCTTCGCAGACATTCGCAGTCGTCATTGACATTGGTTTATGGAGCGGCAATGGTCGGAGGACAGAAATAGCGGAAAGCTTCCAACAACCACTGGTGACGGTCAGTTCCACGCCTGCACTAGAAAGGGTATCGCTCACTAGGTTCAGATGCTTCGACGGGCATTGCGTTTTCGCAGAACCATCTATACGACTATTGTTCCAAGCCCTGAGGACAACGAGGAAGAACTGCAGAAGAAATGGCACTCTTGGATCGAGCAGGAATCTTTCAGAAGGTGATACCATCTTTTCCCATGCCTTGGACTTGGCTCACACATTTAGACTCGTTCATCATCTATTTTTACATGACGCCCAGTGCGCGATGATGTTGAACGTCAGTCCACTCATTTCGTACGCAGAATTGGAGCTTCCGCTCCCATCCATTCGCGCACTATGGGACGCCAAGTCAGCAGCAGCATGGAGGGATACCTACCTAGCCCTTGGATTACTTTCAACCGAGCGACAGCCGTCCCTAGTCGAGGCATTGCGGGACATGTCCCGATTACAAGGAGTTGTTGATTTGCAACTGGCCGGTTGCATCCTTCTACACGGCTTTTCGGCCATGGTGAATGAGTATCACCGTTTTAGCTTTATTTCCAAGGGAAATCCCAAACATTGGAATGCATTGGTAACCAACTCGCGACACCAGGAACTATCTCAAGCTTTGCAGCACTTTCGCATGATTTGCTATGAGTGGCCTAGCTTTCCCATTCCTGAAGTTATCTTAATATACGAGATGATCTCGATGTTACTATACATGTCACTAGAGGATCTACAGTTGTTTGCCGGGAAGGAAGACAAGAATGAGGCACGGCGAGTCTACCACAGTGCGCTTGATTGGATCAGCAGCATCGACTCGCGACGTGCAGTGTGGCATGCCGGCCAAGTCATCCGGGCCGCCAAAGCCATTCCCGTGGGGTCGCTAACTGGCTTCCTAGCAGTAGGTGTGTACTATGCCAGTTTGGCCTTTTGGTCGTATAGCGTGGTGCTCAAGGCAAAGAATAATAAACTGGCCTCGGAGAGCCGCCCATTGGGTCCGCCTTCAACTATCCGCGGCCCAACAGTCTATCTAGATGGAGACGAGACGACCGACGTGCAGAAATTCATCTCTCTTGGATGTGGGAGTCCGGCATTACAGGGTCGGCAAGGTCCTGCGTTTGTCTCCGATCCGGGACAAACGATGGATGTCACTCAGGAGCTTCTGCGGGCAGATGCTTCCCACGATGCGCTTCCCCCATTGGTTCAGGGGTTGTGCCAATTGATGAACGGCCTTGGTAATGCTGCTAGATCTACCACTTGAGAAACATATGTGTATTTTACGATGAATATGATGTACGATTGGCGAGGCTTAGTAGTTTGTTGTGTAGTGGTAGTCGGTAGTAGTGCTAGTAGTCTATTTATCATATTTTCAGTAAATGACAGTCGACATGCCCTGGGCTACATCCAGTCCCTGTTTCATTCAGTAAGTACTCTCTAGTAGATCCAAACTTGATTTTTAGGCATAATTGACACTGTCATCCAAATAACGGAATCGCAACACCTTTCTGATGAGTTTCTCAACTTCCCCAAGGCCAACAGAGATGAGATGAGGCCCGTGACGAACTCTTCTACATTTATGCCTCATCCAATAATCATATCGTAGGTTTCTAGAGTTCACTACTAATTAGCACTGTCGTATTCTACTAATATGTTCGCGTGTCCTGATCCATATGCCGCAACGGATGAAATATATACCCAGAGGAATCAATACCTACCGCAGTAGGACTCTTCTGGATTTACTAGGTAGCTTCAAATAATACGAAAAGTTCACTTTCATACGATGTATATATATATATATATATATATAAACGTTTATTAATATAAATTCAGCTTCTCCTATCTACCAGAGTGCGACAGTCCCAATAAAGACACAACCTACGCGGAGGGTTAAGTAAACGCACAGTGGCCGCCCACACCAACCAACCGCAACCACAAAAAAACAGAACCGAGAGATACAAAAAGAATTATTCATTGTTGTTATGATGAGATGAAGAAAGGAAAAAATACAAAAAGAGAATTCGAACTCCGATAGGGGGAATCGAACCCCCGGCTGCCGTGTGAGAGACGGCGATGTTAGCCACTACACCATATCGGATGTTGTTGAAGATCTCAACAATAATATGCAATATGAGCAAGTGATTATACTATAAAGTTGGATGAGGATATACGTCACCTCAAATGATCAAGAATATTGGAGAATAATTTTTATTGATGCGATGTGAAGAGAAGTTCCATTGAAGTAGGATATGTCGGATTTTGTCGAATGGTCCCTGCAGGGATTCCGCCGCGCTAATGCAGTGAACACGTGGGGTGGTAGGGATTTTCCCGCGTGTTTCTTTGGTGGTCTAATTACTAGATAGTAGTTAGGGGCGTAACCCGTCATTTACTACTAGTTTGCTGAATTATGGGATCGTACATTCTCTTGTGCTCTGGATCCATGTCTACAGTCGTATGGTTGGCAAGGATACCCCTTATATTGATTCTTTTGGTGAACTAAGGAAGGATTATTTCACGGGTTTGACTAGGAATATATAATTCGAGAGGACCTATGGTCATTGTTGCGAATAACCACTTGGAACTGTAACCAAAGAATCATATCATGGTACAGTTCTCATCTTAAATGCTTGTAACTCATTATTCATCATATTGTACATCAGTCATGGGGTATAAAGCGAAGTATACAGATACATAAGTCAGTGAGACCAGTTGACCGTCAGCCTATCGGAAACCAGCACCATTCTCAGGCTTCCGAGCGTAGACAACGGTCACTGGTAGATAGGCGTGGGTCTGGTAGTCGCGCAGGGAGGCGCGCATTTGAGCGAGGAACACCTGCGCTCGCTCGTATGACCATTCCAGCGTGGAAGTGAGAAGACGAAGCATGAAGCCCTCTACCCCACCGTGCAGTCGAAGCTGGTTCCAGCGGCCCTAGACGGTGTTAGCAGTAGCAGCACTGACAAAGGACAATTACTTACAAGTTCATGGAGCTTGGGGTCTGCACTCCACCTGTTATAGTCGTCAGCCAGAAGAGATACGCGGAAACAGAGGAGCAAGACCTACGCGTTCATTGGCCATTGGAACTTGTTTTCCACAACGCCAACAAAACCTGCATCCCTCAGACGTGCGGCGCTCTGTTCCCAGATTTTGAAGGTTTTGCCAAACTGCTCTCCGGCACCAATGACGGTTTGTCCCCAGAGTCGGTAGAAGTGATTTGGGGGCACGGTCCCATCATCCGCGACCGGCTCGACCGAATGCTCTACCACCTCAATGTAACCGCCGGGTTTGAGGCAACGCCAGCATTGCCGAAAGAACTCGTCCCAATCAGGTATGCAGCCAAACAATTCCCGCACGTGAATAAATCGAACTGGTTTTCCGCATAGGTCCACGGGAGCGTCACATCGTCAATCTCAAACACGCAGTTCGGAGGGACGAATGGGGGCTGAATCGGAGATAAGTCTACTCCGGTAACTTTGGCACTGGGATATTCATCTGCCATGTCGCTTGAGCCAAAAGTCAGTATTCGGACATGGTATGAACGACGGAAGCAATAGTGATCACGCACGTAGCCCATATCCCGGTTCCCGTACCCACATCAAGGATTTCCTGCGATTCATTCTTAGACAGTTGTCGACTCGGGCTTTCCAAGAGTCAGGAGACCTCAAAAAAGCCTGCAAGATGCTTCAAGCAACGCCAGCCATACCTGTGGATTCGAAATGGGTGCTAGGTGTAGCTTCCCGTCGAGAGTCAGACAGTACATATGATGCGCCATATCTTGCTGTTCATTGGCGATGTCATCGTTGGGGCCCTGCAGGTGGAATCGTAATCAGTTAGCCCACAGCTGTGGACAACTCCCTCGAAGCCGAACAACCCACCCAGTAGGCTCCATCACGATACGAGTGATAGCGACGGCCATACTCATATCGGTAGTCGGTGATGTAAGTGGACAAGGTGATTGTGTCATCGCCGATCAAGGTGTCCTCGCCGTACGCGGAGTCATCGTCCGCGATGTTGTCCTCGCCATCGCTCATGCGGGTTGACATATCGACAGAAGAATAGACACGGTGTGGGGTATCTGTGCTGATGCTCAAAGGGATCTCAGTGGTAAGGCTATGTTCCTCGCAGCGGGAAGAGGTCATGGCGGCGATCGGGAGCCGAGATCTGTGGACGGTTGCGGAGATCTCCTCCGTACGGGGCACACGAACGGTTGGGGCAGTGCAAGGGGGTGTTTTCCATGAACCGAAAGCAGGAGACCCAGCACCGTTGGAAATAGGAGAAGCGGGGTTCAGATTTGAGAAATTAGTGTGGTGGTTGCGATGATGCAAAACTGCACAAGGAGGCAGAGAGGTTCGACCGGAAAGATCGAGAAGAAAGGGGGAAAGCCATCAGGTGCAGCTGGAGAGAGCGGAACCTGAGTTGAGCGGTCTGCAACGCCCCGGGCTGGAGATGAAGGTTTACTGTTGATTGCAGTGTGGAACGTGTTGAGGGTGAAGCTGTTTGAACGGACGGATGGTACCTGCCCAGTGCGGTTTAGTTGCGTGGATGATCGGCTCTCGGCCGTATCGGAGGGCCTCGGGCTGCTCGGCCTCAGGGTCACCTGCGGGGGCGGTGTGACCATCCCTGAGCTGTGATTGGTGGCAGATACCGCTTTGAGTTTTGCTGCTTGCTCCTTTTCGGGTTTGTTCTCTGATTTCTTTCCGATCGGTTGCAGTAAAATGCGGGTCACATGGCTTGCAGATGCATCCGCTAGACCACCTTAGGTTTAGCCTGCACAGCTGATCCTGCACGAGTGGCTTAGTCATGCTGCCGGCATTTGGCTGCAGAATCCGGCAGTGCAGCCACTCCATTGGCAGAACAACGTGCAAGTCACGACGATCGTCGTCTCCTTTTTGGCTGCTCTGCATGTCTGCAACCATCTGGCAATGGGGATTGTGCCCCTCCCACCGGCGTCCGTCTGCCTCCGCCCAACAACACACTAATGCTGCGTTCTTGACGTCACCAGCTCCAGTCCGGTTTCCCCCTAGCCTACAGCCTTAACGCACCATTTTTCCTTCTAAAGAGAGCTGTACACCTTCTCACAACATTCAAAGAATATGGTGTATCAGGATTATGGCGCGTGATGGCACAATTCATAGTCTACGGACGTGGTGATGTCCAATTGTTCCCACTGTGTGGCCTATCCGTGATGGGTAGTAGCAGCCGCTTATCAGTGGCCCAGACTAGCACACGCAATGCAGTCATCTCGGCACTCTGCTAAATGCCGTGACCCCTGGTATTGTCTGGGGCCTAAAGTCCCCATTCGGTGCTGGACAATGTGATGATTTAACGGTAATGATCACTATGCGCGGCACTGTAATAACGTGGTACGGAGTACTTTTCCTGGTTCCACTGGGGTTCGCCTGTGAGATCCGCAGATTGGCGAAGCCTTAGTGGACAAATCACAAGAGTGTCATGAGTCGCGGAGGCCCATCATGACCCTTGTGTGCGTAGAATCTCTACTTCCGTCATCATGGATTTTTTGACATGTTCCACACGTCTGCTTTTATCCTTCCAACCCACTGTACATAGTTGGACCATCTCTCTGCCAGCCCACGAGCTTTTTTTTGGTATCCACTCGAGGTCCGGAAGCTCTGTGCATCTTAAATGACATGATGGCACCCCCGGAGCCGAAACTCTCGACCACGGTTCTCGTTGTGGGCGCAGGTAAGGCTTTGGTAGTCGCGTGGGACTTTCAACCTCACGATGAAGCCTTGCACCAAGGATCCGGACACATAACGCTGATTGATTATGATTAGGTTCAACTGGACTTGCTTTGGCTCAGGGGTTGAAAAAGGTAGTTATAACACCTACTTCTGTATTTCTCCTAGCTGAACACTTTCCGTTTAGGCTGGGATTCCTACTATTGTGGTAGAAAAACATGACAGCTTAGATGCACATAACCGTGACTGGAACATGGGCTTGCACTGGGGCGCAGGCCCTTTGCAAGCTCTCTTACCAGAAGAGCAATGGTCACGAATCCAGTCAGTCCAAGTCGATCCTAATGAGCCTACAGCAGAACAAGATGCTCTCAACTTCCTCAACGGACAGTCCGGAGAGGCCATGGCTTCCATCCCTGCGCGTCTTTTCTATCGGTTGCGTCGTCGGAAACTCCGAGGCCTGATGGAACCAGGCTTAGACATTCGGTATGGCCAAAAGCTACAGGACATTCAGTGTTCTGCCGACGGCGAACATGCCACTGCCATGTTCGAAGATGGCTCGTCCATTTCAGCTAGCATTATAGTGGGCGCTGATGGAGCTCGCTCGACGACACGACACGTCTTGCTAGGACCTAACAGAGGGGAGGTCCGCCGGCTTCCTTACTGCGCAACCTTTATCCAGGCCCAATACTCCGCAGAGCGTGCTCGCTACTTACGACAGTTCCACCCTCTTTACATCGCTGGAATTAATCCTGCGGGGTATTTCTCTTTCTTCGGCCTACACGACGCAACAGATCGCGAGAGACCAGACACTTGGACTTTCTTCTTCTACATATCATGGCATTCCTCCCTGCAGGAGCAACGGGAGACAGCTGGTTGGAGTAACGCACAAAGGCTTGAGCAAGTCAAGAAGTTTGCCAAGACTTACACTGATCCTTGGAAGAGCGCGTTTGAATGGCTGCCGGATGACCAGCAAGTCTGGCACATGGGCCTGAGCGACTTTGACCCACGCGAAAAATCCCATAGGTGGGATAACCGAGGGGGGCGGGTCACATTGGCTGGTGATGCAGCACACGCCATGACATATCAACGTGGTCAGGGCTTGAACCATTCCATTACCGACGCAGCCAATTTGGTGGAAGCAGTGCGACGGTTTGTCTCTGGAGAGGCAACGCGGGCTGACGCTATAAGGGAGTATGAAGATGAGATGATTTCCCGCGCGGGGAGTGAAGTTGGCCTGTCTACTGTCAACACGGCAATGCTGCATGACTGGCACAAGGTGTTACAGTCACCGGTAATGACATCCGGCATGAAACGGTCAACTGAAATTATAGCCAATTGAAGGCAGTGTTATCACCACTTCCATTGACCTATGCACAGCGACAACTTTCCACCGACATCTGACTTAATGATACGCCTATAATATAATGCAGATATTCATATACCTCAACTTTCTAGCAAAGATTTTGAATTCCACATCCACAAGTGAACCATTAAAACTCGTATTATCACAGATAACCAGGCATGTATCTCAACAATAACAACCTTTAGACACGAGGGACAGAAATCCTTCTACCCCGCAATTGAATATCCCGGTCTATCCGGATGATCTCATTCCCATAAGCCTAGCCCATTCCTCCCATTCTGCAGCAACCAGCGCACGCTAGTCTGACGTTGCAGAAAGTGCCGTCCCGCCTATTCACTGGCGCTGATCTCTACCGAAAGTAGTCGTAAGTGTAGTTGGTTTGTTTAGCGACCGTTGGCAGTTATCTTCGTCTCCACTTTCGGATGTTACTGCTGATAAGGATACGGAAAGGGTATTACTATTATAAATAAGGAGTATTATATGAGCTCTGCTACATGATCCACCGATGCAAGGAAACAATTCAAATAATGGCAATGCATTTCACTGCTCTTACTAGCAGGACTTATGACCTGGAAGTCATGGATAGAATGTAGAGCAGGATAATGCTATCCGGAAGGCAAAGGAGTCTAATGGCTGAGACAATCTGTGTACAATGAATCAATCATTAAGAGAAAAGATTACTTAGATCTACCCTTTGGCTACCCATAGTTCGAGCTTTTACAGGCTATACTGTAATCATCTCCGACAGAAGAGATGATTATTTGACCAGGTATTGGTAATAAGGAGCAGAGAGGGTGGAAATTACGTCGAAGAACTGGAAAGGCTGAGAAAGGAGAAGATGTTTTCCGAGTCCAAGCCTTCTTCAACCCTCCATCCCAAATCCACGACTCTTACTCCTCAACCCGTGCAAGAGCCTTTAGACACGAAAGAAACTTATCCTTATGCAGACCATCTCCACCATTCTTATAAGCCCTAAGGACCTCCGAATTCCTTTCCTTGATCGTATTGACCATATACTGGATACCATCAGCAGCAAGCTCCTCCAAAGCTTTCTCATCCGCCTCCTTAGCTTCATCCCGAATCTCATGAAGTCGCCTCAGCCAGAACATGTATCTCCATGGAGAGAATCCCATAGGTGATCGCTGTCCGAGATCTGATTCAACGAACATCTCACCAGCCTTGCTAATATAGCTTGGACAGTCGTTCCAATATACCTCTGATAGCAAAAGGAGGTTGTGATTTGCTGTCTTCAGCCAAACAACAGCAGAGGGTAGCAGATGAAACACCTCCAACTGCTTAGTACTTCTATTGACGTCCTCCTCATCGGATTCTTTCCCTGAGTGGAGTTGCACAGGGCTTTCAAGCAGAGTGCGGAAGATCAAGAGAGCAACTTGGCACATCCTATCCTTGGCAGCACGCGTGGAGGCAAGTTTAGCTAGGAATGTAGCAAAGTTGAGCCGGTGGGTCCCCGACATAGATGCACTGTGGTTGATCCAGAAGTTGGTCATATCCCCAACAAGGAAAGGGAGATCGTTCCACAGTGTGCCGTCAACAGTTCGTGCGATGTCGATTCCATTGACTCCGCGTGCGGGTCTAGTCAATGGGCCCATTCCTTGAATGCGAAGGATGTCGAGGACTAAGCCCTCGTGTTCGGGGGATTCGGAGGAGATGTTTCGCCCTAGCTCGTAGTACATGTACCATAGGGAGTGGATGTGACCCTCGAGAGAGTCAACACCATCTCCGATGTCGCAGTAGCGGCTGGTAACGACCCAAGTCCGGTTGCTGAAGGCTATGTCTCGGACTTCTTGGGTTTCGCCCTGAGCGATAGCCTGTCGTGTGTCTTCCTGGTCTCTGCGAGCGTGGTCGATCGCTGCAGTAGAAGGGCCGTCTCTCGGCAGAGAGCTCAGTAGAGAATCACGGAGGTGGTCCATTGTGGTAGTTGACAAAGTGGAATCAGGATGATGATTCAATCAGACTTCAGATAGAAAAAGAAGGTAGCAAGGACGTGGAAGAGTAGTTAGAATTCGATTGGAATACGAATTGTTGTTAAAGTTATCATCTACGAGGGGACAAAGGATTCTCTCCTTGGGGAAGATCTTCTGGACCCCTGCTCCTTAGGCAGCAACATAGGGCCCGGCAAGGCTGACGGCCCAATCTGTGAATCTGGGCTCCTGTAGAGGCTGACGGGCTTAACTAGTTCCTTTGTTTGCTTGTCGATCAGCCGCAGCTAAGACAGAAGTAGTTGCTAATCATGCAACTATCCACCAGGGACAAGTCACAACCCCGCATTGCTGCGAATAAGACGGCTTGCAGGGCTGAGTCGTATTTGGGATGTGATGAGAGCCCTGCATACATTAGCATTGTTTGAGGTTACATTAAATGTGACCGACTTGATGCTTGGTTCGAGAGCCGCTCTGGATCGTCAAAGGGGCTAGCCTCATAGCAGCATGCATACAGGGAATCAGTAAGTGAAACAGACATAATCGATCATCACAACTCCTACTTAGGATGTAACCCCATGCAAAGTATTTCAGCAAGACTCAGGTCCGGAACGAGCCGGGAGACAAAGCACTTGGCGCATGAAGGGAATTGAGTACGACGAACTGCCGATGATTGTGTGTTGCCTCAAAGAGCGTTAGTGCTTATGTACCACTGATGTACTGTTGATCCTCCAGAGAGCGCTGTTTCCATAGATCAAGGAAATAAGAGTTTCTAACAAGTGAGATCTTTAGCACTCCAGACAGTATTTCTAAGCCTGGAAGCTTCATGCAAGCTTAGTATTGCAGACTGGCATAGATGCATCTCCACCCGTGCGGTCTCATTCCAATGTTTTTGTTAATACCCGGCGAACCAACTCAATTCACCTTCATGTTTCGATAGCTGGCTTACTCAAGTTGCATATAGCGCATGTCTGAAGCTTACAGTGTTACATCGCCCAACCGCCCTATTCCGCAGGATTTACGCCCCAGCCCTGCAGCAGGGCACAAGACTACTTGTGCAGGGTCAAATGCTTGACCAATTCAAGCAGATCCACTAGTCACTGTTAGCATTGAGCCTTATGCTATACCCTGCATGAACGACATCTCAGCGACCGGAGGATCGGGAGATCTTTCCTTCTTCAAGCGTCACCTAAGATGTAAGGCCACCCAGGACTTCAATATCCTGCTATCAAGTGGCTTACCAGGATCCTTCTGCCCGGGCTATCACGCCCCAGTCGTATTACTAACATCTCGACTGCCTCTAAGAGATCACACGAACTTCCAAGTCAATATGCTTCCTCCGGTATATGAGGCATATCTTTCATTGGATAGCTTACTCTATCCTGAGACCGCAGCCTTATTGATAACTGCATCAAAATGAGGATAGTATTTGTCAAGAATGGCAAGAGTACCCCGAACTGGCAGTGTATATAAGGAACCTCCACGGCGCTCCAATCCACAAGATATCAATCTCACCAGCTCAACAAATTTCCTCTCTCTTAACTACTCTACACCACCGCAACTTCCACAAAACTACATCCTCAAAATGCAGCTCACCAGCATTGCCATCATCCTCTTCGCCGCAATGGGCGCCATTGCCAATCCCATTGCGGCCGAGGCGGACAATCTCGTTGCTCGGGAGGCGGAGCTTAGTAAATACGGAGGAGTAGGTTTCCTTTCTTCCATGTTCTCTATCGCTGTAGAGATGGAACTAACATATATGAACTATAATAGGAATGCAGCGTTGAGCACAACACCTGCACATACCTAAAGGGCGGAAAGGATCACATTGTCAGTTGTCCTTCGGCTGCTAATTTGAGGGTATATTAAGACTTCTGCTTCTATTCTGGTATGATTGATCATGCTAATTTGTTATCTACAGTGCAAGACTGAACGTCACCACTGCGAATACGACGAGCACCATAAGACGGTCGATTGCCAGACTCCTGTTTGATTGGGTTGATTCGGTTTCACAGGGACATAGGCCAATTTTTGGCTGTTTCGGTGTTTCTCCAGCTTGCCATAGCATGAGATTATTTCGTGTCTTTCAACAATGCCCGATTATCTTGTGTCATGGTGGGATGGCGGTGAGTGAGCTATGGATTTTGTCCGTTGCTGGGGTTGAATATGTTAGTTGTTGTTTGCAGTTCTTGTTATCATCGCGCTATATTGGTATCTAGCTAGCTCTACCTTTATCTCAGTGTTGTCTGTTGACTTGCTGTTATTATTTAAGGTCATTCTACTAGTAGCTGTATCCCTGATGGTTGTTAAGTGCGTTGGCCAGCTGGGAAGTAGTATATATTACATAGCCAATTCTGTATACTATAGAACACACGCAACTGTAGCTTTATTTACCTTTCCAATCTAGGAGCCGCTAAAGGGATCAGGATATCTGAGAATAAAGCAATAGCGAATAGAGTCTCGTATTCATCGTCATCATTATTAGCGGAAAGACTAGCGCTGGTGAAGGGTGCTATGTACCCTGGTTCTGCTCCGTAAGCATAGACATATTTCTTCAAAAGAATATGACGACTGTACCGCCACGCTGATATGCGATGGGCCAGTGCTGCCCGCCATACTGCACAACACACGGACTGGTAATCACACAACATCCTTCCTATAATCTATCCGCACGTCAGAAGCCTCCCTCGCCTCCCCATCAGCATCTGCAAACGCTGTATCGCCAAACAACTCTGCAACTTCCTCCAGCGTGCTATTGGCCGTCTCAACATAGTAGAAGTGTACCAGGCCTGCAGAGAAGAGACAGAACCCAGCAATAACAACGTAGAAGTATCCGTTGATACCTGCGAACGCATCCGGAGATACCATGCCGATGATGAAGTTGAAGATCCAGTTGCTGGTAGTAGCCAGAGCCATTCCTTTACTGCGGCCACGCAAGGGGAAGATTTCAGCTGGTAGCAGCCATGGCATTGGACCCCAGGTGAAGCCGTATAGGATGTTGTATAGCATAACGAAGGCGTATTGGCCCTTGGCGCGGACCTGGACGTCTAGGTCTGCTTCGGTGAAGGCGCAGACGATGCCAAGCAGGACTGCCATTCCGATACCTGTTTTGATGCATGTCTTAGCCGGGTGCTTACAGTGTACATGAAGGTATCGGGAGGGGAGAAAATGGACTCACCTCCAAGGATTAGTAATGGTTTCCGTCCCCATCGGTCTGCTAACCACCAAGTCGAAATTGTGGCCGCAGTGTAAGGTAGTGCATTGGCTGCGGTGTACAGAAGGGATTTTCGCTCATCGAAGCCGGCGGTAGCAAGTGTGCTGGGAAGGTAAAAGGAGATGATGTTGATTCCGTTAAGTTGTGCAAACATTTGGACAGTTACTCCGACGATGGTCCGCTTACGGTATCGGGTGAACATTTCCTGTCTATGGTCAGTTTCGCACTTGCATGACATCCCATGACAGGCGTAATAGAACTCACCATCCACGATGACTTTCCTAAGTTGGTTTCGAAGATAACTGCTTCTTCGATTTCCACAAACACCTGCTGCACATGTTCCGCTTGAGTATCGCCATTGGCGTGAAGGTCAGCGACCGTCTGCAAGCTTTCTTGCATGAATCCGTTTTTGGCCAGCCAACGAGGTGTCTCGGGGAGAAAGAACGACATGGCCAGAAGAATGAAGGAGAGAGCAATTTGGATGATGAATGGACCTTGCCAGGACATTTCACTGGGCAAAAGAAAATTAAATCCATAATCTACCCAACATGAAAGCATGTATCCTGCAATCTGAAACGTGTATTCAATTCCCACCATTAAACCACGACGATGCGGGGCGGCAATCTCAGTCTGAATGATAGGTACTGTCATGGAAAGAAACCCAACACCTAGACCTTGAATGGTGCGACCAGCAATGAAGGTGCCAAACCCAGGCGCGAAGATCTGAATGAACGCACTGAAAAAGTAGATGAACCCGCCAAGACGAACACATCGCTTGCGCCCCATCATATCGCCCAAGCGTCCTGCAAGGAGTGCACCCACCGCTGCGGACGCTTGTAGACAAGCAACAGCTATCCCGGTGATCGAAGGATCGACTCCGGTTGTTGAGCCGTCAGCACCGCCGTAGTCTTTGAAGAAGCGAGCTACAAAAGCAGGATTGACGAGGAGACCTGACATAATTCCTATGTAGCATAGCTATTAGCAACGACTCATATTGACTTGTTTATCAGAAAGCTGAAAAGAAGAAAGGTATACCAGAGTTGTACCCAAACAGGGCATCACCCAGACTGCCGAAACCACATGTCGCGTAGAGCAATGGGGTTCCCTTGAAGGGATACCAAGCTCTCACCTTCGTCGGCTTCAGCTTTCTCTCCAGCCAGCTCTGCTGCTCTACTTCCCGAGCAGCCACGGCCTGTGCAGTGCGAGTCAAAGCGGCATTATCCGCCGGTAGAGAGGACATTTTGGTAGCCATAGTGCCAGAAAGATGACCATCAATGAGTCAAAGGCCAGTGCCAGGTTGACTCCACGATTCTGGAGACCGAAACATCTTAAGCAGTTGTGGCCGTCGCTCTATTTCTACCCCAGAGCATTATGTCCCGTGGGGAAGCAGACCTTTTCTCCAGGCCCTGAAAGTGGAGCTGGTTGTCGGGATCGAGCCACTGTAGTCGGCCATCCGGGGTTGGCGCGCTCGTGTTGTTTTAGCTCAGCGACCAGTGTGAGTGCCGACCAGTTGCAACAAAACTCCTGTTCCGTCGAAGTGGGAATTCTTCGCTCTCAGCCAATAATTTCATCTCATTACCCCGTAGTCACGGTCGACTTCCGGGACTGAATTTAGCCTTCGTAATACAACAACGATGCCGGTTGCTGGAAATTGTAAGGGTTCTCGTACCGGTTCCGTGTGGTTTCGGTTCCGAGTCCAGCTTGGCCAGTTCCGACCCCACTCGGTTCCGAGGCATTTATCCCCCGCCGTGGGATGATCTCCTGGTCTCAACAAACTGCCTCCTTTGGTGAAGCAAATGGCTCATTTTGTGGGTACGGATAGGGCGACTTTTTTTTGAGACAATCCGCCGGAACCGACCTTATAGATGGCATGACCTCCAGCGTCGTACGACTCGGCCAGAAGTGCCCTGTTAAAAGCCCTGACCAATCCCTGAGATCTTGTTGACCTGTACACAATACTTGGCTAAAATGGCTCCTTCAGGAATCAATCAGGTCCGTTTCTTTATTATATCTGCACATAGACTCGCTTACTGACGTCCTCGGTCGGTGTCTGTACAGGCTTTCGTTTTACACCCCGGGGGCAGATTCGATTATGAAGAGCGTGTTATACCTAATCTTCAGACGGACCGCGACGTCATCGTCCAGGTTATCGTGACTGGCCTTTGTGGCTCCGATGTAAGGCTTTACTTCCATTCATCGTTTTCCTTTCAGCTTGGGCCACAGCTTACCATCGACCTAGATCCACTATTGGCAGCATGGCCGCATAGGGCGGTATGTGGTCGAAGCCCCCATTGTCCTTGGCCATGAATCCGCCGGCATTGTGGTGGAATGCGGGAGTAAATCGGGTTTCGCTATCGGTGATCGCGTAGCCCTGGAGCCAGGCATTGCCTGCAATACCTGCCATCATTGCCGCGCGGGGAGATATAACCTCTGTAGCGCGATGCGTTTTGCTGCCACACCACCCTATGATGGGACACTGGCGACCTACTACCGTCTTCCTGCAGAATGCTGCTACAAGCTGCCAGCACATGTATCCCTGCAACACGGAGCACTGGTCGAACCGCTCAGTGTGGCAGTGCACAGCTGTCGACTGGCAGGAGATATGCAGCAAAAGTCGGTCGTCGTCTTTGGCGCTGGCCCAGTCGGTTTGCTCTGCGCATCCGTTTCCCGCGCATTCGGTGCATCGACAGTTGTGGTTGTTGACATTAACTCCGACCGACTTAGCGTGGCACAAAAGTACGGAGCCACGCACACGTATAAAATGAGCAACGAATCCCCGGAACACAATGCTGCCAGAATTTTGGAAGAAATGGAGCTGGACAATGGGGCCCACATTGTTTTGGATGCCACCGGCGCCGAGCCTTGTATGAACTGTGGCATTTCAGTTCTTGCGTCGGGTGGAACATTTGTGCAAGTCGGCTTGGGCAAACCGAATCCCTCACTGCCGGTCGGTCAAATCTGTGATAAAGAGGCCATTTTCAGGGGGAGTTTTCGGTATGGTCCAGGAGATTATCGAACAGCAATTGGGCTGCTGTCGTCGGGTCGGGTTGTTTTAGAGGGTTTAGTTACCCACGAGTTCCCTTTCACGCAGGCGGAAGAGGCATTCAAGAACGTCGGCAACCGACAGGGTATCAAGACTGTCATCTATGGACCTGGGGCAGATGAAAACGCAGCGAAAGCAACCTTGACCTAAACCGAGCACAATCCTCCTATCGGTCCGTTATATAAACTGTAAGGCGCTTCCCGTGCTAGCTAGATCGCGTAGCTTCATGAATCCGTTCCGGCCCATGACATGTCCCATAGCCAATACAGCCCGTTATCACCGAAGGCTTCCGGGGTGATTTCTGGAACTCCTAGGGGAAAGCTAGGGTCATTCCAGTTATCTTCGAATGACCCATGCCACGAGCTATCAGCCGGGGCGTGCTCCTGAAAATCAGGCAGCTGTTCTTGACTTCCTCTCGCGCCGTGTGTGTCATGGAAGCTACCATCCTTGCCAGAAGGAATGACTATTGGATAGAAAGACACTTAGTTTCTCTGGATATATCATAGGAACAGGAAGACGACATTTGCGCTCACCATTTTGAACTGACGCTAAACTCTCATTCAACCGATCAATTCTGCCATAGTCTGGCCATGTCGTCCGCCGTAAGGAACTGTCGATCGGTGTTACTGTGGCATCCAGGGGCAGTCGCAGAGTGTCTTCCACGGATATGGACGCTGATCCCGTTGCGGATGTGTGCCCTGTCTGTTGACTGTTTCCTGTGACTGGAGCCAAGATAGTTTCCGATTCGCGACGAAGGATTAGAGTGACCACGTTTTTCAAAACGGTCGTACTTTGTCTTGATAAAGCTGACCGCTCACCCAAAAGGCTCTGTAGACGTAAGATCCGGGTAATTGTGCGCTTTGCCACTTGGGTTGTGTCTGATAATGGGTCTGATAGAGCCATGACCGCTAGTACAATTGCAGCATGGAAAATATTGATGGCAAGGAAGGCGACAAGATGACTATCTGTTGCCAATTGAGCAAGTACCGGCACTTCGGTGACACGCGACGTTCTGAGGGCAGCATTCCACCAGTGCATTGAACTTTTGACCGGCTCAATAGGCGACATGGCTTCAAACGGTGACAGCTTTTGAGCTGGTGAGCCTGCTTCAGGGTGTGGATTGGGCGATTCTGTCCCAAGTCCTGCGCCCGAAGTGGGATGGCTTATCGACAGATGTCTGACTTGCCTTGCCAGCAACGGCCGGTGGAGGACAACGAGAATATTGTCGTAGGTCAATTGCAACGACAAGGATTGTAGAGCGTGCGCTCTTGCACTCGGTCCACTGCCGGGTTCGAAATCCTGGTCGAAGTCCAAAGTCAAGTAGCCAGGAAGGTTACTCTGCCACTTCTGGAGATTCTGGGTCGCCTCTTTCACTAGCTCAATGTAGACATCTCCAGTCAATGCCTTGGAGGAACCTGAAGTGCGCGAGCCAAAAATAAACTCCAGAGCTGGAGATGCCAGAAGGTAGAGGGTGTTTAATTCTCTTTGGTAAGGAGAATAGCTAATGGTGCACCCTTGCTCCGAATTTGGTGTAATAAAATATGGATTCTCCAGATTATCCGCTGGCATGCTGAGATTACAGTCCTTATCATTGATGCCCAATGGCCGACCGTAGGTGATGGACGCAAAACGGTCCCAAGTGTATATTGTCCACCAGACTCGCTTCCGTTCCTCAATCTCCTCAAACTTGCCTGTAGCCGATTCTCGGTGTAGCCCCGCAGCCTGAGACATCTTGATAGTTGCACCGAGCAAAGAGAACGACAAGTTTGGCCGACCATGATACACATGGTGTGACCCAAAGAGAATCAGTACTTGGGCTGCTGCCACCGAAGACTCATCCATCAATTCCACGACATGCAATTCGACAAGACTCATGAGATCGGCACTCAATTTTCGCCACTTACTACTATCGGCTGCATCCGTGACGGTTCTTTGTGATCGATACCAGGCGCTCATCCCCAGCATGACTGCCAATAGCAGCAAGAATGGCTTTTGGGAAGGATGAGCGAATCCGTCTGTAATAGACTGTAGTCTTGTACGAAAAGTCGGTTCGTAAATAACAAGAGAAAACCAATGAACTGAGTCAAAGTATTTCTCGATTAAGGAATATGTCACATCCATGGAAGGCAAATGGCGCCCTAAGATCGATGAGATAGGGCGCCGCTGGCCTCCAGCTACAGTGCGCCGGTCAGCAACATCTGTGCTATTCCACGATCCTGGAATGGCGGATGTGGATTGTTCATCGATGACCTGCTTATCCAGCTCGTATATTTTCTGGGCGATACCCATTGTAGATTCAGCTTCGCCATATTCCATCAAGAACTGCGCCTGATGCACCTCTTCAGATAGGTGTGTGTCATTTCTCTCGGTTCTGGACGTCGAGGGGCAGTTGCTATCAGTATTTCCATTTTGGGATTCGATCTCAACAAGTGCTGCTGACGTTCTCGTCTGCCGCCGGCGGCTTTGCAAAGCCGCTTTTGAGCTACCGAGTGTCAGTAAATGCAGGGTTTAGTGACCCCGCAGCGGGAAGTGGGAGTGTTTCTGTCATGCTTGTGAAGATGGAGGGACTTACATGCGATGTTTATCCTTCGGCCTCTGAGGAGCAGGGAGCTGACGACAAACCACCTTAGCCCGTGCACACAAGGAGCAAGGCCGGAAAGGGTCGCACTGCAGATGTCAGATAATTGGATATTATATTCTAGACGTTGGTAAAGAATTGATAAGGGGAAAGTATCGCGCGCTTACCCGAGTTTTATGGCGACGGCATCTTTCACACGCATTACTGACTCGGGTCGGCAAAGGTGAACGGACATGACTGGTATTGCTTGATAAATTGGACCCATTTCCTAGGTCGAGATCTCCTCGTGGTCGACTAGACATAATCAGAGTATGAGCTTGATGGAAGCAATCGTTTGACGGGACCGGGAGAGGTGTGGAGGAAGTACTACAATCCCGCACGAAGTGGTGTTCATTTTGTCCGCGCAGGGTGTTTCTCCGCATCCAAGCGGCGGCCCGAATCCGGGAACCTCCACGGGACACTAAAGCATATGGGTTCGGATACTGGGTTGATCCGAGATCCCCCAACTCTATCTGCGAGCAGTTGTGTTTACCACGTTCACGATAATTAATATTCCGCCTATCCAGTCCGACTTTGATGGCTATCGCAACGTCAATTTTGGCAGTGGGGAGGAAGCTATTTATCGTTTATGGTGGTTTATGGTGCTGTATTTGTATACGAAACTAGTAGTATCAACCATCATCCAGTTGCCGAGGCAAGCTGGACTAACTGAGTATTGCTAAGTACAGGCTATCCAACCATCATGGCAGGCTATATTAGTCTGGATACAGAAGGGGCTTAGTCGTCCCTGATCCCTGTAACCAGCTGATCCTGTGAGTCAGGCTTTCCATCTTTGAACTAGTACTGCTACAGTGCTACTAAGTATTAAATCTCCTTCTTATCTCTCCACCGTCCCACCTCCCCCCGATTCCCATTTTAGTCAACCCAATACCGTCTCTCTTGCCATCATGGACGAGGAACCTCCTTCTCCCATCAGCACGGATGACAAGTCCATCCACGAGCCCCCCATAATCTCCTTCGATAACAGCGGTGACGGCCCGCTTCGAGTGCCCGGGTTTGGTGACGTCCCTCTGGACTATGAGCTCCCATGCGACGCGCGCTTTGCCCATGGAATCAAAGAGTGGCGCCAGGCACCAGCCGTCACGGCACGTGAGCTGGCCATGACAGCTGTAATGAATCGCCTGACCGACCGCCCAAACTGGCATGTCGATGTCTTCGATGATGAGGTCGTGGCGCGCTGGCGGCAAGACAGTAGCGCCTCCATCGCGATGAATCCTCTCCTGAGTAACCGGGCCTGGGACTGGTGCGTGCAGGAACTACGCGACAAGGCCACCGAGTTTCGGCAACAGGGACACATCCGGGTGCTGGACACTGGGTCTTGTGTCTGCAAATCTGATCATGTTCCTGCGCTTCGAACAGGGGAGCTGGCCAGCGAGTTCCGACGCGCAGTAAGACCGGTGCTTCGGTCCCTAATGCACTCCGGATTGTTGGATTGGCGGTCAAGGCGTAGATTAAGTATCGTCGACGCAGCCTTGTTTCCACTGGTCTATGGGCGGAGCTTGGTCTTGACTGACGGGGGTCGGGTGGACATAGAGGATGTGCTGGGCGCGTATGAAGGTGCGACAACCCTTGCGCCTACTCATGTCGACAAGAGAACAGATTCGGCGGATGTTCAGAGACAAATTGAGAAGGCGCAATGGCTGTCTGTGGGCGTGAATGCCAACTATAAAACAGCACCTCACTATCGATGGAGCGCAAATTACCAGGCCTTGCCATCTGAAGTGGAGTTTGTAGGGCATACAGGGTCGACGCAGGTGCGCCTTACCTCGTACATCAATAATCTTCACCCGGTTCACCAGAACCTCTACCGTGCTATCGAAAAGTTGATAGGCCGGGCGATCCCGTTATGGAACGACTGTCTGGTGCTGGGACAGCGCGGCTGGAGGGATATTATGAATCAAGGCCAGCTGGGACCGGTGCCACTACGTATTATCACGTATGGGGTAGAGTGGGAAAATGAGCTTCCCGAATGCCTGCTCGCCTTCCGGATTCCAAGTGAGACGAGGAAGTGGATGTACCGCAGAGCCCAAGAAGCGCTCTTAAACAGTGCGGGAGATAACACAGACGAGGGTCGCAAAAGGTACCAACGTGCACAAGAACGGTTGAAAGATTTTCCAGACGTTGTAGGGAGTGAAGAAAAGGAGTTACCGCCCCCAGAGTCAAACCTCTGGCAACGCGCAAAGGAGTATCTCGAACTTCCTGAGGATGGATCAGCTTCCCCCGTTCCTGCCCCGGATGATTGGCAGCAGAACACCTGGCGTGCGATCGAAGGCAAAGCCAAGCGAGTGGTGCGATACCGTCACCCGGAGCCAGGGACGGCTTTCTCTTACGAAGAGTGGAAGACGGGGCGTCACCACGAGAGAGCCGTGGTTGATCTAGTGCGCGAGCGGATGGAATGGCGCCGGATTCCCTACACTCCAATCACCCCTCCCCACAAACCATATACCATTCGGCTCCAGGACATGTTCCGCTCGCAAGGTCTGCAAGTAATTGTAAACATGGAGAACATTGAGCTTACCCCTGAAAGTCCGGACTACAAAGGGACGGACTGGCACATGGAAGGCCAACTCAACGAACATATTGTAGGTATCGCCGTCTTCGCATATGATATCGACAATATAACCAAGCCCCAAATTGCTTTCCGACAGAATACTAAGATGGATGAAACATTCTACCGATATAGGATGCGTGATGAGCGAGGACAAAGGTGGCATCCACGAGCAAAACCGGCCCACAGCTATGGGAAACCTGGCATCTACGGTGTGGAAGAAATCGCGAGAATACTGGGATATTGCAGTTGGGACCTTGATACTGAAAACTTTATGATGAGAACATGGCAGGACAAAGGTGTAATATCGATCGCGCAAGGGCGTTTGGTCACATTTCCCAACGTCCTAGAGCACCGTGCCCAGCCCTTCTCCCTAGCTGATCGGAGTCGCTCGGGGCATTATCGATACATCAAATTGTATCTGGTTGACCCTCACTATCGCATCTGCTCCACCCGCAATGTGCCACCCCAGCAGCATCACTGGTGGGCAGACGCGGTCGGTGAGGATCTAAGTGCTGCCGGACTACCCCAAGAGATGATTGATCAGATCATGACAGAGACTGGCTGCTGGCCTATGGGGTTGCCGGAAGCTCGCCGGCACCGCCACGCGTTTCTGAAAGAGCATCGCTGGAATAACCTGGTACGGATCTACACAATGGATCGTCCATACTTCAATTGTTGGCCATACGTAGTAACGGAGAGACATGTTTGAAAGTCTGTCGGGCGTCAGAGGGAGAGATTCATTATGAGTGACAAATCGCTCAATGGGAAGGATCAATCTTGCCATGTAAGGAATGAATTCAAACTTTCCAAAAATTTCTTACAAACAGCTCTAAAGGTAACTCCATAAAATTCGAAGCTCACAGCAGGCACATAATGTATCTGCTTTGAGTCGGAGAGTTATGTCCTCGCAACTAACCCTCTTGAATATTCCTTTCAATCTTGACTTTGGGTATAATGAAGTGACTGTTTGCCTGGACTCATCCCATGAGGATATCGGGGTGGACCTCTAATACATTTACCCATCCTAATTCTTTTCGATCTGAAAACGATCTTCGCCCTGCCGAAACAAGAATAATGCCAGTATTGGAATGGCAACCGGTTGATCTCCGATCCACTGACTACGTGCATTGACATGCAAGCTGCGACTGACGTCAACCTACACTAACTAGTCGGCTGTTGGATCATACCGAACATACGCCAAAGACAGCACAAGGAGTCCGAAAGTGCTCTCTGCTAAGGACCAAGCCGCAGTACCCCCCGACCCTGAGATATATAGCATGTCGGCTTGTTTCCCTTGTTGGGTTTCAACACTTGTTCTTCAAGTCGATCAACCCCGCACTTTGTTCAATGTGATGGGTCAAGCAAGAAAGAGAAGGTCGCGCTGCCGCGTGTACCTCAGCGGAACTGTGCCGATCGTCCGAAGCGTCGGAGAAATATCCTGGTTGACGCAACGAGGTTCGATATCCGGGGTCTGGGTAATATGATGATCTGGGGAAACAGTGAAGTGCGGGGTGTAGACTTACCATTGCATATCTTGAGCAGCGAGACCCCTTCATCCTCCTACAGAGCTGGAGGAGTCTCTACTCTTCATCGTAGACAATATAATCGAAGTGCGCAATCTGACCGTTGCCGACCATGAAAAAACCCCAGGGCCAAGTGCTCTGTATATTGATGACCATAACATGTGGCGTCTCATACCTGCTCTACGGATATGACCAGGGATTCATGTCAGGCGTACTGTATGCTGTCATCACCTACCTCCAGTTATGGTTCTGACTGGTATACAGACTTGCTCAGGATTTCCTTCAAACAATGGACCAGCCGTCAACTTTCATGCAAGGGCTACTGTCCAGTCTTTACACCCTGGGGTGCTTTTTCGGTTGTGTCGGAAGCATATCGTTCAGTGAGAAGATCGGCCGTAAGAACCCTATCTTAATCGGCACAATCCTGATCTCCATCGGCACTGTCATTCAAACAGTTGCATACTCGTCAGCTCAATTTATCGTCGGGCGGATCGTGGCTGGGATGGGAACCGGACTGAACACGTCCGTGATCCCAGTATGGCAGGCCGAGACACTTCCAGCAAAGAAGCGAGAGCGATTCGGAGCCATTCAGTATGTGTTGGTTTGCACAGGTACCACCATCAGCTACTGGATGGCGTATGCTCTGTCCTACTCCGCAAATAGTGCTTTTCAGTGGCGCTTCCTTGTCGCGGCGCAACTCGTGTTTGCGGTGCTGATAATGTGCCTTGGTATATATCTCGTGCATATTCGCAACAATTGTTTTGGTGCCATAGCTGATGGTGTGCAGTTCCATTGATGCCGGAATCCCCTAGATGGCATTTTGTCCACGGGCAGCGAGACAAAGCCCTGTGTACACTAATGAGAATGCATGGGACATCGAATGAACAACAAAGCGAAGTCCAAGCAGAGGTCCATTTGATCCAGCAGGCTATGGAGCTTGAAGCCAGGCATGGAGCGACCAGATGGGTTGATCTATTTAAGAACGAGCCACGCACACAAAATTTCCGACGTCTAATGCTGGGGTGGTGGTAAGTCGCGCTTATCAGTCCTTGCGGGACGTTCCGGCTGATTAGATGTATCATATGCAGGCTGATGTTCATGGTGATGTGGTCTGGCGTCTGCAGTATCGGCTATTACATTTCATACCTCTTCGAAGTCTCCGTCGGTCTCAGCCATAACTTGTCCCTGCTTCTTTCCGGGTTCAACGGTCTCTGGTATCTCTTATCAGCATTCATCCCATTTTTTGTGATCAATCATCTAGGCAAGCGGCGGTGTATGATGATTAGCGCTGCCGGCATGTGCTGCTGTTTCCTGACAATGTCACTAACGATCCGGTCGGGCACGTTTGCAGCCTCGATTGTCTGCATTGTCGCCTTCTTCCTGTACTACACCTTCTTCGCACTGGGATACCTGGCAATACCCTGGTTGTACAACGCGGAGATCATGCCTCTCCACCTGCGATCCCAGGGGACAGCTCTGACAACCTCCTCGAATTGGATCTGGAACTTTGCCACCGTCATGATGACACCCTCGCTGATGAGCCAGCAGGGATGGAAGGGGTATCTAGTATTTACGGTGTTTAACTTCTGCTTTGTGCCGGTGATCTATCTCCTATATCCGGAAACGACTGGCCGGCGGCTCGAGGAGATCGACGCGATATTCTACGGGACTTCGGTCTTGGTGGCCCGAACGGAGTGGGCCGAAAAAGGCCGGTTTGAAGCCAACCCGCTGGGAGGAGTCATCCAGGGGCTAGAACCTTCGCAGAAGGAAACTCAACACCACGTGGAGTACGTCAGCTCATACTCGGAGAATTGTTAGCAAGATTCACCACAGGCGGCTTTGATTACTTTGCAATTGTGCTGGTTTGGGCATCTGTTGCACCTTGTGGACGGTTGTGCATTTTATCTGTTTGGAGCGGACGGAGGGATTACCCAGCTGCAGCGTCATTATGCAGGCGTATACCAATACTCCGTAATGTCCCTTTAACTCCGTGACACACTGTAAAATCCGAAGTAGGCCCCATAACTTGATTGATTGCTAATTCAGGGCAAAGCAAGATCCACTCCATTGGTTGTCAGCGTTTTGTCTTGTTAACGCTCGTTAGACCCACAGTCGGCGAGTCGGGATTTCCAACGCCGACTACTGGAAATAGATAACCAAGACTCACAAGCCTTTCAGACTTTGAGCCCCCCGGGGCAACCGAAAGGAACCAGCCAGTGGGGAGGCACCTGAGTTGTGCCTGACCAGGCAGGACATTTTGCTGGATCCGGTCGGTTCCCCCAAAGCCGAATGCCGATAGGGTCGCGGCGGCTAAGCTCGCGCCCGCAATTTGACATAAAATTTCTTATGCTCCATCTTGCACTGCGGGAGCCAATGATCTGGTATCACTGCCTGTTGCTTCTCGTCTCGGAGGCGACCACTTCCGGATGTATCAAAATCTGTCACCGATTTCGCCGTGGATGTGGAGCTCGTAGGGATTCGACAGGCTCCACTCACCAATTTGAAGAACAAGATATCAAGGGGCGTGGTCGCTGCCTTGCGTAGAGGAAGGTTCTGAAGCATCTACTATTAAATCTTCACTTTAGCTATATAGGCCCGTTGTTGTGGCTAATAATACGCTTTTTACATCTTTTTTATACCCCATAGTTATTCTTTTGCGCTGAAAGGCGTGTAATTTTCTAATCATGGATCCATCCCATCGGGATGGTGCAGATGAGAATGATCTCAGCCTGCAACTCACCAAGACCCAAACTGCCTCCAGTGTGGTCACCAACGAGCAACGTCGTGCCCTCACCAACATCGCTTCCGAATTACACACCGAATCGCTGGCCGCTGTTATCACCAATGAGAAAGCCTTAGATCCAAGCCACCCCCAGTTCGATCCGTATCAATGGGCCAAAGTCACCATCCGGGCCTTGGACGCCGAAGATATTGATGCTCGCCAGCAAGGTATCCTGTTCGAGGATCTGTCGGTCCATGGATCGGGATCTTCGCTTCACCTCCAGCAGACGGTGCTGTCCACCCTCATGAGCCCCTTTAACCTGGCTGCTTCGGCATTTCGCAGCAAGAAAAGCACTCGCCGCACGATCTTACACAGCCATGATGGTCTTCTGGAAAGTGGAGAGCTGTTGCTTGTTCTGGGTAGGCCTGGTAGCGGTTGCTCTACCTTTCTCAAGACCATCAGCGGACACCTTCACGGACTGGATCTGGACCCTCAAAGCAACGTCCAGTACAAGGGCATTGCATTCAACCAGATGATCAAGGAGTACAGGGGTGAAGTCCTGTACAATCAAGAAGTCGACAAGCATTTCCCTCATCTGACCGTTGGCGAGACACTCGAGTTTGCTGCTCACGCACGAGCACCTCACAACCGGATCGGTGGTATGAATCGGGCGGAGTACGTCAAGACGAGGGTCCAGGTGATCATGGCGTTCTTCGGACTCTCGCATACATACAACACCAAAGTAGGCAACGACTTTATCCGTGGTGTCAGTGGCGGTGAACGGAAACGTGTGAGGTAAGTCGTTCTGAACGCTGTCATGGTAATATGGCTTACTGAACTTATGTAGTATTGCCGAGATGGCTCTATCGAGGGCCCCTATCGGTGCCTGGGATAATAGCACACGCGGTCTCGACGCTGCAATGGCCCTCGAATTCGTCCAAGCGCTTCGCCTTTCTTCTGATCTCGTCGGCTCCTGTCATGCTGTTGCCGCATACCAGACATCCGAGTCCATGTATCAGCTGTTCGACCAGGTCGTGGTATTGTATGAAGGTAGACAGATCTATTACGGCCCGCAGCAAGAGGCTGCCCAGTATTTCGAGGAAATGGGCTGGGAGCGACCGCTGAAACAAATCACCCCTGACTTCTTAACATCCATCACCAATCCTCGGGAGAGAATCGCTCGGAAAGACATGGCAGACAAAGTTCCCCGGACACCAGCTGAATTCGAAGCTTACTGGAAGAAGAGCCCACAATACCAAGCTCTCAAGGCCAAGATGCACAGCTATAAGGCGAGATATGCCCCAGGCGTCGAACTAGAGAAGAGATTCGGTGAAAGCAAGCAGGCGCAGCAAGCGAAACACGTTCGTCCGAAGAGTCCTTACCTCCTCTCGATTCCCATGCAGATCCGGATATGCCTCCGACGAGCGTATCAAAGAACACGAAATGACCTTCCCACTACCTTGATTACCGTTTTCGTTCAAATCGCACTCTCGTTGATTATCGGTTCGATCTTCTACAACACTCCCGCCGCGACGGCTGGCTTCTTCCAAAGGGGAGCTACACTCTACTTCTCGGTCCTGATGAACGCTTTGATTACTATTAATGAGATTATGTCACTCTACGCACAACGCCCTGTCGTCGAAAAGCAGGCTGGGTATGCATTCGTGCATCCCTTCGCTGAAGCTCTCGCGTCAATCATCCTCGACTTCCCCATTAAGCTCTTCAGATGTATCTGCTTCAGTATCATCCTTTACTTTATGGCCAACCTACGTCGAGAACCTTCCCAGTTTTTCATCTACATCCTGTTCCTCATTACTACAATTGTCACGATGTCTGGCGTCTTCCGAAGCTTGGGTTCTGCGACCAAGAGCATTGGACAGGCCATGGCCTTGGCAGGAATCTGTGTTATCTGCATGGTTGTGTACACTGGCTTCACCCTTCCTCAACCATACATGCATCCTTGGTTCAGCTGGATTAGATGGATCAACCCTATTTTCTACTCGTTTGAGGGCTTGGTGGCAAATGAATTCCATGGACGGAATTTTGAATGCTCGGAGTTCATTCCCAACTACGCCAGTCTTAGTGGAGACTCGTTCATCTGCTCTGCCGTGGGCGCTGTTGCGGGAGCACGAACTGTCTCGGGAGATCAATTCATTTCTTTGAACTATGAATACTCCTACCATCACATCTGGCGGAACTACGGAATTCTGATTGCCTTCTTGGTGTTCTTCAATGCTATCTACCTCACCATTACCGAGCTTTCTCCCGGAGCGAAGCCCACGGCTGAAGCATTGGTGTTCCGTCCCGGACATGTTCCTGCCAATCTCCAGAACGATGAGGAAACTGGAGCGGAATCTGTGCAAGCTGTGACTGACGGAGCAGGAGAGTCTGATCTCGGGGCTGCTGAAATCCCGGAGCAGAAGGAAATTTTCACTTGGAAAAACCTGTCCTATGATATCCCCGTGAAGGAGGGAACACGGAGGCTTCTCGATGAAGTTAGCGGATTTGTCAAGCCGGGAACTTTGACGGCTCTTATGGTATGTCCCGCTCTCACTACATATGAAGTCTCTTACTAATCGTTTGATTATAGGGTGTTAGTGGAGCTGGTATGGCGGCCTTGATTATGGAATTTCTTGATCAGTAATAGCTAATTGCTTCTAGGTAAAACCACTCTACTGGACGTCTTGGCACAGAGAGCTTCACTTGGAGTCATCACCGGCGAGCTATTCGTCAACGGCAAAGACTTAAACGCAAGTTTCCCTCGCAAAGTGGGCTACGTGCAACAACAAGATATGCATTTGGCACAATCGACAGTCCGTGAAGCACTTCGCTTCAGTGCTGTTCTGCGCCAGCCAAAGACCGTTTCCCTGCAGGAGAAATACGCCTACGTGGAGGAAGTGATCAAGATGCTGGACATGGAAGATTTTGCCGAAGCTGTGGTTGGAAATCCAGGAAATGGTCTGAACGTGTGCCAGAGAAAGCTTCTGAGTATTGGTGTTGAGTTGGCAGCCAAGCCGGAGTTGCTCATCTTCTTGGATGAACCTACCTCTGGTCTGGACTCTCAGAGTGCGTGGGCTATTTGTACCTTCATGAGGAAGCTTGCGCATCACGGACAGGCTGTCTTGGCTACGATTCATCAGCCTAGTGCTCTTCTCTTTGAGCACTTTGATCGACTGCTGTTCCTGGCTAAAGGCGGAAAGACGGTGTACTTTGGCGATATTGGCCAGAAGTCTCAGACGTTGCTGAACTATTTCCAAAGCAACGGCGCCCGTCGTTGCGAAGTCACTGAAAACGTGAGCTCTACTACACCCTTACCCTTGAAATATGCAAACTGACCTTACCAGCCTGCTGAATACATGCTGGACATTATCGGTGCCGGTGCTTCTGGAAAGTCGACCATCGATTGGGTCCAGACCTGGAATGACAGCCCCGAACGCAAGGAACTCCACGCCGAACTGGACCGCATCTGCCAAAAGGGCGCATCGCTCCCGTCTCGCGACGAAACCATCGCCGAGTTTGCCATGCCTCTGACCAGCCAATTCTACTACGTGACACAGCGTGTGTTCCAGCAATATTACCGGCAGCCCGAATACGTCCTGGCCAAATTCGTTCTTGGAATCGTGTCCGGTCTCTTCATCGGCTTTTCTTTCTGGCAGTCTGATAATTCCCAGCAAGGTTTCCAGAATGTGCTTTTCAGCTTGTTCCTGCTGTGTACCATCTTCACCACCCTGGTTAACCAGTAAGTGCCAATCTCACGTTTATAGGAGACTTCAGACTAACTCCATCAGAATCATGCCCCACTTCGTCGCGAACCGCGCCCTCTACGAAGTCCGCGAAAGACCATCAAAGGTCTACTCCTGGAAGATCTTCATCATCGCGCAATTCCTTGCCGAAATCCCATGGCACATCGTCCTCGCCGTCTGCGCCTGGGCATCCTTCTACTTTGCCGTCTTCGGAGCCGATCAGTCCTCCGACCGCATGGGACTGATCCTACTTTTCGTCATCCAGTTCTACATCTTCGCCTCCACTTTCGCCCAGTTCATCATCAGCGCCCTTCCCGACCCAGCACTTGGTGGTATGCTCGCCGTCTTCATGTTCGGTCTCTCCCTGATCTTCAACGGTGTCATGCAGCCCCCATCCGCCCTGCCCGGCTTCTGGATCTTCATGTGGCGTGTCTCCCCGCTGTCGTACTACATTGCCGGTATCTCCAGTACTGCTCTGCATGGTCGTCCAATAGTCTGCTCGGATAGCGAGCTGAGCGTGTTCAATCCTCCGTCTGGTCAGACGTGCGGTGAATATCTTGCTGATTACCTGACTTCTGCTTCGGGTAAATTGTATAATGCTAATGCTACTGAGAGCTGCGAGTATTGCTCACTTCGCTCGGCCGATCAGTATCTGGCCGGTCGGGAGATTAGCTGGGATGATCGCTGGAGAGATTATGGCATTTTTTGGGCTTACATTGTCTTCAATATCTGTGCGGCCATTGTGTTCTATTATCTCTTCCGCGTGAGGCCGTACAACAAGAAGACGAAGGCCAAGAGGGCTTGAGGTGTGAAATGTCAGGTTAATGCGTTGATCTTTGGAAATAGCATATAGATGGGTTAGATAGACTATACTTGCATAGCGTTGATTATTTTCATTGAGGCATCATTCTGGTGCTCTTGAGTGCTTAATAGTGAAATCAGTTTGTGATATGAGATTCAATAGCAGTGGTTGTGAAGTGCATAACTGCCATAATGCCTGTAAATCTAGTAGAGAGTTACCACCCCGCCGTGTCCTATATCACACTCTATGTGAAACCCTCATCGCCCCGGCAATGTGAGTCCCCAAACATAACGATGCGATAGGTTTTCACAAGCAACATAGTCTTCAATCTGATCAAGCCAGATTCAATAATTGCAGTGCACGTTGCTGCTTACAGGTAATACGGCTTGCAGAGTCACCGTTGTTTGATTCACCTATACCTTCCCAACATCTCAACATAATGAGACTCTCTGGCCTCTCTTTCTCCTCTCCTTTCTTCTTCCTTCTATTCAAAAATCAATGGCAATTATCACATATATATCATACTACTGTCTAAACTGTGTTTCGATATATACAGATTTCTAAAGAGAAACATGTCAGCTTCCAAATGACTATAACAACAAGATCCTATCGCATAAGACAAACTCCAGAAGCCAAAGTACCATCACTAAGTGTATGCAGCATCCAGTCTCTACCGTTGTATATCCATCGTCAAGAGATAAAATGCTTATTGAGGCATATAATGAAGAGCTATCGCCGTTCTATAAGATAGCAGAAAGCAACTCTTGCCGTGTTTGGAACACAAACACGTTCATCTTCGGCTGCACTGCTGAACCCGCCCGAATATACTGCAATGGTGCTTCCTGTTCCCAACCACAGGAAAATGATAACCATGCGTACCCTGGATTGGGTCTACTTTCTATATAATGGAAGTCAATACATCTGCACATGAAGTGACGGAAAAAGCTAGAGATCCTGTCTCATGCCAGGTGCTGAGACATGGATAAAGCCACAGTATGGTTTAAGAGAAGGGCTACTCTGAAGTGCGAAGGTAGCCGTACCTTGGTCGACTGCAGTTTGGCTGTTGGTCTTCACCTGCATACGTGTCTTTCCGAATGGAAAGATTCACCAGTTCTGCGAATCACTAAGTGAGTAACCTTATATACGTGGAGAACTTGGGGTGCTTTCCCTTCTAACATCTGAGACTTTCATAGACAAGCGCGCTTTTATCTGCTGTGGAGCATCTATTATATACTGGGAAGCCAAAGAGGATACCAGTCGACATAGACTATTTCACAATTAGATATATCGCCTTTTTCAGAGACGTCATGAATTCGAATTCATGAGATATTTCGAGGATGGACAGCAAACTAGCTATTCCTCTGTTGGTCACACAAGATACCGCGAAATGGGTGCTTTTCAACAATTACAACAGAGGGCACTCAACTATATGGGTAGCATAATGCTGCATAGTGTTGGGTTAAGGACTTGCTCTTTGTCTAGCCCAGGTTCTTATGAAACTTGTTATCGGAATTCCAGCAATAACAACCCTGCACTCCTAGAGTATGTCGAAACGCTTTAGCAACCTGTTCAAGGCCCAGATGAGCTTACAAGCTATATGGGAGGATGATGTCCTCCTTGCAGTCGCACTATCTAACCACTTCATATCTCGAGTCTCAGGAGTGATGATCCATAACATCTCATCAAGGACATTTCCAGCCCAAGAAATGCTGCCGCCGAAGCTCCATCGAATCCATCATCCGATACTATTTCACTTATCTAATCTAGGACGAGTGTTCGCTTAGTACCTATCTTTTCGCAGAGTCGCCGGGAAACTATATCCTTCAGCATGGCAAGTATGTCTTTCAGGCTTGGACACTGAGGATATTGACCATGCGTCGGAGAGGCAGACTGTACCCCCCGCTTTCAATGCTACGTCGCCTAAGAAGGCAGCTTCAGCCCAGCACCGTCGATGCGCTACCTTATCTCAGCTGTGATCCCCAAAGCTGCTAGGAGATGAGTATACAATGATTATACATTAATACCCAGACTACGTGGAAAGATGGGATGTGACCACTGGGATCCACATACCACGTCTGTCACGATGTCTCAACCGTGTCCCGGAATGAGAATAGGATGAGATCGCCAGTACAAGCCAACTACGAGCAAACCAGCCTTCCTCGCTGGTCCTATTGGCACCTTATTCAGTATGGAGTAAAGCATACAAGCAATTGAGTCGACGAGAAACTTATAAGGATCCTAAAGAAGATGATTATTTCAGCAAAGGCTCAATTACAGAATTGGAAAACGCAGAAAATCAACGTAAGCAGAGCCCGGCGCATCTTGAAGCAGATTATTCTGCAGAGCTCGTCCAGATATTCGGAAGCTCAACTGGCGCGACCAAAAAAAGAAGAAGCACTTCAGGCCCGCGTCCTTTCGAACCTGAAAGCACTTGAGGCATTAATTAGCCTTCCAACTTTATAGCAAGAGTCTATGACCGGGGAGGAGGTATACATTTATATTACCATGAGATCGGCTTGGTTTTACTGCATCATGCTTCACTTGCAACTGGAGCAGAAGAAGTTTTACATAAGGATAGAAATGTCCTCGCAGAACAACAGACATAGTAACCTACTCTCTTTTTCTTTGGCTTCACAACTGCTGGTGCTCTCATATAATATCTACCACACCCGTTAAAGGACAGAAACAAGCTTTGCCCGACCTATCAAAAATATGTCGCAACTTCTACTCCCGCAGTCGCACCGGCGATGCATTTGGACCGCGCTCCCAGTACTGATCAATGAGGAGGACTACCGAACGTTGAGGGTCGGCGGTTCTGACTTTATGATGAGACCAGAACAGGTCGTCAGCTGGCCTAACTTTGTGGACGAGATCACTTCTCTTTGAGTTAGATGAGTCCTTATTATCCTCTAATCATGATGATAAGTATATCTGGTGTCTAATTAAATATATCATTGATAGTAAAATATGTACATCCCGGGTTATTAGCGGATACATAATATTGAAACCATCCAAAATCCGTGGAATACACGGAGCATTACGTGATGTTCAAATGGTTTCCCGTGGAATAATTTTGTGGGCACCCATGTCCGACAGGGCCAAAAATTAGTACGACGGTGTCAGACCGTAGCTGGAGAAACTGTTCAGTCAATATCAGAAATATTCTCATATTGACTGAGCTTATACACGTGATTTAATAACATTTCTGATACTGAACCATATCTGCACGTGATAAATAAAATTATTAAAAAAAAAAAAAAAAAAAACTTTAAAATCCCTGATACTTTGAATACCCTAATAATTCTTAAAAAAATCGTTGAACACCCTAGAATGTTGATATAGTAACTGATTTAATTGAGAAAAGCTGGTACGGAGTCAGAAAAACTGAGTCTGATATTGAGTATATTTGCACGTGATATAGCTCATCCGATGTCAGGAATTCTCTGAACCCGACACACTAATTTCTGACCCCGTCGCAACTGGGACCCTCCATCGCAACGGGGACCCCTGATTTTTTACATTAATTGCCTTTGTTTTACCTGCTTCTGAGACCTGAGTTATCATCCTGATCGCATCGGTCTGTACACGACCTTACATGACCTTCCATTTCGGTATTTGTAGCAACCAAGAAATTTTTTGAGAGCAGCTACAGCTTATGTACATAATCTCACCAGACCCGTAATCGTATGACTGTCAATCAGAGTGCCCAATGATACGTTTCTATCTTTCTTATCTTAGCGCCAAAGTCTCCCCGCAGCACACTTGCAACTCGGTACTGGAACTTGCGTGGAGGACCTCAAGCCCTCTAAGTCCATTTAATCTTTTCTCATAGCCGGCTCTTTCATCGTTATTAATCTTGCACAAAATCTGTCTTGCTCAAAATTGCAGTTCAATTTGCACATCGGCTCCATGCCTTCTGCTAGCCCGACACTGTCATTATCTGATCACGATGATGAGAGCCAGGAAGATTCTGTACCTCTAATCGTCATGAACGAGGCACATGAAGAGCTGCAAGATACCAGTCCGCCAGCAGATATCTTCGAAGTACTTGTTCTGGCTAGTGGATTTGGGACGTGAGTTCTTCACTAGGTGAACAATTGCGGTTTGGGGCTAACATGTTATTAGACTACAGCTTGTATTTGCTCTCTTGGCCTCATATGGATCTGTGATACAGCCCTCCACACTACTTACATGTACCGGCTAACAGTAATACTCAGGCACAGCTACTGTCCGTTGGGATCAGCCAAGCGGCAACGGGATTGGCCTGGCTGGCCGGACCGCTTGCGGGGACTTTCTTTCAGCCTTTGATCGGTATAATAAGTGACAAATTTGGTCATCAGAAAATAATCGTCGCTACTGGCGTCATTGGTCTCGTTGCCTCGCTTTTAGGGCTCGGCTGGGCGCCAGATCTGAAAGAGCAAAGCAGTGAAATAGCCAAGGCTTTGGTGTTATTTTTTATCTGCACTCTGAACCTTGCCGTACAGCCAGTTCAGCTCGGTCTACGGGTCCTAATCATAGAACTCTGTCGTCCGGAACAGCAGATCATGGCGTCTGCTTGGGTTACGCGCATGATCGGGATAGGAAATATCATTGCGCAGCTGGCTGGATCGATTGACACGACGAAATTACGGCCGTTCACGACTGGGTACCATTTTAAGGATTTATGTCTGTTGACGTCGATTGGTCTTATTATTACTGCAACCAGTCTGGGACTGTTTGTTAGGGCCGTGACAGATCCCATATCTCCACCTGAGAGACGAAATAATCAGCAAAGCAGGCTCGTAGGGTCGTGGAAGGCCATAAGGACTGTTTTCCCGGGTGCAATGAGCGTTTGGAGGGTTCAGGTATTTTCTTGGATGGGGTGGTTCCAATTTCTCTACTATGCCACTATGTGAGTGATCTCTATTGTCGTCATTTAAAGTGAACTGGTCATTCTAAATAATTAATTGTTTTAGGTACATCGATTCTCTTGGTAAGATTCGAGTGACATAAGTTCGAACGCTGGAGCTTCTGCTGACTCATCTAATAGCTTTAAATGATCTCCTGCAGGATGCAAATATAACAGACGAGGAAGGTCAACGGTCCATCAGAACGGAGTCTTTACAATTCGGGCCCAGAGCAATGCTTCTAAACGCTTGCGTATCGTTCGTTTCAAGCATGCTACTTCCCTGGCTATTCAAATACAATGAGCGGTCAAAAGGAAAGTCCAGCAATCACCTAACGCTATCAAACATCTGGGCGATATCCCAGGCACTGTTCGGAGCAGGCATGATACTCACTTTATGGGTATCGTCAGTTATCGGTGCAACATTCATTATCAGCATTCTTGGCCTCAGCTGGTGCTGCACGGCCTGGATCCCCTTTACATTGATGAGTACGAAAATCTTACAGGAATCGAGGAACGCCTTACGTCCCCACAATCCGGGTTTAATAATGAGTTTGCATAATGTGTCTATTGCAGCACCGCAAATCCTCGCTGCTTTGATTGCAGGGTTGGTTTTTTGGGTTTCTCAGGATGGGGAGAACCAGGCTAGATATGTACTTGCTGTAGGTGGGTTGTTCGGACTGGGTGCTGCGTGGATGGCAAGGGGTTTAACTATTGAAAAGGAGTTGCATTAGTTGTTCTCAGCTGGCTTTCACAAAGCGTTGTATATAATGCCATCCTACTACAAGGGGCAGAGCAGATAGAAGGCCTGTGACATTTAGTTAATGTGTCCTCTGCGTAGTCATGACATTCCTTGTTATATCTGTTGGAATACATGATGTTGTGGAACTACTTGAGGGAGATTAAATGACCCGGATATAGAGTACATGACGGAGTAAGATGATGCCATGACCAAGGCACCCTGTGACCTCGCTCCTAATCATAACAAAGCGCCAACGGGGAGCGTGAGCAAGTTGATCTGTCAAAGCATTCATCCCTAGACTCCAAGCATCAGGCTAGGCTCTCCTCTTCTGAACGCTCTTCCATCCTAGGCCCCAACTAAATACAAAAGCCGCCCCCGCAGTCCCAGCAACCATATAGAAAACGTGCTGAATAGCATCATTATAAGCTATAACCACACCATTCAAACTAGAATGCGGGATCACCGATCGCATTCCAGATACACCAGCCGACGTGACTTCCGAAACAGAAACGTCTGGTGCGTAGATGGGTAGAAGGTTTGCAAGACCGGTGTTGAAGACTGTGCTAGCGAAGGAAAGCCACAATGCTCCACCGAAGTTCTGGCAGAAATAGAGAAAGGCCATGCTGACGGCGATTTTGGAGGGAGGCACATTGTTTTGGACTGCTATGAGGGGCTGGTTGGTTTAGTTGTGTTAGTAATCCTGGTCAAATAACTGGCCTTGCTACAGAGTAATCATACCATTTGAAGAGCACAACCTCGTCCCACACCGGCGATTATTTGATACCCGATCCATTTACCCATGCTTGTATGGGGAGTAAATAAACTCATCAATCCAGATCCGATTGCGGCTAAGACTGTTCCCGTAACTGCCGAGGGCAGGTAATAGCCAAGCCGGGTGACTTTGAACGCATTAGCGATCCACTCATAAGGTAGAACAGAATGGCGATACATACCCGCTAAGCCAGATAGAAAGCCAGAGATCATTTGAGCAATGACACCCGGTAGCATATACAGGCCACTATACATCGGTGGTTCGCCTCGCACTCCTTGGAAGTATATAGCCAGGTAGTAAGAACAGATCAGGCTATTCGCATAGAGGAAGAACATGGTCAATGCAGAAGAACAGACAACCCGTTGTTTGATCATTTTCAAGGGAATCATCGCCGCGTCGCCTTTTCTATATTCCCAAATTAACAAAAATACCAGATTGCCGGCAGATCCACAGAAGAGGCCGATAACCATGGCAGTATTCCAAGGGTAAGTTGTTCCGCCCCATTCGAGAGCAAGAAGAAACATAACGAGGGTCGGAGAGAGGAGGAGAAAACCCATGATGTCAAGCTCAGAAAAGAGAGAGGCGAATTCGATTTCTAATCGCTGCTCTGGTCTGTTAAGGCCGTGCTCGGGAACTGATATAAGAAGGAGAAAAAGCACTGCCAGCCCGCCGATGGGGAGATTGATGTAGAAGCCTAGTTTGATACTTAGTAATTGAGGGCACTGTTGTCGGGGGTTCGAGTATCACGCACACCATCTCCAGGTCGCATATTCCGTCAATGCACCTCCAATCAATGGTGAGGCCACAACGCCTATTTGACCACCTGTGAGGGTTAGAATCGAAGGGAACGAGGAACTGTAGTAGAACATACATGATCCCACAATGCCAAAGTAAACTGCATTTCAGGGCTGTCAGTAAGACTTTATTATGATTCAGGACAAGAACGTAAGCCGGAAAGTAACGTACGAGCTCTCTTTTCAAGAGGTATAGAGGCGGACAATATTGTGAGTGCACCGTTCGACACGCCAGAACTCCCCATCCCAGCGATGGCCCTTCCTACTATAAACATATTGGAAGACGTTGAAACACCGCATACTAATGAACCAAGCTCGAAAAGGGCGATGAAGGCGATATATGTATACTATGATATAGTTGGCTTCATAAAGTAGTGGGCAGGCTTATAGCAACTAACTTTGACATTGAACCGAGAATATAACTTGCCTGACATAGGCTGGAGAGTACAGCTTGGAGAGAGTGAGTCTTAATGAAGGAGACGTAGGAGGATAATTGACTTACCTTGTTAATAAATACGCACTCCCGTACCAACCAACCCCCGTAGTAGAGTGAAAGTCACTCGTGATTTTAGGGATTGCCTTTTTTGTTAGGCGTGAGTTTATATGACATACTTGGGTGACACAGCCAGAGGTAATCCACTCACCGTAGCGATTATGGACATATCAAGCATGACAAGCAAAGCGATTGCAATAACCGCAAGTATAACCAAGGCCAAATTAACTCCGGAGAGATATTCGAGTTCGACTTCATCTTCATTACGCACAGCAGGATTACCCTGACTGCTGTTGTCGTTGGGTTGTGAGCTTCTCGCTTCCCTCGAGACATTCGTCTCCCTGATCGAATCGGACCTAGAATTCATTTCGCCTGATTCCTTTTATTAGGGTCTGAAATCTCAACATCCCTAGTCGGAGCACCCGGAGAAGACCCATATGAAGAGGAGTGTCTGGATTGAAGAATGGGTGGGGGACTGGGGGTTTAACTGTTTTGACTGGAGCCTAGAACGGAAAGTGGAGAAAGCTAATTGGTGGCATGGGTATAGATAAGCGGTCATTGAAATGCCATAAAGTTGTTGGCTGGAATCGGATTATTATACTTTTATGGGCTCAACCAACTTATTAAAATCGGCCTATTGTCAACTGATATCGTAAGGCAAACATTTTTTGGATCACCTGCACTGCTAAAGCGACTACACGGCTATTCTAAAGATGAAAGATATCGTCAAGTCAATCAACTCTTTAAAAACTGTACTCTACCTTTCTACCTTTTTGCGTTTTATGGGGGTATTTAGGGTGTACCAGGGTTACTAGGAGCTTTTATTAGGAATTTTTATAAGGGGGTTAATCATGGGATGTATGTATTTTGAACTCATCGTGGTCAAGAATAGTTTTGAAGTTGGTTGACTTGACGATATCTTTCCTCTTTAGGCTAGCCGTGTAGTTCCTTATAGCAATACAGGTAAGTAGTCCAAAAAGAAATTGCCTATCATGAATACTTTCTGGCTTTGACCTTTCGGATCACATGCTTCCCTGATAGTCTCGCACCTTTCAGGCCGAGTCCAGAAAAACCTTTTTAACCTTGGTAGTCTTAGTCCCTGATTTATTGGGTCGCATTAATTAATCATACTTAATCTTAACAAGTTGGTTGAATCGCGTTTTAGCTACACGCCGGCGACTTATGTGGTGGTATGGTGGGTGACCACATCCACGCCGTTGGTTCAGCGTCATTGCTGCCCTGAACCCCTCTATTCTTCACCTAAATACTCTATACGCCTCTGAACCGTTGACATGTCCTCTGTGCTAAACCTGTCGTCTCTCTGTGAATACTCTGATGTCCTTGACAGCGTAAGAGGCCGTAACTAAGCGGACTCTCGGAGAGAGCTTCGACCCTGGAGGATCAAGTGAGCAGCAACTTCCGGTCACGTTACATGGCAGCGCCGTTAGTCCTCCACATCATCTTAGAATCCACTTCCTTCTTCCCTTGTTTTTTTTTTTTCAGGATTGAAGTTGAGCGGCGACACACTCTGAGGCTGTAGAGGCAATGGAGAGCATAATTCTAAGCCTGCGCGTGTCACAATCGCACGGGCATCGTGAGTGGTGGGGCTCAACGCTTTCGCGGCACGCAAAATGATCTGGTCGCGCCCGATCGGGCCGACCCGACTTGGTCCCGTCAAATCTGGCCTCGGCATTCGGCCGCTTCTTCTGTCGCATGCCGTGGCAATAAGTCCGCGACCCTGTTGCTGTTCACCTAATGAATATTTCTTAAAAATTCAAGTTCCGGCACTCCCGATCAGCTGGCTCCTTGAGAAAGATTAGGATGGACATCCCTCCCGCTTTCAGGGGTGTGATTACCTCATCTTTCGGACCAGGGAAAGCGATGAGTACAAGGCCTACGAGGCTATACATAGGAATCATCTCTTTATCATGGACAGAGAGAAGTAAAGCACGCCTTTTGGCTTTGGCACATGGGGAAGCTGAGAACATTCCTGTTATGCCAGATGAAATGGCATGATTCGGCTGAGCCTATATAACTTCTGTCTCTTCAATCCTGCGAATGCCGTTCCTTTGTCGACTCAAGCCAGGAACAAGAATATAGGATACAAAGAGCAAAGCAGTTCGGCTATGTCGCCTCCGGGTATTGCTCTGGGTTAAAGAGCTACTTGTAATATACCCGAAACTTAGCCCCTGATGGGAAGGATTTTCCCAGGGCAAATATATATCTCTGGCTACTAGGCTGCACCACGACTGTGCGAATCGAGAGCGTGGAAGGTGTGCCTTCATGGGATGCTTCCTTTCAATTTCTACAGTACTTTATGATATCAGAATACCTGGGATCGTGAATGAAGACACCGATGGCAGGCTGTCTACTGATGTCTTATCTCGTGCAGAGAAGCGGGTCCTGATGTGTTTGACAGCAGGGGAGGGGGGTATTGACAGACACCACACGAGCTGGGGTTGTCCACCAATTTCTACGGTGGCGGCTAGGACGCACATGTTGACGCACCCAGTCCTGGACAAGGTCTATTTTAGCAAGGAAAAAGGGAAACCGATCCGGGAGAAAAGGCTCATAGGTGAAGATGGTTCATGTATCCTCGCGAAGCGGTATGCACTTGTGATTCCACGACTCTAGTATCCCCTAAGCGTCGGACTTTGTCCAATTACAACAAAAGTATAATCAAGCATGATCTATATGAATGGAAAGAACGGAACGTAATCGTTATTTCATCTTGGTGGTCATAATGGTCTTGGAGCTTGATAATGACAGCTGTGTACCATGTTATATAATCAATTCACGGGAGCAGTGTCAATTTCATAGCTCATGGTAGACTCAAAGCTCGTAAACTATCTTGTACGCTGAGATCTGCCCATCTCTGTACTCTTGAAATCCGTCCGCCACCGCATCTAATCCTTTGAGTAATTTCGGCGTATTTGGTTTCAAGCTGCCTTCCTCCAACCATCCGGGTAGCTTTTCGAACAACTCGCTGGTGAGCTCGTGGTCATCCTTCGAGGCCTAGACGTTCACAAAAATTATCAGTGAGGTTTGTTCCACAAGGATATCATCGGTGTGGGAAATATCATATGATGGTGGGGATACGCACAGGCCACTTAAACTCTCCATAGCTGTGATCTTTGAGGAAAGCAGTCCAAACCAACACATCCGTGACGCGCGTGCCCGGGACAACATTCTTCGTATTAGCCTTTCCAGGACGCACAGTGCAGAGATTCCCAAGCCCGGGATGAAGTGCGCGTGAAGCAGTAGCAGACGAAGTCGCGTTGCCGATAGTGTCGAAGACATGGCGTAGACCCGGCGCCAGTCCCCGGATCTGTTCAGCAACATCCTTGTCTTTGTAGTCAAAGGCATACTTGGCGCCAGAGGCGCATACCAGGTTGAAGTGCTTTGGGCTGCATGTCGTCACTACTTCGAAGCCGCAGAGAGAGGCGAGTTGGATGGTGTATAAGCCGACGCTTGCTGTGATCGGTCAGTATAGTAATCTGGCTTATCGGATTGATAGTGAGTTCTTACAGCTACCACCCCACACCAGAACTCTAGTCCCCTTAGCCTGGTTGCGGTTGAGCGCAAGGCAGCCTTTGGAAAATAGAGCTAGCCAGGCTGTAGCTGCGGCGAGAGGAATAGTGCTGGCTTCTGCGCGCGAGATGTCGATGTTGGTTGGTAGTTTGAATGAGATTCGCTCGTCTGCTAGGCAGTACTGGCTGTATGCGCCGAGGCCTTTCACCTCTCCTAGATATTGAGGGATTTTCAGTCTGTGGTGTCAAGTACTGTGTGAGTGAATACAATGACGACTTACCTCCCCAGACCAAGCCAGCAACGATATCACCTTTGGATAGACGCGCAACATCGCTACCTAGCTCAATAACCTCACCGACAAAGTCGCATCCCAGAACAGCTCCATCACCAAAGGCGTTACTGTCGAAGGATTGCACTATAGCGTGTAAGCGGGGCTGGTTGCAGGGCAGGTAGGACGCGATTAGGCGCTAAACTTACCATCGGTCGGGTTTTGTGCGGCATGCGACAACTTTACCAGCACTTGATTCGAGGCTGGAGAGGGTCGGGGGATCTCTTCTTTGGACAGCTTTGGGTGTTGGCCATCTGTCACGCGGACGACCAGCGCTGTCATGTTTGGCGGGGTTCCCATCGTGGTAAGGATTGGTCGGGATTCTTTGCAAGTTCGAGTGTTAACCGATGGTAGAGTTCTTGTCATACAACTGTAAGGGCGCTATAATACAGTACTTTCGGACAACAGCTATTTGGAGGTATTTATAGAGGAACTTATAGAGGAGAACGAGATACTTGGTGAATGGACTGACAGGCAACGTGATTGATAAGCGCGCTAAAAGTGAAGCACATGCGGGGAACGGGGATCCCCGCCTCATGAGTTCCCGCCTGCCATTTCCCGATATACATTCCCGAATATTCGCAGCTTCCCTGGGGATATTGCAGCTGCTCAATCTCAAATAATATATGCGTCATGTATACTGCAATACTCAATCCTTTCATTGCATCAACGGCCGCAGGTAACCCAAGACACATTCCTGCACTCCCAACGAGTTGTGCGCCACTCCATCCACCACGTCCAGCCGAGCCTCAATGCCATCTGCCTGCCAACTGCTCTGCAATTGCTGGAGCGTCTGCGATCGTCCCTGATCCATCATCACCACCTCTCGCTTTCCCGTATTCACCGTCCCGCTGTCCTGCCCAGAAGTCTTTTCCGCAGCCATCCGTTGCGCCATCATTTTCTTTGCCCACTCCCAGAACTCCCGCCCCCCATGGACCTTCACATCTTCACTTCCAATGACTAGCTGGATTTGCACCTTTCTGACAAGTTCCTTGTTCACTCCCTTGCCGAATATCTCCTGAACATTAGCTATCCCGCTCGGCCAGGCCAGTTGCTCATCAAGCATCGTAACCTTTCCCGGCGCACCGACACTCACGGCTGCTAATCGCTCCGGGTGCACGTAGAGAAACCGATGCGCAAATTGCCCTCCCCCGGAAAACCCCGCCAAGAAAACCTTCTCGGTGTCGATTCCAGGCCAGACTGTAGATACTTCATCTAGAATTGCCAGAAGCGCACGATCAGAGCGCAATGTCGCTGAGCGCAGCACCTTGTATGAGTCGAGATCATTGGGTCCGTCGATGTTGGCGGGGAAAAGTGGCGCAAGGATAGCACAGGGCGTGGATTCGGCAAAGGAAACCAGCTCGGTTCGCATCGAAATATTGCGGCTGGTGCCATGGATGTTCACCAGCAGTGGAAGCTTGGCTTTTTCGTAAGGGCTTGGTTTGGGAGAGGCGCGGCTGGGGTCCGGATTGTAATGGGTGGGAGGAATGTACAGGGTGTAAGACACGCGCGGTTCAGCTGCCAAAGTACGCTGGGGGATATGTCCGACGAGAAACGCGGATTTGAGAAATTGGGGCGGTACTTCCGCGGTGGTGAGAGGCACATTCATGGTCGCGTTGTTCAGTTGTAAATCTTCACTCTAGTTAATCGTCGTCGAAACGGGTGCATGCGATACACGTACTATATAATCAGACGGTCGGAAAGTACGGGATGCCGATATGCCGATGGTAATTGTTGAGCCGTAAGCGCTAAAGTCAGAGCTTATTCTCCAAGATTTCGATACAGCGGTCGGATATAACCAAGGCGTACGATGGATAGGATCTTTTAGCCAGTTGCAACCAGTAACAAAGTTATAGTCACGGCGTTCAACGTTGGGAGTCTATCCCGGGCCGTAAGCCGCATGCCCGATCTTGAGTGGTTGCGGGGACATGCGGAGAGCGAGTGGATCCCACAGAAATTGCTCCACGCAAAAGTGTTGAGAACATTCCTTTGTGGCTGAAGTTGACATATCATTCGGTAAACGAGTCTGTAGGATGGATATCGGAATCAGGAAAATTATGGCGGAAGCTGTTGCTCAGATCTCAGCATTCCGACTACCTGCTCTTTCCATACGCTGAAGTTTTATATCGTCCCTAAAGTCGCTAACAGTACCGTCCAAGGGTCAGCATGTGCTTGGGAGAATTAAAGAAGAGCCTAACATGGCACTAGTACTCTGAAAAAAGGCTTAGGTATCTCGACTGCATCATGAATTTATCACGGTGTTTGTGCTCCAAGGGGAGGGTTGTGAGTGCTTTCATATCTTTCATATCCTGTAATACAGATAGTATCAACAAGCTTGGTCACAGGATTTTCAGCCGGACAGTCTGTGGACCCTCGTATAATCGCCTCATTTTCTATGATTAGGTAGTGTAATCGTTAATTTCATCGGTTTGTCAGAGCTTATATACCAGCGATCACGAGACGCAAAGTGGAAAAGGCTTTTGGGAACCGTAGAAGATGTTGATGGAAGTTGGTTGATGGTGAATCACCTGATCAGCAGCTGACTGAGTCACGAGGGCGACGATGACTTGACTCTCTTTCCTCCACCCTTCATCTTAACTGTCTACACCTGCCGAGTCAATGACAGTTCATCGTTCAATGCCACAAATCGATGCTTCATACACCACCGCCGTCCTCAGTGTGAACCGGCTTCAATGACTGGAGTGCGATGACTCGAATAATTGGGCTATCTCGAGGGGTGTCCTTTGGTCTACCAAGTCGCTTGTGAGAGACCGATTCCCTAGCAACAAGCCGTATTAATTAGACCGGGGTGAGTCTCCTGCTCAGAGAACCAAGCAATGACTGATGAAAAGCGTATGCACTTTGAATTAGTTGCAGCCTAAATCGTGAGAGGATGCTGTGCTAGCGGGAGACGCGCAGCCGTCCTCATGGCTCCCCGCAACTTATGGAGTGCACCGGAGGAAGATACTACTTTTCGGCTAGCGGTTTTCCTGCTTCTCTCAAGACTGCGTATACTTCATCTCCTATGTTGCCCCTTAAATTGGGAACCTTGAATGGAAAGACAAAGCACATTATAGCGCCATTAACAGCTAGCAGGAGCTTACGATCTATTAAAGGAAGCAGAATACGTGCTACTCAGTCTTTCGGCGCTGCCTATGACAGACCAAATTAGCGTGGGTAGAGCATGTCTTGGATTATTTTGGGATTCCACGGTTAGCGATTCCTTGTGAGACATGAGAATTGGACCGATTTCATGGCTGAGACAAGCTTTAGCCAAGCTTTAGGACGGCTGTCGGCATCGCATCCGGATTTTTAGCTTTGACGAATTATGAATCATGAAACACTGACAGGGGGTGACGAAGAGTCAAAGACGAGGACATATTGGGCAATGGTATGCTTAGTTACACCCAATGAGATCTTTGGCCCACTATGGTGAATGACTGCTTAATTACATTATCCGGCTGCATATTCTGCCAGGGTCATCTCGCTAACGGCGAGACCAGGTTCGGGTAGGAACTTTAGAACACCAGAAAGCCAGGCACATCTTCTGAACAGCTGATCACCGGGTGAGACATGGATAAATACTGGAGAGTCTTCGCCAATGAAGGTCGACAACCAGACCCACCGTGGAAAAATTTAACCCGTTCGGAATAGCGGCTGTTTTCGGCAGTAAATATTTCCCCAGGAAGCGCGCAACTCCTCAATTTCGGCGCCCCGTTGATCTACGCAGGACCGAGACGAACAATCTGCCAAATGACACGGCGCAGCAGCTTTATGCTATATCTGTCCATCTGCTACGCCGCCGTTCATAATTTAATACCGATCACCGCTTTCTGATAACAAATGTCGGAGGACGCGCAATGCCCCTGAGGTAGCGCTGGTTAGTCTGTACTAGCGGAAGCACTAGCAAAGCTTGACCCAACAATGGCGCACGAGAATCCTGCTGCCTAGCTCGGATTGGTCGCCCTCAACAGGCGTGAAACAATATTCCCGGCAAGAAGACCTGCCATTCGTGCAGATTCGATCCAATTACTCTGACGTACGATCACCGGGGAAGACCATAATGAAGTGCAGATTGTCCCTGCGTAGCGGATATGGAGGGTTACAGCTCGCTTATCATGATTCATGAATCCACCCGGTGACCTGACCCAGATATGACCCGTTCCAACCATGGCATCGCCGAGTGCCATAAACATGTTATCTTCAGCGGGCCTCTCCAAGACATTTAGTGTGCCCATGTGGTGATTCCACTCGTCATTGCCACTGTTCACCAATACTTTTTGGGTTAGCTGGTCCCCCCATTTCTTGAATTTGCTATGCGATTATCCAATTTCCATACGGAGATGCATAAGCGATATCTCCGGTCTTTCGGTCTGCAATCGTTTGGCTGTCGCCTTGTCCCACACATTCCCCTTTTTGACCCTACCGGTCGCTTCGGGGAATCAATGGGATGCGGGATTTTTCCCTCGATATAATGCTGAACCTGTCGTCCCTTTGCTACTGAAACTGCGCTGTTGTTTCATCTTTCTACTGTAACCAGCCCATTCTCCAGGCAGTCCTCTTTGGCTGTCCTCTGCCACACCCCTCGGCTGCGGCATAACATTCTCGTTCGGACCCAACATGCGCCACATTCCGGCATGGTTCGTGGCCTGTCTGGCTGCGGCCACCGCCTCGGCCTCTGCCCCGACTTGCAGCACCGACAGCAAGTGTCCGGAAGAGTATCCGTGCTGCTACAGTAAGCACAACATGCCTCGTAATTCGCACATGTTCTGACATATCATCTTCAAGGCGGACAATGTGGTGTAGGAACCTACTGCCTGGGAGGTTGCAACCCTCTTGAATCGTACTCGCTCGACAGCTGCACGCCCGAGCCAATTTGCAAGAATCAGACCTACACGTTTACGAACATGGACAATGCGGTCCTGTACGACCACTACCTTGGTAACGCCTCCGAATACGATTGGGTGTACAGCGGCTACCCCAAGATCAAGAATGAGAGTCTGTGGTTGACGATGCCCAACGGCACGACGGGCAGTCTGTACTCCCTCAATCATTACATCTGGTACGGCAAGATCTCGGCCAAGATCAAGAGCAGCCGGACGCAGGGTGTTGTGACGGGTTTCATTCTGATGTCGGATGATTTTGATGAGATCGACCTTGAATGGGTTGGATACAATCTTTCGAGCGCGCAGACAAACTTTTACTTCCAGGGCGTGGAGAACTGTATGTTCCGCAGATCAGTCTTATGCACCTAAACTAACAATTCTAGATACCAATGAGGTCAATGCCGCCGTGTCTACCGGCAACACCTTTGACGAATGGCATACCTACACGATCGACTGGAAGCCCGATGTGCTGGAGTGGCTCATCGATGGCACTGTGATGCGCACCCTGACCAAGAACTCTACCTACAACGCCACCTCGGGTATCTACCAATACCCGCAGACTCCATCCCGGCTGGAGATGTCTATCTGGCCCGGTGGCTCGGAGGCCGAGGGACAGGGTACCATTGAATGGGCCGGCGGTCTCATCGACTGGGACAGCACGGATATCAAGGAGTACGGCTACTTCTATGCGCAATACAAGGACATCACGGTCGAGTGCTACCCTGCCCCGTCTGGCACCATCGACAAAGGTGACACATCCTACGTGTACACGAGCGACAGCGGTCTCTCGGACACCATTGAACTTTCCGGCAACAGCACCGTGCTTTACAACCTGCAGGATACTGGCTTGAACATGACGGCTGGCACCAAGATGTCTGATTCTGCCACGGCCTCGGGATCCAGCTCTGGAGCCAGTAGCACCGGCGGCAGCAGCAGCAGCAGCAAGAAGGAGAGTGCGGCATCCGGCTATGGTGAGCGCGTGATGGAGGGATCGGTGCTTGCGGCCGTTGGTGCCGTTGTTGCACTGGGTCTGTTTTAGATAGGGGGGCTACACGGTTTCTAGTGGGAACGTGGCATGCGAGATGCTTGATGTGGTATATATTCTCTTCGGATCAATATTTCAAACATGTATTACCAAGTGTACTTAATCATAATACTTACAGACTACAGAGTGTAGATGTACATAAAACACTCACACTTGAACATAGGATTGCAACTGCATTTACTCTACCAAGACTCGAATTCTCGAGACACTAGCAACCTACTACACCATATTTACTAAAACAGGCACCGTCACACCCCGCCTTTCCCCACAACACAGGAAGATAAAAGTTTCTACAATTCAGCAGGCACCCCCGTACAAGCAAGACACAAGTTCCGCACCAGCCCAATCCCCAAAATAGCTCACAGCAACATCCTCCAACTCGACCTATCACCACTCTCCATCCACGCGTCTTCTAGCCCACAAAACCACTCACGCATCCCCATCCTCATCCTCATGCCCATCACCATCACTACAATCACACTCAGCACAACAACAACACCACCAACCCACATCCACAACCTCCCCTTACTCATCCTTATATCTCCCCCCTTCATCCTCCTCACCCACTCCTCCACCACCCCAACAACAACCCCACTTCCCCCAAGCACAACCGGCACTCCACTCCCCGGATGCGTACTAGCCCCGACAAAAAACAACCCCCCGATACTCTCATGTTGAATCCTCGGCCTAAAGCACAACACATTGAAAAATGAATGCGAAAGACCTAATATCGCCCCGCGATCCAAATTGTATTTCTTTTTCCAGGTGAATGGGGTCTCGATCCTCTCGCACACGATGTGTGATTCGATGGAGTTGCCTGTGCGGTCATGGATAGTGCTGGGGATGAGGGAGCGGATGGTTTGGGTTGTTTCGTGCCAGTAGGCGGTTGTATTGTGGGGGTTTAGGGCGGATGTTGGTGATGAGGAGGAGGACGAGGAGGAAGGTGATGGGGGTAAGAGGTGAGGGACTGGGACTAGGACTACTATTGCATCTGTGTTTGGGGGTGAGGCTGAGGGGTCAATTCTGCTTGGGATGTGCAGGTAGAATGAGGGATGGTCTGGGATTTGGTGTTTCTTGAAGATGGTGTCGAAGCTGGATTTGTATGTTGTTGAATCTGGGAGGAATATGTTGTGGGATTGGAGGTTGGGGAGGGTGGTGTCTAGTCCCCAGTAGAAGGAGATGCTGCTGCAGGAGGTAGGTTTGTTTTGTAGGGATTTGCTGTAGGTGGTTTTGGAGAGGAGGAGGTTGTTGTATGCGTAGGTTATGTCGGCGTTGACGATCACTATATCTGCTGAGAGGGTTTCTCCGGTGGAGAGTCGCACGCCCGTTATGTGTTGATGGTCGTCGCTGAGCTCGATGGAGGTTACGGGGGTGTTGAGGATGTAGGTGGTGCCGTGGCGGATGCTGATTTTGACGAGGGCGTCGAGGATCTATGTATTTCAGATACAATCATGGATAGTATGAAAAGGGGGGAGAGGGAACGGATGTACGTACAGTTCTGAATCCACCGATAGGATACCATATCCCATCTGTCATCTCGGTATACTGTAGTAGAGAGTATGTCGCTGGAGCATCAAACGGGCTCATGCCAAGGTACATACTGGCGAATGTAAATGCCTGGCGGAGTTTGTCGGAGTGGAAGTACCGACTCGCACGGGTGTATATGCTTTCGAAGACGTGGAGTCTGGGTAAGGCCAAGAGGAGGTCCCATCGGAGTAGACTCCAAATGGTTGCGAAGTTACGGTGCAGAATATGTTCGCAAGATAAGTTGTAGTGTCGGCCGGATTCGACCAGGAAACGCAGAAACCCCTCAAATCCATACGGCCCTTCGTGAGCTTCTATTTGCTCTTTCATCGACGGAATATCAGTGGATAAGTCGAGGTGGTCGTGATCCGGGAACCAGATGCGGTAGCTGAGGTCGCATTTGCGGAGGGTGATGCCTTCGGCGGAGATGGAGGTGTCCAGGTCGTGGAATATCTGGTGGAAGAAGGACGGCATAAGGAGGAGGGAGGGGCCTTGGTCGAAGCGCTGATGCGGTTAGTATTGTACTGAGATATATAGATGGACACACGTAGTCATTCTCCTGCATTAGGGAACATCGCCCTCCGATGTCTGCATTCTTCTCGACCACTGTTACTTTGTAACCTTTTTTGGCGAGGCGAGCTGCGACAGCAATGCCGCCAGCGCCGCCACCTGTTGAAGGATGAGTTAAAAAGGAGTATTTCAGTAGGGGATGCGCTTCGTACCAACTATTATGGCTGTGGGAGGCTCCATTCAGGTAAAGAGCAGGTGGTTTTGGGAGTGAATGAAATTGTCTAAATTCCTGTTCATCTTCGGCCTGCATCAAAGGCTGCGAGTTGTTATCATGCAGTGAGCAATGTGCGAAATATGGCTGAGCCATATTAGTGTCTTAAACTTTATACTTCCCTCAGAAGTCTGATATTCACTACAACCAAGGAAGTGGGGAGAGCAGACACAGAGACAGCATCCATGGTTCAGGTTGAGCACCAACCGGAAAATATAAATCCAAAACAACATAAAGACACCTAGACTGCATGACAACCGAACTGACTTTCGGTCAATCCGGGAATAACGTACAGGAACAAGCTAATTGACTCCCAGCTCTTCCGCTTCCCAATCATATGCTACTTTCAGTCGCTCGCTCATGTCCAGCGGCTGGTCCAACCTCTCTGACAATATGTCCACTACAGCGGGTACATCCACCTCCATATTATGCTCATCATCCACCGGATCTAACATCAAAACCGCATATGGTTGATCCCGCATTCTTGCGGCCTCATAGAAAGCAAAGTCCGGCCTGGAGGTTGGCATAAATTCAATCAACAGCGTATCCTCTGCAGTCCAGAAATGGTTATGCAAAGCACTTCCGTGAGGACCAATGACAGCTTTCACGTTCTGATGAACGTAGCGCATCAGCGCGTCTGTGCTGGGAAAGTCTTCGTGGTTGAAGATCTTGAGTTGCTCCCTTTTCCCTCTCTTATCGAGAAGTGCTTGGATATCTGCCAGGAGAATATCCTCGTTAAGAACTTCTCGGCCAGCGTTGAGATTTAGTCCGTTCGACCGCGTCATGTATAGAATTAGTTTCCGAGTTGACTTATCCACTGGCTGAAGACTTTCAGGACTGAGGAGCGAAAGGGACCTCTGTGTCAACCAGGGGTGAATGAGCGGTGCACGACAGCTCCAGATTAGCTGCGATGCTACGAAACTCGTATCGCTATGTAGCACCTGGTTTGCGGCATATCCAAGGTATGACCAAAACTCCTCGACGGACTTGTGGCCCTCGCGCCCGGTAGCTACGTACCGCGTCTGATGGTCTCGCGACTGAGCCACTACTCGCATGCCGCGGTCGAGGAAGTGCTGCATTGACCATGAGTCTGGGAAATTCGCAAGCAGCACGCTGTCATGGGTGGGCTTGTCGCTGCTAGGTACAACATGAGAAGTTGTAGCGAGGCCGGACATGCAGGATTGCATGATCCATTTGTCGAAGGGTGTAGATGCAGATAAGGTGACATTTTGGAAGACCTAAAAGATCAGTCTCTGTCTCTTGTATAATGAGCAGACACTTACATATATCTGACCGTGCTTTTCAGGATACCGCATTCGACCTTTCATCTCATAAGCTCGTTCCCACATCATCCAGGTTGTGTTCCACCACCGTTCAGCATCCTGGGGACGGGACGCAGCGAATATCGGAGGGCTGATAGTAAATGCAGGGTAGATCAGCTCCTCAGCGGACACTGCATTGGGTAATGTTCGAGCAAGGCACGGTGCGTAGTATCCGGGAGTTGTGCCAGTGCATTCGGTAAGTCTGAGGGGATGAAACCGGTCGCCTGTGGAAAGGGAAGGCGATACATGATTTTCTGGATTTAATCCAGGCGTGGAAACTCGAACGGTGTGGTCTCCGATGTGTTTGGTTTTGAAGATGATGAACAGGAGCGAAAGAGACAGTGTAAGCGATAATAGGATACGCCGCATTGTTGCATGAGCTATTGAAGGTCCCAGTATACCCTCAATATTTGTCAGGTATATTGCTTAAAGAACAGTAGGCAGCGACTCCATAATCGGCTCTTTTCCGTTCATACCAATTTTTGACAGCGCATCGCTTCTGTATGCTGAGCCCCAGTGATGATGAACAGCCACTCTTGGCGTCATCCGTAGTTCCCAGCCAGGCAGTCGTACTGATCGCTTCACCTTCCACGAACACTTTGGTTTTCCCTCACGCCGCACTGCCCCTGTGCATGGTCCTCCGCCGAGACCTTCCTGTCAGCTTACAGTTTGGCACGCCTGATGAGCGGCTCCTTCCTCGTACCTGGATTCTGGGATCTCGGAGTTGGTTACGAGGTTGAGCTGAGAGCAACGATAATAATATGCATTATTCCGCAGTGCTAAGCACGGTAATAGTTTTGAGAGCCAATCAAAATATACTGGAAATAGAGTAGGAGGCTATGTGCTCAAGAGGGGCAATGCGCTTGTGCTGACAGGCTGGCCAATTAGGACCGTTGTCTAATGGTAATGCACCGGGAGGGCTGACATGAAATAGTGCAGATCCACTGAATTGGGTGATGATCTTCTTCATGGCGCGGGGGAATGCCGGTAACGCCAGCCCACGTAAGATCTACTGCTCGTGTTCGATGTTATCCCCTCTGCCGACAGTCTTCGAAGTAATTCTACATGATTCAATATCCGCAAAAAAAAATACGTTCTAGTGTATCTGTAGACCCACTTTGTGATCACCTGCTAGCGCGGCTGACGAGGTTTTCCATCTGATACGCCCAAACAACCGATTTTCGGTCCACAGTCTTGGACATATACATGGACGCCAGGATCAACAACGGGAACATAACAACCGCTGCTGCAGTCCACGCCAGGAAGAGTACATGCCAGGCGGACTCATCCTGCTGCGTCTGCCAGAAATCCGTCCCCCACAGATGATAACAGACAGCCTGCAGGATGCGATTGCGCATGACCATGATGAACAACGGATGAAACAGATATAGTGAGAAAGAGATCGTCCCGAGGAACTGCACGAGACGAGTCTCTAGCGGAACTCGCAGGAATCGAACACGTCTGAGCGTTCCAACAACAAGGATCGCCCCGACAGCGTGCCATCCCCGGATGCGAATCTCAGGATCCACATAGAACGGTAGCTCAAGGGAGGATTGAAACCAAAAGTCGGGTGGAAAAGTCGTATCTTGTGGGAGGCACAAGAGGTAAATTCCGCTCACGAAGAGGAGGCCGGTGAAGACATTTGCACAGTTTCTGACAAGGATGGTCGGTTTTCTCATTTCCCCAGCCGCCAATAAATTCCATGATGCTTCACGCAGGACATCCAGCTCCGCAAATAGGAGACCAGCCATAAATGCTGATAATATAGGTGAGCCAAACCACATGAGGGTGACACACAAGCCGGCAATTGCTAACAGCCGCACCCTAGGCCTGATGGATGCAAGCCCAAGTATCACCAGGTAGACCGCCATTGAGCATTGGTACTCATACGAAATGGTCCACAGGTGGAAATTGTATCCCGTCACATAGAATGGTCCACTCATATGAAGAGTCGTCAGGAAGGTCATGGTGAGACAACTGAGATGAGGTCTTAGCGCTGACCAGGGCTGTGCTCCAGGACAGCCCTCCCGATCACCCGGCATCCAGTCAATCAGGCCCATGTAATAAGCCGAATGGGAGATGAGGCAAAGAGCTAGAACAGGAATGTAAAGTCGAAACCCGCGGCGAAAGACGGCAGACGTAAGTTTTCGATAGAACTGAGCCGGGGCATCATCACGGAGTCGTATTATGGAGGTCGACACGGCATAGCCTGAGATGACAAAGAAGAGAAGAACCATGGACTGTCCAGCAAACACTAAGCGGAACGGTGGTAACTGGAAGAAACGGTGATTCTCAGCTGCGGGGACAGCCCAGAATGATCGATAGGGAGTTTTCATCTCTGCCACGGTGAAGTGGAACCAGGCGACGATCGCCGCAGCTATTCCTCGTAGTCCATCCAGCCAAATTTCGCGAGCTTTGGCCGAGGCTGTTGATGCCATTGTGACAATAGGAGGGGATGTGGGGGATAAGCTTAGAGTAAGGAGGATCAGGTGTGGTATGATGTTTTCGTCGAGTGAGGGGTTTAAGAAGCAAGGCCATGGTGCAGCCCCGATAACTAGACTCGTGGTACTGAATGGTACGGAAGCGTAATATTGAAGGGTCAGCCGTGGTACGGCCTTCACTGAATCGGCAAGCAGATTCTACCTATCAAACAACAAGTCAATGTGGATCTAGCATAGCCAAGACATAGAATCACAAGGTTGGTGACATTCTTCCATAGGACGGGTATGTGAAGATCCCGGACATGATGCTCCGTAGTCCGACGGGGAGCCATCCGATACCAAATCCCGAGGCCACTAAGCCCAGGCTGCATTATTCGAGGCGCCCAGCATGACCAATCAGGTAGTGAGATAAGCACTAAAATCAGCGGGGTCTGGATACGAGCTAAATAGTAGAAACTCCCGCGGCTTATGCAGATCACAGATCTATCATGCTACTCGTCGTATATCGTTGTCCTCGGCACATTGCCAACGGGCTCTGGTGTAGCCAACCAGAGTGCTCAAGATGCTTTCGTCCATGTTTGCTAGGTACGCTTTCAATGGAAGCCGCATTCGGAGGGAATAGTAATAACGTGCAGATATTAATATACCATTTAAATTAGGCAATGAACCATATATGTTGGAAATTGAAGGTGCTGAGAATAATGCAAAGACGCACCTGCCGCCGTCTACTGCTGACTTGCGCGTCCTTGTCAAGGAAGGTTATGTCCGTATCCAATCGCGGTGATAATCGTTTGTTGGTTCACGATATATCACACTCAATAAGGGTTTGCGACTGAAAAGTGGAGGTCAAGATCCGTGCTCCATATCCAGTCTGAATACTGGAAATTGTGGCCTGTACAGAGTTGGATGATATCTGCTTCCTTGGCCTTGACGACACATTTCCCTAGTGCTTATGCGACTGCCAATGTGCCGGCACTGGAGCACGGATTTTGAATCTTCTGTCTGCTCCCGCCTGAAGACCGCGTAGTTTGTCCCAACATGGGCGATCGTTCGCGCGGCAAGTTTCATCACGGCCGTATGCGTATGCAGGGTCTTTGCAACACCACATCAACAGTCTACCGAAATGACTGGATAGCAAAATGTATTGGCATCAGCACTAGATGCGCACGCCATGATCCGTCGAAGAGTGAGGGCGGATGGCTTATGGCTGCTCTAGATGATGTGGTTTGCATTGCCACCCGAATCATAGACAGTCATCAGTAACATATATTGCAACAAAGAGGGCAGGAAAACTTGATGTATCACTCTCGGGAATAGTACTAGATTCTTTCTTTCGTCCGTTCTTAGTCTCACGGTTTGGCGCCTTCTGGCTCCCAAAAGTCTTACCTTTATTCCATCATGTATTACATCCCCAAGGCGTTGAAGCCACACAGTGGCGTAGGCTCCGGCCAGCGATTGGTGACCCTGGCTGAACAAACTTTCAATTTCCTGGGATGCATTGTTGCGGCTGTGGTATACTTCTACGGCTTGATGTATCTCAAGCAACCCTTAACCTTTGACATGATAGTGAGTATAATTCTGGCCGAGTACTGTCGATGGAGAAATAGCCAGAGACACCGATATGCAGCACAGCAGGAAGAGAACGGTAGCCTTGGTCTTGCTGAGAAGGGCAAGTCAAGCGAGCAGAGGTTGGACTGTGTTGCTGCTGTTGTTGGGTATAGGGAGGAGCCTACCCTCTGGAAAAGGGCACTGGAGAGCTATTCGCAGGCGCAAAATTGCAGATTTCTTCTCATATGCATAGACGGGGATGCAGAGGAGGATCGGGAGATGGTTGAAGTCTTTCAAGACGTGAGTGGCTATCCTCTGTCTGTATTGCATGTATTCACGTTTATTGATCAGGTTTACGCGGAAACGTCCGCCTTGATGCACCTGGATATCCCTCTAGCAGAGATTGCTATGCAGATTGACCGAGCTAGGTCCTCCAAGACGACTGATGTGGATATTATCGCTCAATGCTGTTCTGTCGCCAGAGGGGCTCTGGAGAAGAGTGGTATCAATCTGACCGGCGAGAAGGCGATCTCTAGATTATGTGTTAGCCAGCCGCACATGCACAAGAAGGGCGTCATGTTTACCTCCTTCATAATTTCCTTGGTGCTCTCCGATATCCTCGACATCGAGTTCTTGTGGACATCCGATTCGGACTCAATTGTGATGCCCGATACATTGACACGTACGATGGCGACATGTGCCGCGGATCCCGGAATTGGGGGTGCCAGCACGGCACTTACCATCCACAACAAGGATGAAACAGCCATCACGCAGCTCGGGAACGCGGTATACCTGAACGAATTGTATCTGGCACGTTCCTTTACTGGCGCAGCTGCCGCAAATGACTGCCAAAGCGGACCGTCTGCTGCTTTTCGCTTCTCTGCTGTGAGTGGAGAGTTGCTCGCCTGGTATAAACAAAGCGTGCTCGGACATTGGATGGTGAGATTATTTTGCGCCACCGTATGAGCATAGATTGACTGTGCAGGTTGTGAACGAGGATCGACATCTGACCACACGTCTCCTTTTGAAAGGTTGGAGAGTGGTTTTCGCATCCGACGTTATGACCGCCACTGAGTCACCCACGACATTCAGGAGGTGGCTGTTGCAACAGGTGCGTATCCGGAAAGGATTGTGCCCCTACTCAGTGAAACTGGAACTAAGCTGAGGTATCCAGGTCCGTTGGGGTCGAGCTGTACATGTCGAAAGCTTCCACCGACCGAGCGTGTACCTAAAGCACTCTCCCATATTGTTCTTCGGCGCCCTGCGGCGACAATTTGCCGCCTTTATCGTGCCCCTAACTGTTGTCTTGTATCTCTGTTCTGGGATGCTCCTAATCCGAGCCTTCTCATTTCAGGATTACTCCCACCGCCTGGCGCTGACAATCTCCTACCTTGTGTTTCGTAATCCATACCGACCAACTATGAAGGAGTGGATGTGGAGTCTCCCCGCACATCTGTTCTATCATGTTCCGTTGCCTGCCATTCAGGTGTGGAGCTTTCTGACAGTACTCCATGATTCGTGGGGAACGACTATGAGGGCCAACAAAGAGGTAAAGCATTCTAAGCTGCGTCTTAAGATTTGGGAAGTTGGGTTCTTCGTCTTCTGGATGGCCATCTTGGGCGGTGCCTCGGGGCGATATATTGCAACGTCGCTGATGCCAGGCTCGGTTGACGTGGTGGCATTCATTCTTGGGGGGTTTGTGTCAGTGTTGATTGTGGGTGGATGGTGGATGGTTGTCGCGAAGTGAGCGGGGCTTTTGGTTCTACCGCATAAACGGTGTCGCCATGAACGCTTCCCTGGGCGGACCTACCAGGTGAACATATCCTTGAGCATCATTTTATTGACGATTAGAAGAGCCAAACAAGATTCGGAATGGCGGACTTTAGAAAGTTGATAGAAATGGCATGCCATTGGGAGGCTTGAGGTGTGATGGCAACGGAGAAGCGAGTTGAAATAACAGGGCGTCGGGAAACAACAGATGTCCCTCGGTCACCTGATCAGCGTACTACACGAACAATATGATCACTTCTCACGCGTATTGTGTTTGGTTACACTACTAAGTGGTCATCCAGGGGGTCAGCAGTCGGATATGCATTTGCTCTTGAAGCGTTTTATATAGATTCATTGAAGGTATATATTTCGTGATCAGCCTAACAAAGATTCAACATGACATCTACTTCCTGTTCGCCAAGAGCTTCTTCTTCGTCCTGTCAGCACATGCCTTAGCATCAAAGATACCATTGACGCTAGGATGCTCCCGAGTCGCCTGCGCCCAACGGCTGAAGTTCTTCGCCTCCGCCAATCCCTCCCAGATGGCCGGGTCGATCAAGTCAGCCTCCTTGTCCGCGAAGGCGTGCAGACGGATCAGGAACGATCCGAGCAGCACCTCCACCAAAGTCAATTTATCGCTGCCACCGAAGAAAGGACCGTGCTGCTTTCCCTCCAGTCCCTGGTACAGGAGGGGCTCGATCTCCTTCTTGATAGCAGCTACGTAGCTCTCAACGCCGGCCTTCCGGTCGGCTTCGGTAGCACCACGCAGGGCGGCATTGTAGTGGGGGGCAGCTTTGCTGGAGTAAGTGTCGACAAAGAAGGCGATGCGGGCGCGCTGCAGAGCTCCCTCGGGAGTGTTTGACGGGGGCACGAGGTGGGAGGGGTACGCGTCGGCGAGGAATTGAGCGACGATGCCGGATTCGGTGATCACTTCACCATTGTAGGAGAGGGAGGGAACGAGACCACGCTTTGATTGTGAACGTTGGTTAGCTAAGCTTTGTGGAAGGTGGATAGGTAGGTCGGACATACCGGGTTAACTTCCAGATACCATGGCTCGCGTGGGGTATCCAAATCAATGGTGACCTCTTGGAAGGGGAGACCGAGCTCCTGGAGAACAATGTGGGCGCGGTGAGCCCAGGGGCAGGTGCGGTTGGTGTAGAGGACGATCTTGGGAGAAGACATGATGAATATGTGAATTAATGGAGGGAGTTAACAGCTGTCAAGGGGTGACGAGGAGAGGCGGGACAGGCGGGTATAAAAAGGCCGGCAGAAGCGGGGCATCGGCAGATGGAACCGGCGGGGAGGAAAACGTGGGAGGAAGAAAGCTTACACGACGCGCTGCTGAGCTCCGACGGGATTATTAATGGCCAGCCCGCCGGGTGATTTCCCGCCTGGATGGCATCACCGCCACCCTATCAATTATTTTCCGGTGTCCTACGGGGTTACTGATGGAGAAAGGCGCAGGAATTCGTCATCCAAGGCGTTATATTGCACAATTTAGGGTATAATCTATCTATCTAGACCTTTAACATCTAAATATATGAACAAGAAGTGTCGCACATGCGGGGTATCTAAAATGCTTGTGGCCACATAAAATGTCATGGAGAATCCTCGACTCATGCATGTACTTAAACAGGGAACGGCTGCGACTCGCGACGGAGTCGACTGGCCCGACGACCAGCATGTCTCTCGCGATCGGCGGCTAGGGTCTGGGCAAATTTGCTGCGACGACGGATTTCGGGGCCCTTCCAGTAGAAGATATAGATCGGAATGGCCACTAACGCGGCAATGCACCCCAACAGGGTGCTGCCCCAGGCCAGATGGAACTTACCACCAATGTTCTCATACAGTGGTGTCGCATACATGGTCGCAATACCAGCGAGGAAATCACGGGCGAATCCATTACCGCCGGTCGCCGAGGCAGAATAGGCACCGTAGGCAGCGACCATGTAATCAATCGTAGCCATGTAAATGGAGTAGTTAGCGATGGCGATCAAACAGGCGAAGATCAGGGGAGCAATCCAAGGAGCATAGGCAGGGCCAATAGACGTCCATGCAAAGCCCAGCAGACCGATGGGCTCGAGTGGAGCGAGGAACAAGAGCAGGAGAAGACGGCGCTCCGCAAGACGGGCAGCATTACCTTCCTTCTTGCGGATCTGGCGTTGTCGCCAGACGTCTGGCAGGAAAATAAGGTATGCGATTATATAACCAAGCAGGATGGCACAGAAAGCCAGGCCATTTGTGAGGGTATTGAAGCCCCACTGATCGAAAACGAGCGTGAAGGATTCGGTGAAGGTGAAAATCAGAGCATCGGAGAACCCAGATAGAAGTGACAAACAAAGGACAATGGGCTCGCGGATAAACATCTCAAACGGACGTTTCCAGATTCTCAAGACCTCCTTGACACTCAGACGACTTTCCTTCAACTCGTTGGGGCCGTAGATGTTGGGGTCTTCACCAGACTTGCGGCGGCGCTTGGCTTCGCGATCCAGGAGGATGGTTGCTCTAGTTTCGGGAACCAACAGAAAGTGCAGAGCTTGAGTGAAGCCTCCGACAATCAATTGCACCCAGAATACCCACTGCCACGTAAGATACTGACCAATAAATCCACCAAAGACGGGTCCAATTGTAGACCCGCCCACTGAAGAAAGCACGACGTATGCAACAGCAAACCCTTGGTCATCAACTTCCCACATGTCTGCAGTCATACCCAAAGTGACCGATCCACCAGCAGAGCTCAGACCACCCAGGAAGCGGCAAACCACGATAGTACCAAAATTCGGTGCCAAGGCGCAAGGGATCTGCCAGATATTGACTAAGAATAAACTGAGCTGCATGATCGGCCATCGCCCGAATTCCTCACTCCAGGGCGCCCACAGCTCACAGCCAAAGGCGTATGCCACCAGGAAGATCATCTGTCCGACACGGGCTGCCTGGGCGCTGACGTTGAACTCATTTTCAATTCCGGTGAGAGCATCCGAGTACACACCCGTATTGAAGTTCATGGACATCTGAACCATGAAGACTACGGTTAAGATGGTCCATTTCTTATACCAAGGAAAGCAGAAGCCGAGTTTGTCGTAACAATCGTCCTCGGTTAGCTCCCGCTTGCCGTCAGAACGCTCTTTTTTGGAAAGATCGGTATCACTTCCAGATGTTGGCTGGGAGGCATGCTCGGCCTGCTGGGTGGAAGGATCGTCCGATTCCGATCGGCGGGTCAGATTTCTGAGGGCGTCTTCTGTCTTGCCAGACTTCTTCTCATCATACATACCCTGATCGGCAGGGGCATCGTTCTTCGGGGTGGGCTCAGCGGCCGTCATGGTGATGGAGTAGAAGGCGCAGGCTAGAACAGTATGGAAACCCTTGTCATGCGGGGTGGAGAAGGTGGTAGGAAGAAAGATTGTAGAAAAGACCAATCAGTGTCACGGGAATGCGAAGGAGAGAGGTGATTGATTGGATTGAGGATGATGCTGGAGTGACGATTGATTGCCAGAAGGGATGGGAGGGATCTTTATAGATCGCTGATCTCTCCTGGATGGCATCTTCCCTGCACTACGGTACATTATTCTTCCTCGGCGATGCCTGGCACTTGGAGTGCGGAGCCGATGTCTGCCCTCAGTGGCATGACGTGAGGGCTTACCTATGGGAGTAGGTTGGTAAATGGTAAATAATGGGTGCCCCAAAAGGGTAATCCGAGAGGTTGTTCGCTAAGGAAGCCTGATAACGATGCCAGTCGGGGCTCGGCGGAAGAGATCTTCTCCCCTCGCTGGCGTCATAGTTCCGGCCCGTCAGACCAGGAGCTGGGGTCCCCAATCAGAGGCGGGGACTCCTATATTGTCCAGCTCGAACCATGGTGCTACTCTTACCGGGGTACTTTCTACTAAGCACAGAAAATCTAGCATTATTGGCCATAGCGGCGACAGGACTTCGCGTGTGCATCGGAGATGCTGGGTTCTGATTGTGTGATAGTACTTATTGCGTGGCGACCACTAGGGTGAGTTTCCCTCCAGGCGGGAAAAGGTCGGAGAGGCAGACACCACACGGCCGAGGTGCAGCCCGGGGTGTCTGCTTTGAGGTACAGGACAGGATGTTCCTAATGGCTGAGAAAGCGGCCATATAGGCGGTTTCACTGGACTTTGCGACAGGCAGTGGAGTAGACCAGATGCAAAAGCATGCACAGTCACCTGCTCAGGCTAACCCGATCGGCACGACTGCTGTCAGCCGGGGCCGGCGGTGAGCCATGACGTCACACGCTTTCTTTCAGAACACCAATAATATTGCAGTATTCTCTCTGTGTTGTTCCTGATTAGGACTAGGGAGGGCGGCCAACTGGTTTCTGCCTGCATTCTGCCGCCCTTCTCCGGCCGGTTTCTTTACTATCTATCAGGTTCGTTGTGCTGCTCAGTCGGCTAGGCTGATACTGACAACAGTAGCCCACTTCTTCATTTTTTTTTTTCTCACCCTCCATTTCCCCAGTTCCTTCTCCGCGTCCTCCCCAGCAATCCAAAATACTTTCTCCTCCACCATGACGCAGGGCTCAGCTCGAGTGTCAACTGACAACGTCACTTTACGCCTGGCTATCGTTCTCTAACGTCATGGTCCATGTGGTCGCTGCCAGATGTCCTCCCTCATGGTTTTGGAGACGATATCGGCTCGGTCCTTGCAGCCCAGTGTCTAGCCTCTTGGCTACGAAGCTAATCCGCAGCCGGCCAACCTCTGTCGGCTTGAAACCAGGCAGCTATTCCGTCTCCTTGTGCCGCCTGGCCTCGCATCCCGGCCTCCCGATGCAACCCGACGCCACACCTACTGTCGACCCGAGGAACGACATCGCGTCGAGGGGAAGAATTATGATACGCCTCGACAAGGTTCACGCAGATTTACGGTTCGGATAATTTCTATAGCCGCCAAGTCTCCCTTTGCTCACATGGACAATATTCCTCTATCAAAACCGTCAAGACCATAGGTGAGTATATCAATCATCCCACGCAGATAAGTTGAGACTGGAGTGTGAGGAACAACATTTCCGCAATCATGTTTGCTTTTGGTACTCCGCGTTTCTCACCCCCGCTCCCTCCATCGCACTAAATTAATGAACCGCAACACAACATTCCATCAGCGATTCTTATTGACTGAGATGTGACCCACACTGCATCATCTCCTTACCATCCACGCAGACAGCCCCCCAAAACCAGTTCCGCCTGCATCGTTGATTATCATATGATATTCGGATCCATTGCTGTAATCGTCCCAGTCGAATCCAGAAACATCTACTCTGTCTATGCGTGCCGGCGCTCTCGGCTTTCAGAAAGCCAAATCCCACGCCCTCGTATCGGGTCTGTGGTAGGGTACCGCATCCTTCCAAGACTTGAGGTGGTATCGAAACACGAGGAGCTTACTGGTAGGAATGTGCACAGCACAAGGCTCGGAGTGATCTGCACCGGCATGGTCACACATCCCGGATGCTCTGTATCAGCCGGAGGTGGTCTCCCAGGCTCCTGACAAGATCTTGGCCAAGGTACAAAGCGCACAGTATACTTGAGGGTGAACACAATCGGTAATTGATCTACTGGTGGTTGAAATATCAATCTGCCACATAAGCACAATACAAGCAGACGTGGTATAATGCGATATACGTCTGAGCCTGCCCTAAATAACAGAGTGCTTCTGGCCTCTAACCCAAGAGAGTAACTTCCTCGGTTCGACCAATTACAGTGCGGTTTTTTCAGGACGGCCATTACTGTCCGGCCAGCCAACTCTAGCTCCTGCTTTGCACAATCATCTCCACTTATGTAACCAACAACAGTCTATCCTACACTACATGACTGAGAACAAGTGCACCTTGTTTCCGCTCGCACAGATGGTGACAGTTCCCGCTGTGCGCCCGATGTTGATTAGGCCCAATTTGTGCTAATGCAGCACCAAGCATCGCCTAAGGCAAGCCATAAGATTATAGCGTGATGCCAAGGCCCATTGAACAGGGGGCCGTGGTCGTGGCGGACGCGTCGGACAGAGGCCATCATTGCCACTTCCGGGATAGTCGGGCGACCCCGACGGTGCTGCCAACCTCAACAACACAGTCCAAGGTGACACAAGAATGTTGCTGAAACCCAAGTTATGAAATCATTTTGGGCAGATGTCTAGACCGCCATAACATAGACATTTACCTTATTCCTGATATCGGTGAAAGGCAATATGGGCCGTTTTACAGTGAATATAGAAGAACCACGACTTATCAACATCGTCGGGAAAGTCCGCGACTCTGGACTGAAGGAACATTCAGCTGAACGTCACTAGCTAATAGAAACGCATCGAAACCCATATTATCTATGTGCCTATCGGAATCCCAGCTAGCGTGCACTTCGGTTAAATTCCGGGGCATGAAGCAAAGTAGTACCCACTCGACCGGACTGTCTGGTTTCCCGATAACGTGATGGAATAGACTTTTTCGTCCTATCGTTCCCTGAATAGCATATTGATGACCTTTCTGGAATAGCAACACGGGAAATATTTCCAAGATTCTGAGCTCTCCTTGTTAATGCCCAGCCATAACAAGTTTTGTGGCTACAATATCTGGGTTCCCAAGAAGTATCCTGCTTTACCACTAACAGTCAGGGAATTTCTGGTAAGACCATGGCCTACTGTGCTCTGGTGGTACCCTTTGTGCCATGTTGTAGCGTAGCACATAGCGCTCGGATGGCGTAGTAATTTGCACGCTTCCGCACTCTGTCTGTTTCTTCCCGCCTATCTTCCGATTTGGTGGTCCCACTACATCAATCACCAAAGGCATGTCAAGGATGACCTCGGCGGTTGACGTCTTTTAGGTAGGCCTATTCTTCCTCAACATCCATGGTTCGATACATTTGGTGTTATTCCATTTCCTGATTTTCAGCTATATGTCCAAGGATAATCGGTACTTACTGCGCCGAGACTGCCAAGTTTTCACAGGAAAGTGAAAGAATGGAATTATAGTCCGGGTGACTTAGAACGGGCATCAATTGTAGATTTTCTTAAGCAGTGCACCTACAGATCAAGTTCTGCGAGGTGACCAGCCATCACAGAAGCCACTGTCAGGCGTCGTCTTGATAGAGTATGAAGTACATCTCTTTTCGACTTGACCGAGCTACTACTACTGACTAGTAGTCAATGGCCAAAAAGACTTTTATGCTGTGTGTTACAAAAAGTCAACAGTAACGAACGGTATGCCCCTAGCAGGTTTCGGGATAACAGCTGAAACGCGATCCCGCTCGGAATTGATTCATCCCTCTGTCACATTAGCTACCTCTTCCTCATGACTCCCCTGCCCCCCATCCTGACTACCATCGTTCGAGTATATCCTCTCCATTATTCTAGAAAGGCCTTCTGCGTCACCTTTCATTGTCTCCATATGCTCCTTCGCCACCCATCCTTCCGTATATCCACCACCAAAGTCGATCACCCACGCATCTTCATTCTTATCTATCAACACATTGTCCGTCTTCACATCTCCCCAGATAATATCAGCCCGATGCAGCAAATCCACAGTCGTAGTAATCTGCTCCTCCCATTTCTTCTGTTGTGCAAATGTGACTTCGTCATGTAATGCACACGAAAGGGTGAGCTTTTCACAGTCTACCAACGATAGCAAGATGCCAATAATGCAGCAGCTGTCGTGCGATCCATAAACAACACCTACAAGTCGGGGAATATGTACTTGCGGATCGTCTCTCAGGCCTTGGTTCTCCATCCTCCTATAAATGTCCAACTCACGCAGAAGTCCTCGCTTTGTGTGAGATTCCTTTAGGAAACATAGCTTGCCATCGACACAGACCTTCCTTGGGTGCTTGGAATAGCCATATTCGCCATCGCTGAGGCACTGTTCTACCATTTCTGGTGTGAACTTACCCCAGTTTGGGTGAAGAGCGAAGTCGCCTATATCAACACCCGGTTCCCGCAGCGTCCTTCGAACTTCATAGTCATAACGGGGTTCCATCCTCTCATCAACGAAGTATAGCTGGAAGTAATATATTTCAGGAGAGAGGTAATCACGAAGCGTGGCCGTTTTTCCGGTTATGAGCGAGGGTTCAACTTGGTCGAAGATTGGCAAGAACGGGGCCAAAGCCCAGTCATAGAGATCATCCTCTGCTGTCTCAGCTGCATTTTCGTCGTCATACATGAGGTCGATATAACGGCTATACATCTGGAAAGATGATGACGATTGCATAAAGTTCTCCGGTGAGATCTCTATCTGAAAACATTTCCCTTTGCATGCAAGAGTAATACGTGTCCACTTGTCATGTTTACCGTAAAGGAGGTCCTGGACTTTCCAATTAGGACTTGGGACTTCCATTTTGAATTCTATCAGTTGGCTAAATATGGTTTGGCGCAGGGGGTTGATCAAGTAGTAAGTGGCAGCGAAGGTTTAGTACCAAATGAGTAGTCGAACAGCGACCCGTGGGAAGGTCAATGTGTTCACTTTCGGTGGCTTGTACTACCTAACGATCAGTCCCACTTATTCACACAAAGAAGAGTTGTCGTAGCCTTATTTATAGACATTCTCCTACACTCCTCTAACTGATTAGGTTTGGTGAAGTACACTGGACCACAACAAACAGCGGACAGAACCTTAAAAGAATATAACTTAATTATTGCGGCACATCTCTGCTCCTAATAGGCAGTCCCCTTGTTGTAGTTGAATTTCTGGTTCGGAATATTCCACTATTATTGAAGGAGAAGGATTAGTCTGCCTCCTTGAATTGTTATATAAATGTGAAGTTTGCCTGGTTAGTAAAAGGATCAACCGGAAACCACTCACCATCTCAACTTACTAACAGGCTTCTATATTATCACCATACCCCATTCACGATTTATACTTTTCGGAAAGTGCGAAGCATTTTCTGTTACTCATCTATCATCCACTCATCACCTACTGTTCCAAAGCGAACCCGATGCCAGGCATCAGACGATATGCACTTTGCTCCGGGCACGGAACGCGGTATTTTACTACTTTGGATGCACTCTGTACTAGAGAGGAGTGCATGTTGAAAGAAATGATCGATAGGGGCTGGACCTGCTGTAAATGTGGACAGGAGAGCATTGTGGGCGCGTATGTATGCAGTGGTCCCCCCTCCGTAATACATTACGTCGTTGATAAGGGTAGTCGCTGCGCACATCTCGTTTGCTTGGATTGTCAGCATACATCGACTCCACCGGAGGATAAATATCCGATGCCGACTGACTATTGACGGAGCTATCTACTGTCATGTCTTTTGGTCAATACATATTCTTCTTCGTTGACGATCGGTCTGTGGGGTTGAACGCATGCTGCTCCAATTGAGCGGCACTGCTAGGTCGCTGCTCTGCGTCATTCTTATTTGAATCAGCTACTGGTGTAGGGTTTGGATGTAGTGTCTTGACTGCAAATAAATCTGACAATGAATGATGAGATACTTACCTGTTGTATAACTGACCCGTCAATCCCACAAGGTAGCTTCTACAATGTAACCTTTCAATCAATACTTCTCCAGTAAGCTTATCTTATCTCACCGGCCGGTCTTTGACGTGAAATACCATGAGCTTCCCGCAAGTCGATGTTATTTGAACAGAGTACTGAGACGTAGCAGCCCGATAATTGTCGGAAAAGTGTCATAGAACGCAATATATCAACAGGCTACATTAACATTCTATCAAGAAAGAAAGTATAGTACACATGTAAAAACACAACCCCCTTTCCACCCCTTCTTCCACAGCATACCTTACATAATCCAACCCCTAAGAGATAACAGTAACATTATCACCCAAGTTCCTGCAGTTCTTAGGCAAAGTCACGACGGCACCCTGACCCCTGGCCACATCCGAGTGATTATAAGTCGGGTTAAACGCCATAATTTGACCCACAGTGGAGCCAATCTTGTCGGCCAAATCCTTGTACGTGCCATAAGTGAAGTGATACGGCTCAACCTCACACACACTAGGACTGCACTGAGGGACCTTCAACTCATTGTCCACCTGGACCAGTGCATCAGGATCACTAACCCCACCCTGAGCGGTTGCGGAAAGGGCTTCGACAGTGATGTTCAATCTCAGCGCGATGGTGCGGATGGTGTCCCCCTTGACGGTGTAGTAGGTGTGAGGACCGCCGGACACGCAGTCGGCGTAGTTGTCAGTGGGGCTAGGGAATAGCAGACAGGTGGAGTTGTCGGGAGTGCAGGTCTCCGGAGGGATGAGCAGCTGTTCTCCCGTCAAGAAGGGGATCATGGCATCCGCCATGCGGTTGAGTCGGGCGATGTCGCAGATGCCGCGGTTTACGGAGTTGGAGACGCTGGCAATGGTGTCGCCGTCTTGGACGGTGTAGAGACCGACGGTGCTGTTCAGGTTGGAGCGGTTGCATGTAGGTGCTGCTGAGGCTGCCGAGGCAAGGAAGGGCAATGCTGCAAGAGTTAGGAAGTGCATAGTGGAAGGATTGATTTCAAAGGAGAATGGCTTTCTCAAAGAGCGACAAGGTTTGTAGTAAGAGAGTGACTTTTTGCTGTAGGATGAGTGGAGTGTAGATTGCTTGACTTGTCGGCGAGCGCGTTGCCATCTTTATATTCATACAAGTGATTGCATCCCTTCCACGGTAGATCGCGTGTGATGATGCGTCTAATGTCGCAACCAGATGTAAGATGCGACGGGATCGTTGCGGAGGGAGCGAAGGCGATCTTTCGCATACGCGTCAGCTTAAAGTATATGGCAAACTCGGAGATAATGGCTTCCCGTGGGGACGGCCCCGCAATGGCGAAGATCTTATCCCGACTGTGTACGCTCACAGTTGCCATCCGGGGGCTGGGCCCCGAATTTTGCAAATCCCGATGTTCATACTGGACGACTTGGATGACGAAGCTGTGCTGCGAAAGGAAGTGGGTCTGGAATAATGCGCTGCATGTTGAAGAAGCTATGCTAGCGTAGTGGAAACCGATGGCTATCAATCTCCGGCAGTCGCGCGTATGCTACTGCGAATTGTGCCTTGAAAGGTCAAAGAGTATAGAGAGCAACATATATTGTGGAACACCTTTCTCCGTGTCCGATATTGTTGTTGCCTTGGAATAGATTGACTTATCGGCCTTTTTCTTGGTATTGTCGCCCTTAATTCGTTGGCCAATCCAGAAACAGCCTACTTTAGAGATAAAGCAAGCGTTTGGTTTTCCCCGGGGGGAAAGGGGTGATTTGCTATTCCAGCACAGGGCTTGGCATGACCTGGTCCTGGTCGTCAACAGTCAAAGAAACGAGGATCATACACTAAGTGATTATGAGAGAGACAATTAGAGACATAATCAAAGCCTTTAAATTATCTTGGCATAATATGCCCTAGCATCCACCCGGTAATGGCCGCCAGGGTCCGCCCGGATGCCGATCATTTCTGCCCCCGGATATGCCTCCCGAACGAAATCCGCATTCGGGAGTAGCTTGCGAGAGAGCGGGACCGTATCCTCGACCTTACCGGGCCGGGTGTGCATGGCAATGACAAAGCTTTTCAAGACATGAAACGTTATTCAGAGCATTTTCAAAGAGGGGACTTAATATTAACTCAATAATAATAGTGAATTTTGAGTAACATTGCTTGATCATGCAAGCTCAGTACCCCTAGTGTTCGTTGCTTATGTAAAATATATCCTGTCTCGCCGTCGCATTAAGCATTTGAATACCTCAAATATCAGTTGCGCTTATTCTACTTCCATTACATTCTGCTGTAATTCTGCTATTTGCATCTGCTGTTATCTTATCTGTTCACGGGTATCCTCATTCTGTATTTGATATTTGTCCTTGTCTTGTCAGTATATTATATTTGATTACTCGGGCAATCCGCCCGACATTCCTGACTGAACAGATTGTACGGCACTCTCAGCTACTCCTTCACCTAGCCAAATCGGGCATCACTTTCTGGGCCACAATGCATTGGAAAATAGTTTTGTCAATGTTGAGTTTCAGATCTGACAGATAGCCCAGACCACCTTTTACCTGAACACTGTAAATTGAACAGCCCCAATACGTTAATTAATTTCAAGTTGCAGATATTATTACCGCCTTCGAATCAGGTTCTTGATTCATTCCTGAATATCATTTGGAAATGTGCCCAGAACGGGAAGATATACTAGGAATGCTGTAATCGCTTTGTCAGGGAACGATGCTTACTGGTAGAAACAAGGAAAGAGAAACGGCGGAAACAGGTTTGACTCTGTTGTGACTCATAGGATTATGGTGCAGTCCAGGCATAGACTGAGCTTCTCAATAGGAGTAGCTCCAAGAATCTCAGTAGATTGCAAGCAAGTAAACAAAGTGCAAAAGAGTGACATGAAAACCTAAAGTCAGACTTCAATGTCCTATCCCGTAAGTCCAAAAATGCCGCTCGTTTGGAGATCCCGGGATCACGCATGCGTTAGAGCCCAATGACCAGGACCCGACAATGGGCTCTCCTTTTCCGATGCTCATGATGCCAGATATAAGGGATCCCTGCGCAATATACGTAATGCCGATTGCCAAATATTCTGGACTCTTCTACTGCGTACAAGAGTTGCTGTTGCGCTTGGGGACAATGTATTGATTTTCATATTTCTATGCGTCCCTTTCAACATCTTCGCGCTCGGAAGGCTGAACTTCAAAAGCAGGAGGATAGCCTTCCTGACGCTTTGAAGGATGGACCTCGAAGGCAGGAGGATAGCCTTCTTGACGCTTCGAATGCGGCTCAAGTGTAGGGTTGTACTCTGCTGCTTCAGCAAAGGCTTCCTCACGATTTACGTTCATCTATTCAAAAGAATCAATAAACAGTTCAACAGAGTGCACTCCATGCAGAGTACTGACATCGTGGTTTAGAGGGATCGCCACTGCCACTGTGGCCATGGCCAGGATAATGGGGGTGAATCTCATTGTGTGCTGAGGTTTCGGACCTGTCGAATATTGGGTGGATATCTAGATTTTCAAAACTGAGATTGATCTGGTTTGGCGAAGTAATACTTAGAGGCAGGGTATGACAGCCTCTATATATACTTCGACGCTGGAGGATGACGTCGAACTACACCGGGCTTGCTACGCCATAATCGATCCCCTTGCCACCATCCTGCGAGGTGACCCACGATGTGTGGTACGAATAGGTTCCGTTTCGCTCCAGAATGTGTGAGGGCTGAAGAAAGGGGTGCACTTGAGAGATCATTTGGATGTTCAGGCGGAAGGGACGATGTGCGAATTTGTCGCCTGTATCCTGACAGTGCTCCTGGATTATCACGGTAAAGCCCGGCGGAGGTTGAGTGATCGCCACTTAAGGGGTGCTTTTGTTGTGTTCTACATGAAACAACCTGAGCGCCAGGGAGATTCAGATATGCACATATGCTTGTGTCAATACATTGCGTTATCTAGAGGCGAGGGGGCCTCTGGTGTAAAGTGTCGTCAGCCATCTTACGGGAGAAACGCGGTGCACACTTTAGAGATTGGCATTGACACCGAGTCAATACAATGGTATGCCACATAGTGGAGTAGTTCCGCGGAACATACTAACGTAAGATCTCCGCACTCATCAGTGGGCTGCAATATTTCTCGGTCAGGGTCTACAGGCACCTGTCTTGCGTTCGGATATGTAAGGCAAATTCTGCGGTGAACGCGAAGATGACATGAAACATTGTGCAATACTGACAGGTTAAACAATTCATGTCGCTGAATAGCAAGGGAGGATCCCCGGAGTGTCCGCCTTGCCTGATTTATATATCTTCAAAGTGCCGTTCCAATTCGTAATCGCAGGGGGTTGACCTCTCTAACATAGGAAATCACCTGCGAGCGTGCATGACAATGATAGCAAGGAGTGAGATTTGGGCGGGGTTCCCCTTATATGGCAATGTGTCTGGTCTTCCTGCAGTCTGCCCTTGCTTCTCTTGTGTACAGAACCCTGCTGACAAAGGGTAAGGGGAAAATGTCATACTACATGACGCGAGTCAGGTGGAATAATATTCCGGGTAATTGATATGCTCCGGCCTAGCCCCTTGGAATGTAGTGCACCCCGTTAGTCACATCTATGCATGGTTTCCTTCCTGTAATCGACACCTTGAAGGTGAGTTTACGCGGCAATCAAGCTCAGTATCTTTCTTGCTTTAGATTCGCCCTTTTCTCAAATTTATCAATAGTACTCCTTTGGTGCTTACTCAATGGTCATCCGCGACCGATAGCACAGGGCCTTGATGCACAACAACAGCAGCATGAGCTTGTTCCAATTGATCAAAGCTCCATTTTCCAAGAGGCGATATGAAGCTTTACATCACGGATCTGATGAGAATATAGGCGAGAAGCCCTTATGTACAGCTTGCCAGCGCCAGTACAGAGGTAGAAAGAAATTACGAGAGCTCAATATTTGCGTAATGAGCGGCGTGTTCTTCACCACTGTCATCATATTCCTGCTGCTTGCCGTGTTATTCGACACGTACTTGAACTCGGAGAAGAACGCAGCTCTGCGTGGAAGCCTTTACTGGTGTATGACTGAATCTACATTCAGAGTGCTGCATTAATCTGACTTCAGATAGCCCCAATTCTCGATGATGTGGAGCTACCCCAGCGCATAGCGACAATGAACAGCACTCTCCTACCACCACCAGACCCATCCATCGCCCGTCAAGAACCAGGGCCAGAGAACGATGCCGAGTGGTATAAGTACAACGACACGCCACTGTTTTGGCTCACTCGAGAGGAGATCGGAAAGCTCGGCCAAAACCCCGATACAGCTGCAAGATGGGACCGCGAATATTGGGGACACGATGAAGACCTTTATGTGGGAAAGTTAGATATATCACATGTATGGTCCATCGTTCAATCGATTCTTGAGGACAAGTGCTGATCCGTAAATTAACAGCAAATACACTGCCTGGATACCCTCCGGCAGAAGGCCTATGACGATTATCCAGGCTATCATCCCAACCACCATCACGATAAGAGGGAGAGGGATAGTAGCAAGATGGACTGGATCCATCTCAGCCATTGCATAGATATGCTTCTGCAGTTCGTTCTTTGTAAAGCAGACACCGGCATCGTTACCTTCACATATGTTGAAGGGCAGGAGGCCCCTTGGCCCGACTTTCATCTCAAGCGCCAATGTGGGAACCTCGAGCCTCTGCTCGACTGGGCAAAAGGTCGAGAGGTGGGCGCTTGGCAGACAGCACCCCGACCAAAGGATGCATATCTCTGGCCAAATCCGTTTGTAGGAGATCCAGACTATGAACTAGGATATCCTCTAGGGCATCATCACCAAGGGGAGGGCAATCCTCATCCAAATTTGTCTTCGGGTTGATGGACCTTCAGAGATAGTGATTGGACGACACGTTACTGCTGGTAGTGGAAGGACTTGATAATGTGGGATCTGTTATATGGCAGAAACCAACCCTTGAGCTTGCGGTGTGGGTGCGTTTGTCTATCAACATTGCAATTGACACGATATGCTGTAGTCATGGAGACGATATCTGCTAGTCAATGGTGGGACGGGTCCCACACGCAGCAAGTTCAGATTAGAGATGTTCTGATATCAAGAAGGCTCCATCACATGAGGAGATACTCAATATTAGCCTCAATCCAAATATAGCTATATTAAACTATAATCAGATTTCCTAATTTATTCATGCTGTAAATATCACATTCATGAGGTCTTGCTACATATTCTTGAACCCGCTATGTTTCGGTGCCCGGCACACCCTGAGTCTATAGCAGCTTCGAACTAGGTTCTAGACCGGCCATCACCTTCAAGTACTGTCCCTTGTCATCCCAGCTATGGCGTGGAGAACGTTGAAACGCCACCGGAGCTGGCCGCTCATCCGTTTCGAAGGGACTTAACCACCTAGGCCTGCGATACATACCAGAAACGGAAACTGTATATCATGCGTTGAACACTTCCTGGATTGTGTGTGGAGAAATGCATTTTGGTGAACGTCATGTACTTCTTAGCGGCAGGAACCTGCCCCTCACCTCCTAGATGCTTCTCCCGAAGTGAATCGATAGCGAGCACACCTAGCTGTTGGACGGAATCCAACGAGGTGATTTGCAACACGCTGATTTCCAGCCCAAGATTCTGCCGCCACCATCTGCGGATCTCGACACTCACCAAGGAATTAAGGCCTAGGGCAGTTAACGAGGAGGTGATACTAATATCCTCCTTGCGCAGCGACATGATCGAGCAGAGCATATTAAAAATCTAATTGGTGACAATCTCGAGGCTTGAGTCACCACGCAAGACGTGGGGATTCGCAGCCACTGTGTTGAGAAATTGTTTCAGTGGACTGTCGCCAGAGTCGAGTGCGTTTTCGCGGGACACGTTGAGATTGCGGTGCATGCTCACTCCAATGCCGTCCTTGGCAAGGCCATTCAGTCCCCTTGTTTTGGACATTTGGCCGACAAGGAGGTCGGCAATCCCACCTGAGCATTCGGTCCCTGCGACCTTTGCGGAAAGTACTCGAACTCGATAATTGTGGATCGGAGCCGGTCGCAAGTCTCAAGGACACAGCGAACAGTAAGCTGCAGCAGCAGAACATCATCACTTCTGCTAGAGTTCACCTTGAAAATATCCTAATGTTGTACGAGATTAACATAAGGAGCCCACTTCATCTTCACCGCTGCCAAACCATCAACTCTCTCCCGCATGTCCAGGCTGCTGAATGTGCAGCTCTGCATCTGGAGAGCAGGCCGCCCACCCAAGAATGCCACTATGCGCCATCTGCTGCACCAACTGATACTTGGATACGGAGAGCTTTGCCAACGCGCGCTATTTGAATCTTCGTGATTGTCTTCGGTACCCCTGGCCGCTCGATTTTGCGTGGCTTGCCGCCACACTTCACCAAGATTTTCAGCTGCAGACCCTGGTCGATGACAGTGGGATGGATGTGGTAGAATGATTCGCTACCATGAGAGTTTCCATTCACGGTAGCAATCGCATTTTCCCCAACAGGATCCACTGTAATATCATCCAAGCCGTGGAAGGTTGGGCCGTAGGTCAAGCCACGCGTGGAAAGGGCGCGGTACCAGACGATTGAATCGATCCTGCGGGGCGAGGGGTCTAGAAGACAACAATCAGGGTTTCGCGCCCCTATTCCACTCCTGACCAATCCCGTACAATGCTTTGTCCAGTGCTCGTTAGTGAGCGAGGAAATGGTGAACCCATAAGCCGCCGAGTCCGACACACTGGTGGTTCTTGCTGGTCTGAGGTTCGTTATAAGCTCCACTGGGGTCCCCGCTTGAAGTAGCAAGGCATTATTTATATGGAGCTGATGGACGGTATATTCAGGAATGCCAGTGATCCTTCGCATAGCCTCTCCCACCATAGCGACATATTCAGCATCCGGGAAGACAATGTCACCACCAACGCGATGGTCCTTCAGCCACGGCACATCTTCCAATCGAAGAATGTTCCTCCACGCAGGCTCCAAATCGCTAGCCTCGAGCACTGGAGAACCCAGAAGCTCATGATGGGGGAACTTCCCGAAGTTCCGCCTCTTCGTGGCCCTGCTTTCTTCCCGGTATGCGGTGCGTTTCTGCCATGGGTAAAGGGGCAAGTCTGTGAGAACCGTCTCATCACCGGTCCCGTTGACAAGGCCGAGGTTGACGTCCACTCCAAGGGTATATAAATGGCCAACGGCGACCATCAAACTGCTGACCAAGCCTTTCCTTCTGGCCAGTGTGGAAACGTGAACTGGGCTTGACTGGGGTCGGCTGGTTGAGAAGATCCGCCGAAGGGGACCTGCGAGTGTTGAGTGCGGGCCGAGCTCGAGGAAGACTGCATTTCCCGTGTCCTTGAGTAAGGACTGGACTGCTGAGGAGAAGCGCACCGGAGATTCCAGGTTATTCTGCCAGTACACAGCATCCAATTGAGGCGGCCCTGGCTGGGAATTTGCGCTCACCGTGGAATATGGAAGGGGAGGATAAGTTCCAATGTATTTTGTGAGAATGGTCCTGTATGCACCCCCGATGGCTTTCATGTGATCTATTTCCAGCCAGTGTCAGTAACATTGGTAAACGTGTATACAAGTGAAAATTGAGACTCACGTGAATGGTACGCAATATTGAATCGAAGGCGCCTGTAGAAGGTATCCGGCCGCGAAAGTTTGATCTTCTCCGCTACCGCTTCAACCATATCCACATCGCCAGAGATGGTCACACTTTGAGGGCTATTCTCACAGGTGATCACAGCGCCCTCCACCAGGAACTCTTCAGCTTCTTGGGCGTTCAAACCAATGGCAGCCATGGCCCCTCTAACGGGCAGTGAGCTGACTAATTTACCATGATAGAAAGCAATTGTGATTGCTTCTTCTGCGGTCAAACTCCCCATCGCGTATGCTGCAGCTATTTCTCCACTAGAATGGCCCACTACTGTAGCTGGCCGAATATTCCACTCAGCAAGTACGTCCACAAGCCCGATTTGAAGGGCCGTGCATAGAGGCTGCACAAACTCCGCTTTGCTGGTCCAGCATCCGGCTGTATTAGCAAGAGTATCTGAATCCTCTTCGTCAGCATCGTTCCTTACAGCTAAGGAGCAGCAAGGAACCGTCGTACCTATAATCGTCCACGATGGAGGGTCATCCAGTGCCATCAACGCCAGATCCATTCTTCTGATACTGCTGCGAAAGGAAGGAAAAATTTGCAGAAGCTCCGCTGCCATACCTGCCCACTGCGCGCCTTGCCCGTTGAAGACAAATACCAGGGATGGGTGCTTCGTAGGTGATCTGCGCGCATCAGACACGGCAGGCTGACCACCGTCGTCGCTGGTCACAAAGCCTCGATAGACCATGTGATCTCGACGGTTGCATAGTGTGTATGCGATATCAATTGTGGGTACTCGGCTGGTAGCAAGATATTCCTTCGTTGAGTCAAGTCGCGCCTTGAGTGATTCTGTGCTATCGGCAGAAAAAACATGGAGATATGAGCGTCCTTTGCTGGCTTTGTTCCTCTTTGGAGTCCGGACATAGGACGAAGCTGATTCGACAATGGCCTACCAGAATTAGAAAAGTCCCGAAAGCACCTAAGCCGACTGTTGGGTGTCTTACATGCGCGTTTACGGCCCCAATACCGAAGGAGTTGACGCTAACCCTTTCCATGCGGTTCACTGGCCAGGTTAGTGTTTTTGTGGGCACTTTTAGTCGAGCTTCCTCGAAGGGAACTGTATAGTCACACAAAGTGATGTCAGTAATCGTCATTGAATTAACAAGGAGTGTTTGGATGGTTTCATACTGCCTGGGTTGGGCGTGGAGAAATGGATGTTTGGCGGGATCTGTCGGTGCTCGAGAGCTAGCACAGCTTTGATCAGACCAGTGAGTCCCGAAGCAGCCTCGGAATGGCCGAGGTTCGGTTTGACCTAGATACCAACGATGTCAGTTGCAAACCTTGACTTTTTTGATCAAAAAAAAGAATATTACCGCGCCCAGAATGATCCCCTTTTGACCAAAAGCTTTGGCAATTCCCGCAGCCTCGGTTCGGTCTCCAATAGTGGTTCCTGTGCCATGAGCCTCGATATAGGCCGTCTGCGACAGGTCCGAAATCCCAGCCTGCTCATAGGCTTTTAGAATGAGCTCTGCTTGGGCCTCAGCGCTGGGAGTAGATAGTCCTGTTGTTTTTCCATCACTGTTTGTACTCGTTCCACGAATCACCCCGCGAATGGGATCATTGTCGCGAATGGCATCCTCTAGCTTCTTCACGTAGATAGCGTTGATTGCCTCGCCGCGAGCGTACCCATCTGCAGACGCGTCGAACGTCTTACACTTTCCATCTGGAGACAGTGCTCGTTCCTCGGTCATGGCAATGGTGTATGTTGGCGTGAGAAGAAGACTGGTACCTGCCACAATCGCGGACGAGCACCTCCCTGTTGCAATGGCACGTTGAGCCATATGGAGGCCGACAAGAGATGAGGAGCAGGCTGTTCGAACGGTGCAGCTTGTGCAGATATTACGTTAGCAACATAGCCTCTTCCACAGAGTTGGACACGATAGACATATGTAAAACTTACCTGGGTCCCCTGAGATCGTACTGGTAAGAAACTCGATTAGCGATAGCGAAATCGCCTGTGTCACCAACCCGACCCTGCCCCAGATTCTGATAATCCTTGCGGGTCATATCCAGCCAGTCTTCACCAGAGACTCCGACAAAACATCCAATGTCCTTTCCCTGCCATGCAACCTGACCTCCGCTCTCCATACATTCCCAGACCACCTTTAGTAAGAGTCGTTGCTGTGGGTCCATTCTGGCCAGCTCGACAGGAGAGATGTTGAAGAACTCCGCATCGAATTGGCTGATATCTTCATCCAAGCAATAGGCATACTTGCAACGCACAGATCCCCTTTGGCCCGACTCGCTATCGAACCCGTCGATGTTGTACCTGTCTGCAGGCAACTCCTTTCGAGCGCACCGCTTGTTCACGAGCAGATCCCAGAATTCAGAGTCGTTCTTGACTCCACCGGGAAGCCTCAGCCCAATCCCTACAATGGCTAGCGGGCAGGAAGTGGTCGTCTCGGTGACTCTGAGGCTTCCCAGTTTTGTCCGAAGGAACTGGTAGAGGGCAACAAGGTAAGAAATGAGTCTCACAATAACCACAATGAAGTCCATAATGCAAGATCTTGCCTCCGATAGAAGGATGAGAGCATGTATGTTTCTCTTCTTTCAGATGACGCGGTAGTCCTCTGTTTATATAACCAGTCAGGGACTCCGACCAACTACTAACGCCTAGTCTGCCACTAAAGAAATCCATTCTCCTGATCTTACTATACCAACACTGGCCAGTCATGTTAGCCAGAGACTAATTGATCATACAGCATAATTGGTACCACCCCAACCCTCTCATTCCGAGAGTTAAAAGCCTACGGATCTGCTAAAGGTCCGACGCATCTAGATGCAGATACAGCACATGATTCAGATGAGAGAGATTCGTAGATCATGGTATCAACAGATTCACCTGAACATAGTTGCTGTTGTGCAACCCCAGAACATCAGTACTTAACGAGTCATGGTAGGCTGCATTTGTATATAGACTTCAGCATGGCAACAGCCTCCGACATCAGATGCTCCCTCAACGTCTGCGACACCTGGTGTATGTATATTGCCGAGTATGTTGCACAATATTGAACTTTATATACGCTATGAGGGAGGGCTGGAAAACCAAGCGTCGTCTGACGGAAGGGCTGGTTGCCTGAATATGATGTGCGCTCCATGTAACTCCTCATAATCACCTAGTAAACGGCTCTATCGCAACTCGACAGCGAGGTCCTAGCTGCAAGCCAGGGTACTGTCAGTTGAGTATTACTCTAATGGTTACCCCGGCCTCCAAGTGCCAAAGAAGCATGCATTATACGGTGAGCATAAACTCTGCCTGTGTGTTATTTTGGCATGGATACCTTGGGTGGGACTGCTGCAACCGCCCGCCACGTAGTCTCATTTGAGCGGGTGCACTCATGCACGAGTGTATAAGGCGATCAGATCGCCAGGTGACAGGTCACACAAACTTTATAACCTGAAGAATTGCTTATATCACATCCCACAGTACACCGTATAACGCATCTGCTAGACAATAGCGTGAGTTATCTCGCTTGAACCATGTTCCCCAATTCGGCAAATCCAGCGCTCTCGAGTGAACTCAGAGATACAGTCTGTCGTTTTACGCGTGTTATGGAACACCCATACGAAATATTAATTTATCAAGTAGAAACAATTCATTTGGTTCTGTAGTCAGAGCGCCGATCTTACATATCGGCGTTCCGAGGCTTCCTCAGACCGGTCATGATGTTCTTCCTGCATGACTTTAGACAGTTCGGTCGCGTTATTGAACTTGCTCTTATGAGGAAGGATAATGGACAACATAAATTGAAGAGGTCATAATATTGAAAGAATTTTGTGGCCATAACGGATATACGCAGTATGGACGAAATGCGATAATGCGTACTTCCTGAGCAGAGATTAAATTCAGGGCTCAGGAACTTGAGATATCAGTGGACGCTGGTCGAGGAAGCAAGACCAATCGCACCAAATTGCGTACATTAATTATGACACCATGGACAACATGATGGATGCTAGACACCAAATGGTGGCATTCGGGAATCCGACACAAAGAGGTCAACTAGTTTACCGCCACAGCAGAGGCTTGATGAACTGCAACTTGTCCAGCGGACATATCCACGATCATCAGTTGTACGCTGGTAATCGCATGCAGTAGCTGGAGACATGGTCGTCGGGTAGGGTGATAACTCGATGGCAATCATGCTGTGGTGTAACGAGCCAGCTCCTCTCCAATGGCTTACGAATCCCTGTCTTGTTCGTCATATCGCGGTGATTCCAGTATCGGTACTCAGATTCATGGTGGGTGTTGATGGACTGTTGACTTGATCCCAAGGTTCAAGCCCTAGATCTGCATCTTGCTTGTACGAAGAAAATGGGATGAAGAATCTGACCAGATTTCAATTTTCAGATGAGAGCAGCGGCGCTTTGCGCGTCTAAGAGCCCTCTTCGTATCACTTTAAGCATGAACCCCAATAGCACGTGCGTTCAACATACAGGTTATCAGTTTGCATATGCAGCGCGCGGACAGGCAACACTCCGGCCAATTTCTGAGTATCGCTTACAAATTGATTCAGGGATGGGATTTTATCCATTTGCATAACTAACCATGAAATTCTAAATTATACCAACTGCGATCAAACTCTCATATGATAGCAACGGATGATCCTAGGTCAAGGCAACACGGCCATGCCCATCTCAGGTAGGATAGTTGATACAAATATTGATGCGGAGTGAAGAATAATCAAAGAAATATTAATCTTCTTTAACTTTGCCGGTGTGACCAGGGGTAGGGTTAAACCGACCAAAAGGCTGGAATCGCGACTCATGACGATTCTGAAAGAATGCTAGTTGGTAGCTTCGCTTCCCCATGAAAGATTATGTGGGACTACCGGTCCGTCTTTATTTCCCGGATTCTCGGCATCAAAATCTAAACGGTCGGGGATCCTCAAACCGGCTGGAAGATGGTAACGGACAAACCACACAGACACACCATCCTTGTACAGCCACGGGTCCTCGGTTTGGCGCTGCCACTTTTCCAATCGCAATCTGAGGTCATCAAGTACAGCGGCATACGCTGGATCCTTTGCCAGATTGTGAACCTCTCTTGGGTCCTCCTCCAGATCGTATAGTTCTTCCGGAGGGCGAAAGAAGTAGTCTTTCAGCTTCCGTCCGCCAACCAGGATATCTGTGTCGGTTGAATTGCGGATATCCTCCCAAGACAATGACCCATAGAGATCGGCGGCAAAGGGAAAATCTAAACGCCAGGCCAGATTCCGGTGGTATTTATACCGGCGATCGCGGATGAACCTTGTTGGCCAATAATTCGTCACTTCATGGAAAGTGTGCGATCCAAACGTCTGGTCGAAATCGGGTAACCTGGTGGAATCTCCAAGTATCGGTAGCAGGGATCGGCCGAGGCGCTTTTTCTCTGGATCTGTGACCTCGGGATGACCGACGAAGTCAAGAATGGTAGGAAGAATATCGACATAGGAGATCATGTTTGGGCTAACGGCTGGAGGTGTGCTTGGTTGCCTAATTATCAACGGGAGTCTAACCCCAGCATCATAGAGCGTTGTTTTGGAGTTGATGAAAGGCGGGCCATTATCGCTGATGAAGATGACGAGGGTGGAATCCTCCAGGCCGGTCTCCCTCAGAGCATCAAGCACAAATCCGACACCTTGGTCAACACGATGGATTGATTTGTAGTATTCGACTAGTTCAGAACGAGTACCGGGTGTATCATTGACAAAAGAGGGAATCGGAACGTCTTCGGGTTCAAGATGAATCTTGGTGATGCGAGGATCATAGTCATCAGTGTTCCCGAAACCACCTCGAGTTCGGTCGCGATGAGGATCATGATACCCAATGGTCAACGCAAATGGTCTGTTGCTGGCTTTTGCTTCCTCGAAAAACGATCTGGCTTGGTCGGCAATAACAGCAACATCGCGGGTGTCGCTCTCCTTGCGCAGTTGCCACGGATAAACAGCAGATGGTCCCACATGAATCTTGCCCAAGATTCCCGTCCAAAGGCCGACCTCATTTAATAGATGAGGTAGACTTTTCACATGGTCGAAGGTCACGAAGTGATGACGGTGGCTCGCTAGTCCATATTGCCCATTCTGATGAGTGTGAAGACCAGTGTAAATGACAGAGCGGCTACCGCTGCAGGATGCCGTACTCGCAAACGCGTAGTCAAATCTGGTTCCCTGCTCTGCAAGCCGGTCAAGGTTTGGCGTTTGGATGGTATTGTCTCCGTAGCAGCTGAGCTGTTTTCCGAGATCATCCGCGATCAATAAAAGCACGTTCTTCTGATTTGCCATTGTTGTGAAGAAAGAAAACTCGAGAACAGCTATACAACAGTTTTATCTTTCATGGCAAACATGAAATGAGTAGGAAATCGAAATTAATGAAGAGCAAAGGGAGTTCTGTGGGAAGTTGTCGAAGATCGCTTTTGACCCCGCTTAGGGTCACCTATCATTTCATGGGCGGATAATGCAATAACTCACACATACTAGCAGATAGCACCAAGCTACTGCATATTCCACCTATAGGAATAGCTTTGCTGCAAGGATCTCGGGTAATTGGGGGTTGGGTTCAACCTGCTGCATCAACGCAATTCCGTCAGCAGATGATGTGCTTGCCGGGTAGACAGTCACCATGGCGGCCTTATCAACCCAAGTCTTCTTCTATTATGGACTCGTATTCCGACATATTAATATAAATTAATCACGCCATGTACTCAGTCATATCAATATATTATTTTCATGTTGCAATGCGCCCTTAAATTAGGAAATCCTGAAGAACTTGAGCTAGTCGCAGGTGCCTGACAGAATCCATCTTTGATAGACTCTGTTCTGTGATAGATTTGGTCCTTGCAGAAAGTAATAATCACGTACTTGGACAGATGCATGATTTCAAGCCTATAAACAAGAATCATATAAATAATGGGTTTGAGTTTCGAACAATCTACGCAGAAAAATTTCTTCATCTGAATTATATATTTTTTGAACATATACTGGTAGCGTCGCCACGAGAGCATAGTATTCTCAATGCGTTCCATTTTATTTATACTATTTTCTGTGTTCGCAGGACTCGCAGCCGGCCAACTGATTGGCCCAGTCGGTCCGACAACCCAGCTCGAAGACAAGGATATTGAGTGCAATATTTTGGACTATGGTGGCGTTGCTGATAATGAGACCGATGTCGCAACTTCCATCGAGACCACGTTCACCGAATGTGTGCTAAACAACCCCAAAAGTCGTCTTGTTATCCCCGAGGGCGACTATTTGATCAAGCGCAGTGTTGTTTTGAGTAATGGAACCAATTGGGCTTTCCAGCTTGACGGTCTGATCACCGCGGCATATGGTGGAAATTGGACAGTCGACCGTGAGTTGATACTCCAAGGGTTTGCGGGAGAGCAAATAATAAACTCTACCATCAACGGCGAGGGTGACGGAAAATTCTTACTAGATGTGCTCGTCATTGTGAACGGTATGACTGCTTAATCTTCATCCCGATGACAGATTACTAAATCCATCCCATTCAATGTGTGCAGCTGTCGATTTCGAATTCTATTCGTCCAACGGGCTTGGCGCATTTCAAGGCCAAGGATATATCTATCGAAATCTGGCCAAGTGAGTTGTTTGAAATCCTATTTCTGCACACAGCTGACGAGCCTTCAAAGCACCGATCGCCCTCGACTTGTGAGATTAATTTCGCCCACAAATGCTTCTGTGCATGATTTGATCCTTGTGGATAGCCCCAAGTTTCACATCGTGTTTGATTTTGCTGTGAACCTGGAGGCGTACCACCTTACTATCCGTGGTGCTAACCTAGGAAGCTATGATGGCATTGACGCCATTGGCACCAACTATTACATCCACGATAACGAGGCAAGTAGATAGACCATAAATTCGCAATCTAGCAGTGGCTAACAATAAGACCGATGGTAGGTCACGAATCGTGATGAGTGTGTCTCCGTGAAAAGCCCGTCCCATCATGCCTTAGTCGAGAATCTGGTTTGCAATCAGGCAGGATCTGGTGTTTCAATTGGCAGTCTTAACGTATCTGCGGAAATATCTAACATTGTGAGTCCCATCAGCTGATTTGTTCGTGACAGGTCTTGGAAACCTACTAACATGAACCAGGAAGCTCGCAATATCAGCATTATCCAGGGCAACAACATCGCCTTTATCAAAACGTATCCTGGAGGGTCTGGTTACGTCAAAGACGTCACCTTCGAAAATTTCCGCTCTTTGAACAGCCTGTACGGATTGGACATCAACCAATACTGGCAAAACACATGGGAGCCTGATACCGGTTCCGTGACATTGAGCAACCTTGTCTTCAAGAACTTCTCAGGTAATCTCGGCTCGTGTATCCAGTGAATGCAGCCCTCGTACTGATGCACAAACATAGGATCGGTTGCCGATGGAGCACTCCGCCCGCCATTGTATCTGTTTGCAAGTGACTTGACATTTGCAACGAACGTCACCGTGGAGGAATTCTCTGTCTGGACTGAGACTGGTACAACAGTCGTCAACAAGATCAGCAATATCTTCGGCACTGGGGATGATAGCTATGGAGAGAATGATGGCATTGAGAGCCTCCAATCTGGAGAGTCGCCGTATACGTATACTAGCACCTATACTATTACGGCTTCTCCCACCAATTGGCAAGCTCCATCAACCCCAACCTGGGCTTTACCGAGCACTGGATATGGAAGTAAGTTCAACGAGAATTGTTCTGGTTATTTTTACATAGCTAACTTATCTACAGCTGCGTCACCTATTCCAGTCTATACTCCCGCACCTCTTTGGCGCCCTGGTGGAATTGACTATAACCTCCATTATTGGGGAAGCTTTTAGTTACGAACCCTGCAATACTACGTTTAGAAATGGGTTGGGATGGGATGGGAGATTATGTAGATAGAATGAGTTTGATAAAGCTCCAGAGATTGATTGTAAGGTAGAAATGAGCGAATCCTCGCTCTCGCCAACAGCAAAAAGCTGCCTGACATAGCCCAAATAAGAAAATATATTTATCGCATTGCAGTCCCGCTTTCACGAGCATATATAGCATCTTCGCACATGCTTCTATAGCCCCACACCAGCATTGCCAAGGAAAATCGAATGACAGGATGGCTGTAATGGAGACATCTGTTCATGCCAGAAAAACTACTGGTTCCGTTAGAACATATCTCAAGCACTAGCAATTTCCCACCAATCCAGAGATATGACACCGAACAGGGCCTCGACTGTCGGTAAATTAAGCAAGGAGGGGCATTGATAGATTCCAGGGTCTTGGGTGCGCTATGATTGGAGTAGCCCTAGCTTGTGTCATCCGCGCTTACATGACGACGATGGTCAGCAGCAACATATCGCGGTCAATATGCGCCAACTCAGAGTTAAGCAAGTTGAAAAGCAGCTAGTTGCTGTCATCTTTCAATTAATATAATTTTACTATCATGTTATTAGCATCTTATCACTGAGAACTGCTACTATAGTATGTTTGGTCGTTCTATGATAGCGCAAATGCCCATCACCTCATCATCCTCGCCGATCACGCATCCCCGGGCTCTAGCTCCAGGGAGCTACTTCCCTATGTACGCATCGCATGTATATAATTCCAACCTAGCCAAAGTGTATTTACCGTCAGCAAGCCAGATTATCTTGTTCGGGCCTGGATTGGCTGTTATATCCTCTTGACCTTGTCCGGTATACAGATCGCTCCGACTATGGAGCGAAATCCCTCCAAAGCTGCGTCTTCACTGGATCGCGATCAAGTCGAAAGAAGCCAAGACCTGAAAGATGGGAGCTACGTGAACCTTGCCGAGCCAGAGGATTCCCCTGGCTCTGATGCAGTCCTTTCTTCTCTCTTCCGTCGATCCAAGAAGCACGACCCTGACGCTATAGCGACCACTAGGAGTGTATTCGATGACCCTTCACTTGCACCATTTTACCAGCCTCATCCAAAGTATGAGAATCTTCATCGCTTCGACCCCAGCGCACGATGGACGTACCGCGAGGAAACGAAAGTTCGACGTAAGACAGACTGGTCAATTCTTCTTTGGATCCTAGTTATGTTCTTTGGGTTGAACCTCGATCGAGGAAACCTGAGCAACGCCAACTCGGATAATCTTCTCGGCGATCTGAACCTAACCACCAATGACTACAACAATGCACAAAACATGTACCGGGTGGGTTTTCTGATTGCAGAAATCCCGTCGCAGATGCTTGGAAAAGCAATCGGTCCTGATCGGTGGATTCCGGTTCAAATCATCTTGTGGAGTTTTGCGTCTGGAGGACAATTCTTCATGCACAATCGTGCAGGATTCTTTGCTTGTCGCTTCTTCATAGGGCTGTTCATGGGTGGCTTCATTCCTGATTCCATCTTGTACTTGTCTTATTTTTATACGAAGGCGGAGATGCCGTTCCGCCTGGCACTGTTCTGGTTCACTGATTCGATATCTGGTGTCATTGCATCATTCATTGCGTACGGTGTCTTGCACATGCGCGGCGTGGACGGAAGGGAGGGATGGAGATGGCTTTTCCTAATCGAAGCGCTGATCAGTTTTGTGATTGGCTGTCTAAGCTTCTTGTTTCTGGTCCCTGGACCCACTCAGACCAGAACGTGGTGGAACCCCAAAGGAATCTTCTCAGAAAGAGAGGAGACGATTATCGTTAACAGAGTGCTGCGAGATGATCCATCCAAAGGTGACATGCATAATCGACAAGCACTGTCCCTGGGGATGTTATGGAAGAGTCTCAAAGACTATGACCTCTGGCCGATATATATCATCGGGATCATGTTCGAAATCCCGACTTCGCCACCAAAGTCTTATTTGACCTTGTCGCTGAAGGCAATCGGCTTTTCCACATTCCAAACGACCCTCTTGTCCATTCCCGTGACCGTCTTCGCCGCTATCAATCTTGTCCTCGTCGCGCTCTTATCTGAGTTCTGGGGACAAATCTCAATTGTGTGCCTTCTAACACAGTTGTGGTCGCTTCCACTCCTCATTGTACTCTACACATCTGCCGGAAGCCTCTCCAACTGGGGGCTATATGCCGTCTCGTTCATCTTACTGGGCTGGCCGAATCCTCAAGCTGCCCAGGTGAGTTGGTGTTCGCGATTAAGCAACAGTGTGAGAACCAGAGCAGTCAGTGCAGCAATTTTCAATATTATGATTCAGCTTTCTGGAATTGCGTCCTCCAACATTTACCGGTCGGATGACAAACCTCTCTACCGCCGAGGAAATAGACAACTGATCGCGATCAATGTTGCCACTATTGTCATGTACGCGTTGGCGAAGTTTTATTATGTCTCTCGGAATCGGTGGAAGAAAGCTCAATGGGACAAGATGACGGCTCAGGAGAAGGCTACTTACTTAGAGACAACGACGGATGAGGGGAACAAGCGGCTTGACTTTTATTTCGACAGTTGAAAGGGTGTCATGCTGCTCGGATAATGCGCGGTTTTGTAGGGGACGTGCTTGTCAAAAGATTTCGTGGTCAGTAGCGGACGGCACTAGTGAAAAGCAGACTGTTTATAAACAGGACAAGCAATCAATATAGGGACTAATCATAAATTTAACTATCCGTGCATCAGTGGAAGGATAGTGAACGAAGCAGGTTGTTTGGAATTAAAGATCATATTTATCCAGGGCTCAGTAGAATTTGTTGTTCGCACTCTCGACTACCATACACAATCGGAGATATGTAGGGTAGCATCTTAATCGAAACAGCAGATGTCAGACGTGAGGTCAAGGACCATATATTAATATTGAACAAAATGAATCCAATTTCACTCTGTCTCAGAAAAAGATTTTCGTAGGGCTTATCACTTTAAAGTCCGCAGTGGATAATTAAACTCTAAGTTGGGCAGAAACGAAAACGAAAACGAACCAAAATAGAAACAGGGTCCTGCGGCTTAAACGAATATACGAGCGGACCCTCACGAATGTACCCGGTACCATCAATGAAAAGGTCACCAAAACTTCAAGATAGGATCCATATATCCAATGAATGTCTGAGCAGAAGGTAGTAAGTGTTCCAAATATTCTGGTCCAGTCGACTTTTGGACCCCGAATAAAACACTTCGTTCCTTGGGCGAACAGTGCTCAGGCCTTACCCTAGAAATGTACTCTGTAGCCCCATAGTATCATCATATACACAACGAATTTTGCGTCGCACAACCTTTCCTCAGCCTCACCTGTGCGGGTCCACTACCTGTTAGGCTATTGTCTGAAGCCCCATGATACTATAGAGAGATAGTATAAGTACCAGCTTCATAGAAAGAATTTTCTCCTTCTTGTGCTTTAGAGACTTTCCAGGCCCCTATTCACTCACTACCGTTAATATTTTCCTCCACGCTCTTTTTGTTCTTATATGTCTTTTGTTGCTTGCTGTTGCTTTCCGTTCACTCCAAAAATGCTGGGCGCCAGGGATTCCGCCAGTTATGACTTCGCATTCTATCGCTATGACCCCAGTATGGGTGGCGCCGTTCTTTTCATCCTCCTGTTCATCGGCACAACAGGGTATCATGTCTTCCAAATGGTCAAGTCTCGCACATGGTTCTTCATCCCATTTGTGATCGGAGGTATATGTATGAGCACCTTCCAATGTGCGTGAGTGTTGAACCATCATGCTAATTTTCCTAGTCGAGATTATCGGATATATCGGACGTGCCATGTCTAGCAAGCAAAGTCCAAATTGGACGCTCGGACCCTACATCGTGCAGACGCTCTTTCTTTTACTCGCCCCAGCTCTCCTCGCAGCCTCCATATACATGCTACTCGGTCGGATTATCCTTGTGTTACAAGCCGAATCACACGCTCTCTTGAAGAAGAAATGGTTAACCAAGATATTTGTCACGGGTGATGTCCTTTCATTTTTATTGCAGGGAGCGGGTACGTATCGCATAAGGCAACCCCATATTACCAAATAGTTCTCTGACCCTGACCAGGTGGCGGCATTCAGGCCAGTGGAAGCCTGGCCGGCATGAAGAATGGCGAGCACATCATCGTCGTTGGTCTCGTGATCCAAATATTCTTCTTCGCATTCTTTATGGTCACTGCGACGCACTTTTACTTGAAGGTCCATAAATATCCCTTCCCGCGATCTTGTTCTCCACATATTCCTTGGAAGAAACACATGAAGGTACTCTATGCGACGAGCATATTGATCATGGTTCGATCCATGTTTCGATTGATTGAGTATATTCAGGGGAACAATGGGTACCTCTTACACCATGAAGCCTTTCTCTACATATTTGATGCATTGTTGATGTTTATCACCATGATAATATTCAATGCTGTCCATCCGCAAGAAATCGGTCAACTACTCCGTCATCCAAATGACTATAGTATGGCGACTCTTCCAGAAGAGCAGGCTCCGAATCCTTACCAAGGCTGCAATAATGTGTGAGGAAGTTGTAGCATTCTTGCTACTTTGGTTCGTCATCCTATGTGTTACCGTCCGCAATACATCCGTTACGTTTGTGTTCTTCTTCTTTCCCGGCCCAACTATTGATTTTGGGCTCTATCTACATTAAATAAGATCCGAGATTCATCGAGGATGAACAGGCCTTTCCAGTTTATTGGGCTTGAGTCATGGAGCCTAATTCCGATCACGTGTGTTTTAGGTCGTGGCTCATGCAATCAGAAACGATACAATAATGAGAATATGTGCGAGTTGGCTATGTACCATCCATTTTATTGTCGCTTCAGGATGGTGGGACTAAGCTATCCTGATGGGATCAGTCAAGGCGGGTACTTCAACACGAGACTAGGAAGTAGTACACAATAGGGCTGCCTCTCAGCGAAAACCCCAAAACCAAACATTTCTAGATCAGACAATCAATTGCGGACTGAGTTCCCTGAATGGTGGAAGATGCCATACTGTTAGCGGGGACTATTTTTAGCATGTCATGACTTGGTCGGCGTCCGTACATAGAAGGTTAGCGGATGTCTTGATGATCACACAAAAAAGGGATAGGATGAAACTGGATGTCTCACTGGCTATCTCATTTGCCCAACAGCATCAGTCGTTCCGGCCCGCTAGTTCCACCACATGTCACTTGTCTCGGATTATTCTCGAAGGTCTGGTATTTCAATGTTCCACCTGGTCGCTCTACATAAATAGACCTTTACGCCGTTTTGTTTTCTTCTTCGTTCTACGTCGTTTATTTATCCAAAATGGCTTCCAAGACCCTCCTACTCATTCCGGCACTGGCCACAGCCGCTCTGGGAAGTGTATTGGACCTAGATATCAAGGTTCAAAATGGCTATGTATGTCAATGAGAAGCTCAGCTCCCTGAGAAATATCTACTAACTCGGCGAAGAGGACTATCGAGGTAGACCTTGGAACCCCAGGTGGCCCGTTTGATTTGATGTACGACACCGGATCATCAACACTCTGGGTGCTTGATAGCAATTGTACAGATGATTGTCCAAATGTTAGCGGGTTAGTTGATTCATCCCACCATTCCTTAAGCCTACACTAATCACGAGCGCCAGGTACTCCCGACACGGCTACAACCTCACCTCTACTGGTGTCAACTTAGGTGTCAACGACAGCATTGCTTACAGCGGAGGCACTGTCAGCGGCTTCACTGCCACGGATATTCTCACGGTTCCCGACACCAACGTCTCATATCGCCAGAGCTTTGCCGTCATTACCGACAGTACCTGGGCGGCCTTAGCAGCCGATGGGTTCATCGGCCTGGCATCGTCTACCATCGCATTCAAGAATACTACGACAGCCGTCGAACAGATGATGCAGGATGGACTTTTGGATGAACCTCGATTCGCCATATATGCAGGTTCAGGGGAATCGACCGTGACCAACCCTAATCCGGAGAATAATGGCGTGTTCACCTTTGGTGGCAGCCATGAGGAAACCTATGCGGACGGGGAACTGCAATGGATGAAGATGCTCTCCCCCTTTGAAATATACAAAACAAATCTCCTTGGAATTCAGGGACACAACAACTCCGATGGCCAGGCCCTGTCAAGCGACGTCCTGAACTGGTACGGCCAGGTTATTTTCGATACCGGTAGGCATTTTCTACCACACTGTTTTCTTTAGCTTGCTAGACTAATCTATTCAACGTCGCAGGTGCTTCATCGATAAGCATTCCCAACGACCAGATTGAGGCGATGTATGCCCTAACGCCTTTCTCATACGCTGACATCTCATCTGGATACCGACCTCTGTGCTCCGATTTCAATGATACATGGTCGATCTCTTTTACAATGGGCTTCTATGGCGAGGGTGTCACCTTCAATTTGACCGGTGATCAGCTGGCCGTGCCTGGCTATCAGGACGACGACCACTGCTTCCCTCCCTTCAATCCATGGGACAGCTACAACACGATTATTGGTCAGCATTGGTTGAGCAATTTCTATGCTGTATTCGACTTCGGATCATTCGACCCGGAGACATACGATATACGTGTTGGGCTGGCTCCTTTGAAGAAGGAATACCTGCCGAGCGCTTGACCTAAGAACTTCTATTCGTGTCTTTGAGCATTTAGTTCAAACCTCTTGCTCGGACGTCAATGTTTAAGCATGCGTAAAACTATCTACTAGAAGTTAATGTTCATCGAGAGTTCATCGTTTAAATAAGCAGCTTATCTTCATTCTTTACAGCCACTATACGCGACATGACAATTGTTTTATGGGTCGGTGCGATAAAGTGGCCATCTAAAGGCAATAGCAATTAAAATAAGCCAGGAGATGGAACATGAAAGAATCTTACTCTTTGTCATGGCCTCATGCAACTTTGGTGCGGGCTGTCGGTGACCCTGTGGGGCACATCTCCGGGGAGTGGAGGCCGTTAAGCTTCGGACAACATTATTTCTTCAGCTCAACCATGAAAAGGTTCGGGGACCTGCATGCATCCCCCAAGCCCGCAAGTCCGCGTCATCAACAAATATTGCGAAGAAATGGTACGCTTTAGAGCCATGCGGGCTATATTTTCGGTTCTATAGATTGTTAGATATAATTATTGCTTGTCGAACCCAGATGCAGCATTGATCTGTTATAATCCTCATATTCCGCGAGTCACTTGATTCCGTGATCAAGATTTCTCAGATTTCAGAATGGGGCCAATTTCGTCTCTCCTCGTCTCACCGGCCGAGCTACATCACTTACTTAAAGCTGCCTCAACTGCATTCCGAATTGTCCCTGTCGCAGCGGGAAACCACTCCACGCTTCCATCCTTCGAATCTCGTCATGTACCCAACTCTGTGTAAGCCAATCCTCCACCTACTCTGTCCGTTTGACCTCCATCTGATTACAATCAAACAAAAGGTTCTTCAACATGGATGCAGTCAAAGACACCAACTCACCCTACCCGATGATGCTGCCCTCTTCAGCCCAGTTTGCAACGTACATGGCAGAGCGTGGCATCCGCCGGGATGACGTTCTAGTCATCTACGACACCTTCGAGACGGGTCTCCGCTTGTCTCCCCGTGTCGCATGGACCTGTCAGCACTTCGGACACAAGAATGTTCACGTATTGAACAATTTTGCCAACTACGTAAAAGAGGGGTTTCCCGTCGCTTCCGGGCAGATGCGGACGCCAGTGTCTTCGACAACTAGCGAGATGGATGAAGCTACCAGCATTGATCCGGACCCCGAGGCAGACAACGTGATTACCTTCGAGCACTTACGTTGTATGGTTAAGGACCCATCGCAGAAAGGAAAATTTCAGATCATCGATGCCAGACCAAATGACTTGTTTTCTGGACGTGCTGCAGCCAACGGCGCGAGTGCTTCTGTGAGATTGGGACATATGCCATCTGCTATCAATGTTCCTTTTGATTCCGTTCTTGGTCTAGACAAAACATTCCTTCCTCCGGCAGAGCTAAGGGACCAGTTCGTGAAATGGAGAGGAAGAGAAGACGTGCCGGCTGTGTTGACCTGTAATAGCGGTGTTACTGCTGCAGTGGTAGATCTGGCGCTGCGGGTGGCTGGCCTGAATGTGAAGACGAGCCTTTATGATGGGAGTTGGAGTGAGTGGGCTGATCGAGTGGATGAAGATGGTTTGATTGTTATATAAATTCGAGATTTCCTACAGCTCTCAATTTTTTTTATGCACTTGATCGTTATAGAGATATCTAAGGATACCAAGGCCTGAGGATCATATTATCTTCCTCATTCAACGGCCATGCTATTTTGGTTACAGTGGGTCTACCTCGATGATTAGTCTCCGCGGGACGGCAACCCCGACAATCGCCGACAAAAATCTGTGGAGCCATCCAGATTGACAATCTAGCTCAAAGCCATAGTGTTACTTAAACTGTGTTCCATTGGTCATTCCGTCGAAGGTCAAGCGCGATCGGGGAGCGGAGATGATATCTATAGGCGGGTGAGAAAGCGTTCGTCCATCGTGCAATTACCCACTGAGTGTGTAGGAAATGCTGCGTATGTTAAGTTAAGCGGTTTTGCTGACAGCCACCTTGACTACCCATCTATAGAAGATTATCAAGCCCTACAGGCTCGTGGGTACAGTACTCGCTAGATCGGGTTTCGGGGACCATTTCCACGGCGCGGGAAGTCATGGTGGTTCCGTCGATTAGTGTTCACTGTCGCCGTCTTGTTCGCCACCAACACCGGGGTTCTGCGGTGAAGGGTATACATGGAACTACTAATGTTATCTTAAGGTAGTGAGCATCTCAGTAGTCGGAATTGTCGTACTTGCCCCATTGAAGGTCCTACTCGGACATAGTTTGTCTCTGGCCTGCTTCAGGGGTCAGCAAAACTTTGATAACCGTTTTCTAATCTGCTGTTCAGTCGCCAAATCTCTCAGAAGCATAAGCATGCAAAGCTTCATAGTAAACATTATCCCATGGTACTTAAGTGGGTAATAGTAAACGTTCTGGCTGTGATTAGTGCTAGCTCGGTGACACCATGGACCCCTATCCCGATCTAAACCAAACTACCGAGTCACCGCATGCAAGTAAACCCCGAACAACTATTATTCATCATACGGTTTGCTGGCCACGCTGAAGCGATAAAATAGAGAGAGAATCGTTTTCGTAAGCTTCGACGCTAACAACAAACATACCACACCAAGAACATACACAGCATCATCATGGCTCAAGAACCCACGATTCATTCCCAGTTCGAACCCAACACGGGCACCTGGCAATACATAGTAGCCGACCCATCAACATCAAAAGCCGTCATCATCGACCCAGTACTCGACTACGACTCCGCTACTCAGGTTATAAGCACGTCCACTGCTGACAGCTTACTTGTTGGAATCGAAGAAAAGAACTACAGCATCTCCTATATTCTTGAAACACATGCGCACGCCGACCACTTGACTGCAGCATCGTACCTGGCATCCCGCATCAGCCAGAAACAAGGATTCCGACCGTCCATCGGTATCGGAAAGCACATCACACAAGTGCAACAACTCTTTGGCAGCCGGTTTCAAATTCCCGCTGAGGAGTACGAAGGAGTCTTCGACAAGCTCTGGGAAGATGGCGAGACATTTAAAGTCGGGTCGTTGACAGCTACGGCCATGCATCTACCCGGCCATACTCCTGATCATTTGGGATACAAGATTGGAGGTTCGTCCTTCCGCTATCATGGCTCTCTTTAGATAAGTATAGGCGAAATCATGCTAACATTTGGTGCACAGATAATGTCTTCTGCGGCGACTCTCTCTTCCATGCCGACATTGGTACTGCCCGCTGCGACTTTCCCAACGGCAGCGCTCAAAGCCTCTACCACTCCGTCCAGAAACTCCTTAGCCTGCCAAATCACGTCAGAATCTGGACAGGCCATGATTACCCCAACGCAAACCGGACTGAGCCTGTGCCGTGGCTGACTGTCCGCGACCATCGAACGCGCAACAAGCATGTCAACGATGATGTTACCGAGGAGCAGTTCTTGGCTTTGCGGCAGGAGCGTGATGCTACCCTCCGTCAGCCAAAGTTGTTGAATCCGTCATTGCAGGTGAATATCCGTGCTGGAAGGCTGCCGAGAAAGACGGAGTCTGGAATGCGAATGTTACATTTGCCGTTGAAGGTAGATGGAGAGGAATGGTGATGAAGATGGGGAGATCTTTGTTCATCATTATTATTCTACCTTAATAGTGTGCCATCTTTCTTAAATTGTTCGAATAATACATTCTAAATGAATATTTATTGTAATCAAGCACGTTCAAGCCATAAATGACAGTACAATACTCATGCTACTTACCTATGCTGTAATTCATGTGTTCAATCCACTGATTCGGGTGGAAAGTTGTCGCCGCCTCCCACTCAGGAATTCAGTAAATGTAAGGTTTACAGTTAAGAATATCCTCTAACTCAGAATAATTCTTCGCATCTCCCAGAACTTAGAATGGGGTTGGTGGCCGACGACCCCTTTTGCTACCTGTATGGGTCATAGACGCCGAATGCCCGAACTTTATCCGAGACGGCGAATGCCAATCGCCGATCTCAAAACTGTTTTATGCATCATGACAAAATTCGGTATTCATTATCGGCCGATTGTAGAATCCTGCTTCTAGAACATATTAGAGTTAGTGTTCCTGGCATACCGTGAACTCACTCCCAATCCCACAGCTAGTGCCCATAGACCTACCCCATGTCTCCCAGTCAATGAACAACTATCTATCCGCCTCACATCCAACAACCACAATGTTAATACCGAACACCAAATCACGTACACAACTTCCGACATCAAACACCTCACACCCACCCTCACAACCATACAAAAACAACCTCCCCCTCCCCGCCGTCCACAGCTCACCCACCCAGACCCTCACACGCCAATGCACCGGATATCTAACCGAACAAATCCGCGAAGACCTAACTCTCGAATCGCAACTCCTCCTCCTCTCCTTCGCCATTGGCATCCAAGATGCCGCCGCGTGGAAAGACTACGGCTGCTTCGCCTCCAACCAAACAGGCAACATGCTCTTCCTGGCTATCGGCGGTGCCGGACTTGCCAGCAACGACGATTTTGATTTCACCTACGTGGGGATGAGTCTGGGGTCTTTTGTGGCCGGTGGGCTGGTAATGGGCCAATTCGCTAATTATCTGGGCGTGGTACGCATGCGCTGGTGGTTACTTTTCTCGAGTCTGTTGCAGACGGTGATGGTATTTGCCGCAGCGGCGATTATGGCGTATACAAACCCGGTGAAGCAGCAGACTACTAATGATCCACCGGCGCTGGTGACGTTGTTTTTATTGGCGTTTTCATCCGGTGCACAGGTTTCTATGGGGAGAGCGTTGAAGGTTACGGATATTACGACGGCTATGGCGACGGCGGCGTATATTGATGTGGTTATTGATCCTGGTTTGTTTCGGGCAAGGAATCGGATGCGGAATCGTAGGGTTTTATTTTTGGTTATGTTGACGGCGGGGTGTTTTGCTGGTGCGGGCGTGGAGAAGTCGGCTGGGTCGTGTGCTACGTTGATTATGTGTGGGTGTTTGAAGGTTCTGGTTACTGTGTTATTCTTTTTTACGCCAAGAATGAAGGTGGGGGTCTGAGGTTTTGTGGATAGAGATTGTGTTAAAGGTATTTCTTGGGCGTTGATAAAATATATTATGTTGGAACGTAATCTCAGTAGATTACTAGTAGTCGAGGTCACGTGACCCGAACTCCGTAACTTCAACTGCTCCTCCGAGCGCGCCTAGATAGCGAAGAATCAAGCGTTTTCAACGACTTCAGTATTGACCTAAAACGTCGTTTCAACAGGTTATGAGCCCGGCTCTTCGCTCGTGAGGCTAACCAGCAAAGATCTGAGCCACCATACACACGAAGCAAGCCGCAATTGCAACGGGGACACGCACCGCGATACCCCTATCTCAAAACACCAAAACACCGCGAATATCAAAATATTCAACCGCCGGAAGCAGACCCCAGAATGTCGCAACCAGGCAGATACCACTCTTTACAACATGTCTCGAATACAGAGGCAGTAGCCATACAACCAAAGACACAAGCAGATAGGCTTCCAGTAAAGCTACCAGAAGGCGTTCAACCCGTATCTGAAAGGTTGAAAGGGCGAGAAGACTACTCAACGTGGCGCTTTGAAATATGTCAAATCCTGAAGAACGTCGGTCTACAAGACATGATCGACAAGGGTCTATCCCATCCTAGTACAAACCACACGAATTACTGGCTATGGCACCACCTGTCAATCAACATCCAGTCCTGGCTAGCTAGCCAGCTGTCAGACCCCCTAAAGAGGGCACTGATGACGTCCCCTGACGCGCACGACTACGCGGACGATGCCTACGAAGTCATCAAATCACTCGTCCTAGGCCACGGCCACACGCTTTGCCAAACAACGTACTTCGACCTCATCCACAAACGCCGATCCGACTACTCTACCGTTGAACAATACGTGGAGGCGTTCAAACACGCATACAACTTCGCTAAAGAGTTGAAAGTCGGGATATCACCATACTGCGGGTTGCTACACCTGCTCAAAGAGCTGGAATCCGACCTTCCAACGTGGGTGTCAACAGTGGAGTGCAATTTGCCTGATAATGCTGCGGACACCCTCCAGGAGAAAGAGTTTCTAGTTTACTGCAGGACCGCAATCGAACAAGGTAATAAACAAATGCAAAGATATTCTTTCGCTGCGCCAGCGAAGAACACTGGAAGCACCACCAAGTCGGGAAGCACTGCAACGACCTCAGAGTGGAAGAAATCAACATTCCCACCGAAAGGAACGACCCCTGAGGAACACGCTAGAAAGATGCGAAACTTGAAGCCAGAGATGACTAAGGGACGCTGCGCTTTCTGTAAGACACTAGGCCATGGAGCAACCACCTGCTGGCGCTTGAATCCTGACCTCCGGCCAGAGGATTATAGGCCTCGTATAGAAGGCATCTGGTGGTTCAAAGGATCGAAGCCTAGCGAAGCATCAAATGCAGCGGTAGGCGAAATAGGATCCGATGACGAAAACCCGTATATTTTGAATTTTTCTGGCCTAGCCGTTGCAAACGCCACGAACACCTCGCTACGCTGGATATATGATACAGGCAGCTCACAGCATCTAACACCTGACTGCGCTTCCCTAAGCGGTCTCCACCAATTGAAACCCCACGAATACTACCAATATGGCACCTCGAACGGGGGAATCGGTGTTGCAAAATCGGCAGGGTATCTGACCCTGACCCTAGCTGCAAACGGCCAAAATACGGTGTTGAAGATCAAGGCCTACCACCAACCGGACCTACCCTACGGGCTCCTTTCTTCCAACCGCCTACGTACAGACCTTGGCATCTACGCTACCACTAAGGACCTGACCCTACGCAGGGACCGGGATGACAAGATCGTCGGCCACCTGCAGGCATCGAAAAACGTGCTTTTCGTCAGGACAAAAGACCCTGACCTAGCGCTAGCGGCAGTGGACCCCCTACTCTTGCACCGGCGATACGGGCACGCAGGATTCCGCCGAATCGCTACCACTGCAAAGGATCATCAAATTGAACTCGAACACAGGGACACCCTAGAGTGCGAAGCATGCTCGCTAGGCAAGGCCACACGCCTCGTTTCAAGGGACCCAATCCCAAAGACTAATGATCCAACACAGCTCTGGCATGCAGACATCCAAAAGGTGACCCCGATTGGTCATGGCGGATTCAACTACTTTCTACTCATGGTCAACAACGCTACTCGCTTAGTGAGGACGGCCATGCTTAAACACAAAGATGACGCCTCCGACGAGCTGATCAGGATGAATATGGAACACAAGAATATGGTCGGCCGATACGTGGCCACCTGGCACCTAGATGGTGGCCGCGAGTTCAACCGCTTTAGGAAATGGGCGAATCATGCAGAGCGAGGCATTCAAATCAAAATATCACCTCCTCGAACACCCGAAGCCAACGGCCTAGCTGAACGATACGGCGGCTTGCTCAACCGAATGAGCAGGGTCATGATACTAGATGCTGGCCTCCCTGCTCACCTCTGGCCGTACGCTGTACGCCTCTCAGCGCAGATCCTGAATCGCCTCGTCCCCTACCACAGCGCTGTCAGGAAGACCCCCGTGTTCCTATACAGATCCCACTACAACCTCCCGAATCCTAACGCGTCACTAGACTTCCTACGCGTATTCGGATGTCGTGCCTACCAACACATCCCGCAGGAAGATCGAGTCGCATCCCAGAAAATGGGACCTCGTGCAAAAGTCGGATACTTCGTCGGTTTCGATGGGGACAACGGACACGTTTACTACGTGTGGGATCCTATATCTGATAAAATTAAACGATCACGAGACGTTAAATTCAACGAAGATCGAACCTACAAGGATGACAAGGAGGATCCCGGTGGAGTTCCTACACGCGAACCTGACCCTAAAGGACCAACACCAGCTGGCCCAGGTGCCGCGCTCAAGTTAGACAACGCGTTCCTGCACCAAACAACCAATATATCAGATAACACGAGGGCCCTGATTGAGCAACCGGACCCTGAAGAAGACGTCATCCGAGGCAGAATCCACACCATATCTGCCTCCGCAGAGCCTCCACCTACACGCTCGATCGAGAATGCCACAGAATACGAGGCATCCTCAACGAAATACGCCGCGCAGGACTACCGCCTGCCGGACCCTACTGAGCCAGAAGAACAACCCATACTGAGGCGCTCCGCAAGGACCACTAAAGGCAAATCATCAACATGGCCAGATTACCAACAACTGGCCACGGTTGACCGGGTGACCCTACCCCACCTCAAACAACACGAAGTGGTCGTTCCGAACACCTACAGCGAAGCGATGAAGTCCCCGCTGGCACCATACTGGAAAGATGCTATGGATACACAGATCGATAAGATACAGAATATGGGCACCTACGAGATCGTGAACCGACCTCCAACCGCTCGCGCAATCCCAGGCAAGTGGGTGTACGACCTCAAGGTCAACACTGACGGATTCGTCACCCAATTCCGTGCTAGATGGGTAGTCTGCGGCAACCGCCAGATACCAGGCATCGATTACGACGAATCGTTCGCTCCTGTCGCCAGCGAAGCGGCCCTGAAGCTATTCATGACGAACGTCGCTATAAAAGATCTTGAATGGGAACAATGTGATATAGTATCTGCTTATCTACACGCGCAGATACAGGGCAAACGCGTGTTCATGAAACAACCTACCGGATACCATGAAGGACCACCGGATCAGGTGTGCCTATTAAAGATGGCCCTCTACGGCCTCCGCCAGGCGGCCCACCTCTGGCACCAAACGTTTGACGAAACACTTAAAAGAATCGGTTTCGAACCACTGAGGGAGGATCCCTGCGTATACAAAAAGGGTGATATCTGGTTGATTATTTATGTTGACGACTCCGCTATCGCTGGCCCCAGGAAGGAAGACCTAGCCGAGGTCAAACAACACCTAAACAAGGCATTTGGCCTGAAGGAAATGGGGGAACCAAAGGTTCTACTAGGATGCAACGTTCAACGTGACTACCAAGCAGGCACGATATCACTATCCCAACCAACGTACGTGGAGGAGTGCCTCAATGCAGCGAACCTAGGATCCTGCACCCCCTCCGCCATTCCGATGACCGTTGCCTACAAAAAGTCAGATCGCTCGAATATGACTACCGAAAACGTCAACCTAGCCGAATATCAAAGCCTTGTAGGGCGTTTGAACTGGCTAACCACAAAGACCCGCCCCGATATACGTCATGCAACGTTTAGACTTCAAAGGCGCATGAACACTCCCACTACGGCCGACGCTAAAGCATTGAAAATTGTATACAGATATCTGAAAAGGTCCATCCCGTACGGGATCACCCTCGCCACTGACCATACCAAAGGCATCGAAGTCTTCGTAGATGCCGCCCACGCTGACCACGAAGACGGCAAATCAACGGAGGGATACGTCATCTTCTACGCTGGCGGCCCAATCAGCTGGTCATCCAGGAAGCAATCGCTAGTTGCACCGTCATCTACGGTAGCAGAATACTGCGCGTTTGACTCCGCCGCCAAAGAAGCCTTGTATATAAAGAAATTGGTTGAAGCGTTTGACCTCAAGGCCTCCGTTGACGGCAGGATACCCTTGTACACCGACGCCGCCAACTCCCTACGGATCCTGAACCACGGAGGCTACACCAGGTCCACTAGATGGCTCGATAATCGTTACCTATTCGTAGCCGATCTGATCACGAAGAACGCTATCACCATTCAACACATCCCAGGGACCACCAACCCGGCGGACGGCCTCACCAAGCCGCTTGATAACGAATCGTTCAAAGCGTTCAGGCACCTCCTCGGAATGACCCCCATCTCCTCCCCGAACCTGCATCCAGGGAACACCGGTTGAGATAGCCGTTCCTTCCTATCTAGGCAATGCCTAGAGCCTCGTTACGAACGCTCCCTCGCCTAGGGGGCCGTGTTGGAACGTAATCTCAGTAGATTACTAGTAGTCGAGGTCACGTGACCCGAACTCCGTAACTTCAACTGCTCCTCCGAGCGCGCCTAGATAGCGAAGAATCAAGCGTTTTCAACGACTTCAGTATTGACCTAAAACGTCGTTTCAACATATTATAAAGATCACAGAAAGAAGGAGTATTCTGGAAAGGTGAGCCAAAGCCATTGCAGCCATAGAATATGATCAGTCTGCTTCCATGAGATGCTGGGCCCGACCAGGGACAGGTTGATATTACATCAGGCCGCCGCGGGAATGTCACAGTATCACTATGAAGTCTTACCATGCGAATGCAGTACGATATCTTATTATGTACACTAATTCAGCCTACATCACGGCTTTGTATTTATCAAAAATCGTACGGGAAACCCTTTTCTATCAGCAGATCCCTCGCAGACTTTCCCGACGCGTCACGGATATCTGGATCAGCCCCTGTCTCCATCAGGAGATCCAAAACATCCGCCCGGATTTGAAAGGTGCCTTGCCCGTTTCCCGGTTCATAATAATGTGTCTGGATGTAGTGATACAGTGGAGTACGGCCCTTGTTGTCTTGTGTGTTGATATCCTTGTTAGCACCCTGGGCCAAAAGAAACCTGGGACCGACAAGGTTCCGGTCTGGTTCGTCGAGAATGAGATGAAGTTCCGTCTGGCCTTGGGCATTAGGACGCAACTGTGCGCCCGCTTCAATCAGGGTGCGAAACCATGGGAACATGTTCTCATTCTGTGGCAGTGCGTAGTGAAGTATATTTTTTCCATAGCGGTCAAGGCTGGTCAGGTCGGCGCCCTTTTCCTCGAAAAAGTGAAGGAGCTGCGTGCTAAGTGCCTCGACTTCGGGATCCTCATCGTCAACGCGCCAACACATGGCGAGATGAAAAGCGATATGGCCGTCCTCTGTGCGATAATTAGCAAGATCTGAGACGGCAGCCGGGCAGGTGAGTGGCCAGAGAATTTTGATGATCTCTAGATAGCGACCCTGACAGGCTTGGTGCACTGGTAGCCAGCCTTTGGTGTTCATTATATTAGGGTCTGCTCCGTGATCCAGCAGAAATCGCACAGTTGCTAGACGACCACCACCCGCTGCGGCATGAAGGAGGGAGCCCCCTGGGGAGACATTGGTCTCACGGAGCTCTTCGTTCATGTTAATCATGGCGCCTTCACGCTCATAGAAATAACGGATCAGATCCGGGTGCCCATTGCGCACCGCCCGAGCAAAAAGGCTGATCCCCTCTCCTTCCCCAGCAAAGCCGTCAGGGAGGTCCACTCCGTGGTCAACAAGCATCTTGACCATTTCCATGCCCATAGAGGTGTCAATGGTGGCGTGAATGATTGGTTTATGCACAGTCCAAGGGGGTACATAGATGGACATAGGGGGTTGTGCGTTCGGGCGTGCTCCGCGGGCAAGCAAAAGCCGGAACGTCTCGATTCCCCTGGACCAGGACTCCTCTGGTAGGGCCGGTAATATCCCATGGTAAGGGTCATACTCTTCATTCTCAGCTGCATCAGCCAAGGCGCGGTCCAGGATATCTTGTGGTACTCCAGGAGCCGGGTAGTTATGGAGCAGAGTGGCTAGCGTTTCTGGATGGCGATAAAGTGCAGCAGCAGCGACGGCAAGAGACCATTCGCGGCTGCCAATGGTGTCTGAAGGTAGGCGATCAATCAGCCGTTGAACGACAGCGTTAGAGCCCCAAAAGGCTGCGGCCATAAATGGAGTGTGCGGCTCGCTATCCATCCCTCCAAGAACGCCACGCATTCCGTCCGTTGAAACATCATCCAGGGTCGCATCTGCTCCCGCCTCGAGGAGAATATCCACCATCTCGGCAGAGTTGCTTGCGGCGACAAGATGCAATGGAGTCAGGCAAACTTCACCATATGGTTCGATGCCCTTCTGATTAACATCGAAGCCTCGGGAAATCAAATAACGAAGTAAGTCTGGCCGGTTGCGCTTGATGGCCTCATGGAGTGCTGTTTCACCAGACTTCGGAAGGTCCACTACTTCTGGAGAATCAAGAATCGCAGCAACGGCGGTAAGGTTGCCCACACGAGTCCATCCTATTAATCGAGCATTGGTGTTTGAATTGATGGGATATGGGATTCTCGGGTAGCACGCCATGGTGGTTGAAAGGTGCAGGGAATATTGAAGGAGGAAAGAATGCAAATAAGAGGATTTGCTCTGCTCTAGTTGAGAAATCATGTGGAGTAGTAGGATAATACGCGGCGAGCAGAAATGATACGCGCAGTACAGTATGTTACGTATTCTCTATGTAATTTACGGTCTCCCGAGTGAAACGTAAAGAATTGCTGGATAGCAGGAGCCGGTCTCGACATGCCTTTTCAAGTTACTACATTTCGCCATCGCGGCTGCTACCCACACAAGGTCAAGACTCATAGGAAATTGACGGCAAGCTAAAGGTACAGCTTTTATTGAACTTATCGAGCTTTTCTTGGGATAAACGAGGAATAGATTTTATTTTATTTTATTTTTTTTTCAATAGTAGTAAAGACTTTACCCAGTCGTTTCACCACTTCCTCCCCAACCCAACCCTCTTTGACATAAGTTCTCTGTGATAAAAGCAGACTGGCAAAAGATATGGGAAAAGATATAGAAGATCTTATACTCTGCACACATGACTCATTAGCTCTACAGTCTAGTTTCACTTTGTTGGAGGTGGAATACAATTTAAACAATCGCTAGTAAACGCCTCAGAACCGAAACCTTTACTCACAGAACTTTAATCCGAAGCTCGGGGCAAGACCATTTGGTGCTTAGGTACATTTCCTGGCATCTCCCTATCGTAGAAAACACAGGTGAGTTTGGACTTGCTAAAACTAGTCAGGTACATGTCGTAGACCTGGGAACAGAAGTTTTATGATACATAAGACCGGTCATTCGGGGAAGAAGGTAACGAGTTCGCTATTCTCGCTTATCTATTCTAATCGTATTTCTCTATGCATATGTGCACACTGCTCTTGTGGCCAGAGTGTTCCTAGCCCTGAATGGCCAGTCTGCCACTATAGTTAGATCAATTCGGCAACGACTAGCCAGGTCTGGATGAGTTTCATATGGAGGAGCACTTCTCGAAATTGTGATGACATAGAGTGCCAATATTCGTGTGCGAGCCCTCAAATGATTTCGCCGATTACTGACCAAGATCGTCTGCGCCTATGTTGCCAGGAAGGAGAATGTTACGATTCGTACATGCTTCAGAACTAATATATTTGCAGAAATTGTGCCGCCTTTCTTGTCGATATACTTGACCTTCAGTCTCATCTTTTAAGATAATGTGCCTGTGCCTGCGCTATTGAATCTTTTATCGGCGAGAGTTAACCTCCGCAGATGTGTTGTGGCTGGTGGCTATACTTCTTCTAGGCTTGAGATCTTTCTAGCCGCATTACCATCAGCTATGTTAGAAAACAGACAGTCGTTGCCTACGTGTTTCTCAGCTGGGAAGGTGTAAGCTGTCGTCTTTACCAAGATTAGATGCTTTATACCTGTTATACTGTGCTTCATTCTATAGAAACTATTATGTACTCATCGAACTCATCATAGCAAAAGTAAATTCTGAACTACAATGTAGAAACGGTCTGTGAAACGGAATACTTCCTCGGCCCCACAAGAAACCCCAGAATTAGACCTTTAACAGGACAAGCTCAATACTCTGAACAGTTGATTTCTTTGAAAAACCGTTATTGAAGGGCCTCACACCAGCCCTGATGAAGGCGTGGTGGACTTGCTTGGTGGAGCATAGTGTACTCTGCCACTTTCGTATATTCGTACCGTACACTCGGGAGGAAGGCTCGTATATTCGTATAGCTCGCATAGGGCAGCTCCACAGCGGAGACACTCCGTTTCCAGTTTTAGACTTTTAAGCTTGGTTTTAGGCGGTCTATCTAGAGCAACGTATGTGATTGGTGATCGTGATAGAGTGGAAATACAAGATTTCAATGGGTTTGCTAGGTTGAGCGGTCATGATTTTCACGATGGGCGACCGCAGCCTATTCTACGGAAGACCCGTGATCGAGGCCTTGTCTGCGCCACCAGCATCGTTGAACTACTAGATCTAAATATCAATCTTTGTCAACGTAGATATGTGAGAAAAGTCTTTTCTACCAAAGTCTGGATCGATTAGGACTTGCTCCGATGGCTGGGCCTTCTTCAATATTCAAGGCCTCGATCGGTCGGTATCTCGATATTGCGTTGAGTGAGAAGTAGCAGATAAATCCTATGTTTACTCGGGTATCTCCAATTCCCATATTAATCGATCAAGGTAGGCCTCCATCCCACCATCTTTTGTGATGTACTTATCCTGCTATAAGGTACTGGGGCTCAAATCCCCACGTGTTTGGATGTGGGCGTTACAGCCATTACCCCGACGGCAATCTTATCGTCACAGAATATATGTACCTCATCAATTCGCCGTACACAGCCAGTGTTCCCATAAAAATCGTGCAGCCTATGTCCTCTGCGAGTGAAAACTTAATTATTTGACCTTTGGGTCAAGGCGGTTAGGGTGTGGCGGACCGCTCGATCTCTCGGCAGACCCACACGTATTCGTATACAGCATGGCTTGAAGGGTTCCAGGGTCCAATGCAACGATTCTGATATCCTTATATTTATCTCGTCTCATCTAGCCCTGCAGTCTCCATTCATTCAGTCTCTCCTTCCATTTCTTACCATCCTATACTCAAGATGGCCTCCCAAAATGACTCCAGTGTATCCTTCGTTCTCTATCGATACACCCCGTCAATCCCAGCGGCGGCCATATTCACTGCTGTGTTCATCATCCTGGCCATAGTCCACACCTATCTTGCTATAAGACATCGATCAAAATATTTCATTCCTTTCATCATTGGTCTACTCTGTAAGTACATCTTCCAGCATATGCAACCCTCACCGAACTAACATATCACGGTCTGAATAGTCGAAGCAGCCGGCTACATCGCCCGAATCTTCTCCCACTATGACACCCTCGCTCTCGGCCCCTACATCATCCAGACCATGCTCATCCTCGTCGCGCCTCCCCTCTTCGCCGCTTCAATCTACATGACCTTAGGCAGACTGATTCTCTATCTCGACGCCGAGTCCGCCTCTCTCCTTCGAGTAAAATACATTGCTAAGATATTCGTCGTCGGGGATATCATCTCCTTCCTGTTGCAATGTGGAGGTAAATATACCCTACTACGCCATCAAAGTCCTCTCGAGAACCCGCCACTAACATATTGCAGGCGGTGGCTACATGTCAGCCGGAAGCCTCTCCGCAATGGAAGACGGCGCCCACATTGTAATCGCCGGTTTAGCCGTCCAGCTTCTCTTCTTCGGATTTTTCATCATCGCCAGCGCTATCTTCCACTACCGAGTGAAGACGAATTCGCAATACTACACTACTAGACAGGTGATATCATCCTCCTCCCGTCGTCGCGACTCGTGGGAATGCATGCTGTGGTGTATTTATGGGGCGTGTGTGTTGATTCTCATTCGGTCCATTTATCGTGACGTTGAGTTCGTGGAGGGGAATGATGGCTTTGTTATGCGCCTGGAGTACCTGTTGTATATTTTTGATGCTGTGTTGATGGCCTTGCAGGCGATGTTGTTGTTGGTTGGCTATCCTGGACGGGTGTTGGGAGGGGGCAAACGCAACGATGGGGGTGTTCCGTTGGAGGAGAGGGCGGATTCAGCGGAGGGTTTTCTGGGACGTGGGAAGGGGGCAGTTTAGTGTTGGTTTAGATGCACGGATTGGGATAACGGGTCGGGTATACGGAGTTTGAGGCGTATTATTGTGCTATATAGATAGTCTGGTATTATTGATTATATTCAATTGTCCATTGAAGCGGTATATTGGTATGAAATTACTCCCCCTGCATTGCCATCGGCCACTCCATGAGAGACCTCAACGCCCCATCTCCGAGCGTCTCGACCAGCCGATGAATGTTCCGGATCTCCCTTGGAAATGACCCCCGTATATACCACAAATCCTCAAATAGCAGCAGAATGACATAGAAATGTGCCAGGATCACGTATGAAAATCCTCCGAAGATCCCTGCATCCTGTCCTTGCTGTAGCGACAAGACAAATGCGTTTGAGATGAAATTCGGCCACGACAGGACAGCTGCATCTTCTAGGTCGGTCTGAATATCCATGGAGGCGGAGCTATCGCGCTCACTGGCTGAAAAGTGAAAGACGTAGAGAGTTCGCATGTACATTTGCTCAAGACAATCGAGCGTGCTGATTTGTTCGCGTAGAAAATCTGGAATCGTTTGTATATTGGGAGATCCATAAGAATCTGGGCTTGGGGTTTCTTCCATGTTTATCCCAAAGTCCTGGGTAAGGGTGTTCGCAAAGCCGCGCAACAAGGAAATCTGCTGAGCAGCTCCTTGGGAGAAGCGAACAAATTGCGGGGACGCGTGTCGTAGACGTGGGAATACCCGTGTGGGCGTTATCGCTAGAAAGTCCTTCCAGTGCTCATTAGCTTGAGGGTAATCCATTAAGGTCCGTAACCTGCTGGTCCGGAGAGCTATAAAGTGCTCTCCTACCAAAGCGCCCAAACCGCGAACTAGATGCAGCCAGTCAATCCAGGGTTCTCCGGCTGAGTCACCATTGTGGAAGCCTATTCCCTTATCACCTAAAGCGCGAATGCGCAAGGAAGCAAAAGAAAAAGCCACTATTAGGATGGAGCCACAGAATATGTATTCGGCTGTACTAGCTGTCGCCTCTGATAATGCGTGTCGGAAACCTTCAAGGCCTTTCTGGTGATGATCGAGGATGCGGTGGTAGTCACGAAAGCATTCTGCTTCGGGGATAGTCTGGTCAAATTTGGAGTTCAATAAATTGGTGTCGGGTGAGTCTGCCTCGCATAGCGCATGCGTGCCGGCCAGCGCCAGCAGAAGATGCATCAAATACTCTTGCTCAGCAGCCATGGTTGGTATGACTCGCTGCCAGATCAATTTACGCTCCGGATGGAGAGCCATTCTCCCCGAGACATGGACCATGAAATGTGTCAAGAGACTCATGTCTGGCATGTTAATAACTTCGTTGCGTTGTGAAGTTTCTGCCGATTCAGACACCAGCGGTATGTGTAGGTCTAACGGCCGTAGTGACTGCCCTATATTGCCGTTCATTGAGTGATGAGAAGGCACTGGATTTGTATGTCTGCTGTCTTGTAGGTCAGGTTATGAAACTGAGAAAAAAAAGCCAACTGGCTGAGAATGCCATGACCATCGAGCTTTAGCCACATACACTACCTGCTCATCTGGTGGCGGAAAGGAACATGGTTCATCGCGAAAAGAACAGGCGCCACAAACCGGCCTTACTTCATCACACTGAGTTCGGTCAACATCGGAGCTAGAAGTCTCTGCATGGCAATTAGACAAACCTTGACCCGGCGTAGCTTGCAAGTGTAACAACCCTTGCGGGATTTGTTGTGGCGCGCCCGTCGTCTTTTGGGGTTTCGTGGATGGGAAACATCGGGCAGTGAAGCGCCCGCTGAGGAATGGGTATCTGACATAGTTGGCTCCCGAGCGAGACCGATATAGCAGTCCCATTTGTCTTGATAAGGAGTCGGTCGGAAGTAGGAAAAGGGCCTCGCCGGTTGGAAAGGTTAATGGTGGTGATGTTCTCAACCAAACAGCTGGTACGGGAGGGTAAATGGACCAAGTCTGCACATTAGGCGCTTTTATTCCTTGTCACTTCATTCACAGCCACGTACATTTGCGATTTCTAGAGAAAATAGAGTTGTGTGCTCTTTATCATGCTACTGGTTCTGACTAATACACACAGATATGGACTTAGTGGCTGAGTGGTGAGCACGGGCGAGGGGAGTAAAGAAGACCCGATCTCAAAGTATATCTTGAACGCTCTTCACGTGGGAGAGAGACATGGAGTATGGAACTTTGTGTTGGGGAGGGTGCACTTTATGAGCCTCGAGCTATTTTATTCAGATCAACCATTAGCATCCTTAATGATCAGTAGAAACACATGTTCCATACCAATGTCAACTTGGTTTCAATATCACACCGTTCTTGCCTGTCCACAGTCGCCACCGTGGTCATCGTTGGTGTACTAGCTACCGGCAACGAGAAGCCTTCACAACATCAATTCTTGCAGTAACATGCACGCAGAGGAGAGTGGTTCAGAATTTCTTCCCAGGCTTGGCTCGGATATGATATTAGGGAATGAGAGCGATAAAAGCTGCCACCAAGCTCTTCCAATCCTTCGGCACGACACAGGCAACGGTTAGGGCTAGTACTATCGGAGCAGCTTTGATGTACAATATAGCGCCTGCTTGATATGTCCGGTTTTAGTTGTTCCAGCAATCGCATACACCATATTTCACAATCCACTCCATGGAAAGCAATACCATTACGTATAACAGCATAGTTATACACTGCGTTATTCATCGCTCCTGCAAGATGTTGGTCAGCATGTTTAGTAGTTCACTATGGGGTAATTTTCTCCAGTAACTCTATGGATCTCCAAATGACTAAGAGTAACTGCGTTGTTTTGGGGGGACTAGTTGAGGGCAATTAGACGACGTGGATGTGGAGTCGTTCGAAGTGCATACATGTGATCCTTGAAGATACAACTCGTGAGACATTTTTGTCTGTTCAAGTGGACAGAGTTGTAGGCGAAGCAACGTAGTGATCATGTTGCTCTACATTGCATAAACATCGCCAAATACATACTATAATGAGGTTTTCTGTTTCTTGTTCCTAACAGGTTGTCGACCGTCAGGATTTCATCTAGGAATGAAGCGAAATCAGTTCGCTAACTTCATCTCTACAAGGTAAACAGAATGCCATCGCAGGGCGTAGTTGTGACATGTCCATCACACCGAAAAAACACCGATTGACAATAGCACTAGTGGGAAGCCCCTGGCGCTTACAGCCGCATCGCTAGCCCAACAAAGATCCTTGGGGTAAAATCCCACACGTGGTAAAAATAAACTTCTGACCAGGGCGAATCCCTGAAGGGGGGCACAATGCTCGCACAGACCTCTGCCATTAGAAATCCAACGGGTTGGTCATACAAATCCATACATTTCTCATCCCTTTCCCCCCCTTCTTCGGCCTTCTTTCCGAGTCGTGGGGACAACTTTCGGAGACATTGGGGGAATTTTCCTGCGGATGCTGAATAATTTTGGGTGGATCCACGATGATGATTTGCCGAATGTCGCCCATCAGTGGAGCAGAACCTTCTGTTTAAAGCCAGTTGGAGGCTGAAGAAACCCCCGCGAAGCTTGCCATGAGCCACAGTTGGAGACCCAGAATAAAAGTCAGACCATCAAGTCGGAGACTTCGCCCAATGCGGCAAAGATGCAGATTCTTGTCCATGCCACCTTGACTGTTACTCAGGTATACAACTCCACTTTGGATTTCAAATCAGTTTCCACTCGGTTCTACTATCCCGATGGATCGTATAAAAGCGGTTGTCTGCTCAATTGAGCCGATCAACTGTCCCATCCTTGGATATATACCCTACTAGCCATTATATACCACCTATACCTAATTCTCACGACATCATGACTGTCACCGATCTCGTCAACCACCCTGCCCAGGGCATCTCCTACTTCACTCCCGCCCAGAACATCCCCGCCGGTACCGCCGCCAACCCGCAATCCAGCGGCAAGCCGGTCCCGAAGCTCTTCCACCCGCTCACCGTCCGCGGCGTCACCTTCCAGAACCGCCTTGGTGTATGTTCTTCACCATTCCTCATAATCATCTGAATTTTTAGAACATCTACTGACAATTGGTACCCAGCTCGCTCCTCTCTGCCAATACTCCGCCCAAGATGGCCACATGACCCCCTACCACATCGCCCACCTGGGCGGGATCGCCCAGCGCGGTCCCGGTCTCATGATGATCGAAGCCACCGCCGTGCAGGCCGAAGGCCGCATCACCCCCCAGGACGTCGGTCTGTGGAAGGACTCGCAGATCGGCCCTATGCGCCAAGTTGTCGAATTCGCCCACTCTCAGAACCAGAAGATTGGTGTCCAGCTCGCCCACGCCGGTCGCAAGGCCAGCACCGTCGCCCCCTGGATCTCCGCCACCGCCATGGCCACTGAGGAGCTCGGCGGCTGGCCCGACCGGGTCATCGGCCCCAGCGACATCCCCTTCGCCGATACTTTCCCCAAGCCGAAGGCTATGACCAAGGACGACATTGTTCAGTTCAAGAATGACTGGGCTGCTGCTGTGAAGCGTGCCCTCGAGGTCGGCGTCGACTTTATTGAAATCCACGGTGCTCACGGTTACCTCATCTCGTCTTTCTTGTCGCCCGCTGCCAACAACCGCACCGACGAGTACGGTGGTTCCTTCGAGAACCGTATCCGTCTGCCTCTCGAGATCGCCCAGATCACTCGCGACATCGTCGGCCCCAACGTGCCTGTCTTCCTCCGTGTCTCCGCTTCCGACTGGCTCGAGGAGACCCTCCCCGAGCAGAGCTGGGGTACCGAGGACACCGTCAAGTTCGCCAAGGCGCTGGCCGACCAGGGCGCGATCGACCTGATCGATATCAGCACCGGTGGTGTTCACGCCGCCCAGAAGGTCAAGTCCGGCCCGCTCTTCCAGGCTCCCTTCGCCGTGGCTGTGAAGCAGGCGGTCGGCGATAAGCTCCTGGTATCGGCTGTCGGTGCTATCACCAATGGCCGCCAGGCTAATGACCTCCTTGAGAAGGAGGGTCTGGATGTCGCCCTGGTGGGTCGTGGGTTCCAGAAGGACCCCGGTTTGACCTGGACTTTCGCCCAGCACCTCGACACTGAGATCTCCATGGCTAGCCAGATCCGCTGGGGATTCACTCGTCGCGGTGGTCGCGAGTACATTGATCCTAGCGTTTACAAGCCTTCGATTTTTGATGCTTAGACGATGCCGATATATAGCAGACCGCTACTTTTAATAGACTGTACATAGAATAGACATGACATGCATCCGATTCAACCATCTACCCTGGTCTCTGTACTTTCAAATATTCTCCTTCATTCCAATCATACAGTCGTCTCAACCGTACAATCTACAGTACCAGCTATATAGCTGATCACTAACTTGAATAAATCGTACATAGAAGGGACATATCCATTCCTATACAATCTATATAATAACCAAGTATCTCAGCGCCATCGCGCTTCACAACCACTACTACTATCTTACAACCCCGGCGTCTCCGCGATCCTAAAAACATACTTCACCGCACTCGCCTTCCCGTCCATCAAGTCCTTCATCGCCCCCTTCACGCCCTCCAACCCATTCTCCCTCACCTCAAACGGATGCCCCTTGAACCGTCCATCCTTCAACGCCCGACTAAACCACCGACAGAACACAAAGCACAAATCCCGACAATCATCCACCCCATTCGCCTTCTCATGCGCCGCATTCACCCACGTGTTCGTCGACAACAACCCAGGCAGATC